TGCTGTATGATGAGGTCTCACTTATCCCTTCTTTCAGACTCGTTGTGTGATGACACCACTCTTCTTCCCTGCAAGAGATGCCCAGTGGCTCTGACCATCTCTGCTTCTCTCTTAGCTCACCTTGGCTCTGAGTGTCCCCACCTCCCAGTAAGGCTTGTGCTAGTCAGTACCCCCCTCATTGTCTCTCCTTCTTCTCTTTCTCTATCTTTGTGCTTCCTGCTGTGGTCCCCTCACCCCCTCCAGAGCTGCTGGATGACCAGCACCCTGTGGTCCGGTTGCTGCGCAGTTTTTCCTCTGACTGTACAGGGGGCCGGCCAGTCTCCTTGGATGCCACGCTGGCGCATCACCTGCACCAGTGCTCCTACCACCTGCGCCTCTTCCGGAACTGGCTGCGCTCAGGCCAGGATGATCCCGAGTGCCTCTACGGTACCCCCTGGCACCAAGCTGGCTGCTGCCACTACCCTGGCTGGGACTGACTGCTTTGCTTATTGCACTTCTGGTAGGAGAGCCCACCTGTTTCTTTCTCCTGTTTGCCCTGAGGTTATGTAACTTGCATTTAGTGGCTTGGATGGGATTGGGGCCGGACTGCCTGGTAGCTGTAGCATTGGCTGCTCATCCCTTCCTGTTCTCCTTTCTCACCACCTCCTAATGTTACTTATTCCCCAATTCTGTTCAATACAGGAGTAATCTCTTGCCTTGGAATCTGTTCTTATCACTCTAACCCTCTACTACCACCATCTTCAAATCCAAATGTTTTTCTAGCCACTCTAAGGAGCTAGACACAGTAACTTTCCTGCCCTCCTGCCACAAGATCACGGGGGAAATTGAGGCACAGAAGCCTCAATTGTATCCTTGGGGCAAACAAAGGACAGAGCTTAGAAGGTGGTCAGGTTATAACCCTTTTGAGTTACGGGCTTTAGTCACTGGTGAATGGGAAGCTGTCTTGCATAGACATTATTGTCCCGCATATCCTTAGTCCCTTTAAGGAGATGTTGAGGAGGCATAGGAAAGATTGGGGACTGAGAAAGTGGTTGGGATGTGTTTTTCTTGATCCTCCATTGGGGACATTTTTTCCATCACCAGTGCCTAGTATTAGGGTTACATATTTATGTTTACCCTTGGCCCTACCCATACTGATAGACCTACATTGGAATTCTTGAGTTTCGAGCAGAAAATCAGTGCTTTTTCTTTTTTCTAGGGCATTTGCCTCATTTTTCTGATGAAGTACAAAGATCCTAGCAAGTCTGGGGTTTTCCAGTAGATCAGAAGGGTGAAGCTTTGATGTGATGGAAACTATCAAGAAAGAACTTCCATCCCCATCCTGTTCATGCATGTGGTTTTCCTGGGCTGAGCTTCATGTGTATTGCATGCCCTCCAGTTTGCATCCAAGTATTCTAGCCTTTCTACCGACATCCTAAATTTGCATGAACCCCTTCTCAGATTCCATGTCCTTCTCCTTAATCTGGTTCTCTTATTCATGATACCCGAAATCTGCTGTTTCTTCCCAGTTCCCTGACCTCCCTATCTCATGTTAGATCTGCAGTTTCACCCCTTACCTCTGGATCCTTGTTTTATTCCCCCAGAAAGTGTGAGGACAATGTTGGTGCTTACCCTACTGGGATTCTGTTTATTTTTCCATGGGACATTGCAAGCTCTCCATAGGTAGCATGAGAGGTGATTTGATTCACCTTGAGGCCCTCGCAGGTAGATGTTTTAGGAAATCTGAAGGTGAGAGAAACAGACTCCCCTAAGGGCTCTAAAGAGTTGTGTCTCCTAAGAGTCTTGGATACCCCACACTCCAAAAGCCACGGACTCTCCTGATGCTTCTCAGGGACTCTCCATGCTTCCTTGGCCAGTTGGGGTATATCTGGCAGGAATAACATTGACTTTGCCCATCTCTTTTCATGCACCACAGGGCCAGACCCCATTTTACTCTTTTTTTTTTTTTTTTTTTTTTGAGATGGAGTCTCGCTCTGTCACCCAGACTGGAGTGCAGTGGTGCGATTTCAGCTCACTGCAACCTCTGTCTCCCAGGTTCATGACATTCTCCTGCCTCAGCCTCCCGAGTAGCTGGGACTATAGGTGCCCACCACCACGCCCAGGTAATTTTTTATATTTTTAGTAGAGACAGGGTTTCACCGTGTTAGCCAGGATGGTCTCGATCTTTCGACCTCATGATCCGCCCGACTCGGCCTCCCAAAGTGCTGGGATTACAGGCGTGAGCCACGGAGCCCAGCCCGTTTTACTCTTACTAAAGATTCTTTAACTGTTTCTTGTAAGATAGTACTCCTGAACTGTAGAAAGGAATATAGCAGTCAGAAAACATTTCCAGCTGAAATGTTAATAAATAAAAATACCGAGGCTGGGCTAGGTGGCGCATGTCTGTAATCCCAGCACTTTGGGAGGCCGAGGAGGGTGGATCACCTGAGGTCAGGAGTTTGCCACCAGCCTAACATGGTGAAACCCTGTCTCTACTAAAATCCAAAAATTAGCCGGGCTTGGTGGTGTGTGTCTGTAATCCCAGCTACTTAGGAGGCTGAGGCAGGAGAATCGCTTGAACCTGGGAGGTGGAGGTTGCAGTGAGCCCAGATCATGCCACTGCACTCCCGCCTGGGCAACAGAGCAAGACTCTGTCTTAAATAAAATTTTAAAAAAGGCCGGGTGCGGTGGCTCACTCCTGTAATCCCAGCTCTTTGGGAGGCCGAGGCAGGTGGACTACTGAGGTCAGGAGTTCAAGACAAGTCTGGCCCAAATGGTGAAACCCCATCTCTACTAAAAATACAAAAAAATTAGCTGGGCACCTGTAATCTCAGCGACTCGGGAGGCTGAGGCAGGAAAATCACTTGAACCCAAGAGGCAGAGGTTGTAGAGAGTCGAGATGGGGCCATTGCACTCTAGCCTGGGCAACAAAGTGAGACTCCATCTCAAAAACAAAAACAAAAACAAAAAAACCGTAGTGGAATGTGAAGAAATAAAGACATCAGCAGGAGACTTCTTTAACTCCAAATTGCTCATTCAGAAAACTCATCTTCCTTGCTGACATCATGGAGGATGACTTTTTCTTTTAAACCAATTAAAAGCAGACACAGGCCGGGCGCGGTGGCTCAAGCCTGTAATCCCAGCACTTTGGGAGGCCGAGACGGGTGGATCACGAGGTCAGGAGATCGAGACCATCCTGGTGAACACAGTGAAACCCCGTCTCTACTAAAACTACAAAAAACTAGCCGGGCGAGGTGGCGGGCGCCTGTAGTCCCAGCTACTCGGGAGGCTGAGGCAGGAGAATGGCGTGAACCCGGGAGGCGGAGCTTGCAGTGAGCTGAGATCAGGCCACTGCACTCCAGCCTGGGCGACAGAGCGAGACTCCGTCTCAAAAAAAAAAAAAAAAAAAGCAGACACCACAGCAGAGATCTACCCAATTCTTGGGATAGTCAGTGCCTGATGGGATATGTAGTTTTTAGGGTAGCACGTGCAACAACTTCAAGTAGGAAAGACCCCCTTCAATTCAAACAAAAAATTGGTTTTGGTTTTTGTTTTTTTGAGAGTGTCACTCTTATTGCGAGGCTGGAGTACAATGGTATGATCTTGGCTCACTGCAGCCTCTGCCTCCTGGGTTCAAGCTATTCTCCTGCCTCAGCCTCCTGAGTAGCTGGGATTACAGGCATGTGCCACTATGCCCGGCTAATTTTGTATTTTTAATAAAGACGGGGTTTCTCCATGATGGTCAGGCTGATCTCAAACTCCCAACCTCAGGTGATCCGCCCGCCTTGACCTTCCAAAGTGCTGGGATTACAGGCGGGAGCCACCGTGCCTGGCCCCAAAATTCCTTTTTTAAACTAATATTCTAGTGGCCTGCTATTCTCCAACAATTCCTACTTTATTTTTTTATTTTATTTAATTTATTTTTTTTGAGACAGAGTCTCGCTCTGTCGCCCAGGCTGGAGTGCAGTGGCGAGATCTCGGCTCACTGCAAGCTCCGCTGCCTCCCAGGTTCACGCCATTCTCCTGCCTCAGCCTCCCTAGAAGCTGGGACTACAGGCGCCCGCCACCACGCCCGGCTAATTTTTTTTGTATTTTTAGTAGAGATGGGGTTTCACCGTGTTCGCCATTATGGTCTTGATCTCCTGACCTCGTGATACGCCCGCCTCAGCCTCCCAAAGTACTGGGATTACAGGCGTGAGCCACCGCGCCCGGCCTAATTCCTACTTTAAATTGTTGCATGACCCCTGTAGTAAAAAGCATCACTCAGACCTGACAAACTCAGTGACACCCCCTCAAAGCTAACAGCATGATTATATAATTGGGAAGAGTTGTTCCTAAGAGAAAACATGAGTTCCAGAGATGTATAAGAATTATCTATATATGTAATCTGTACTGCCAGTTAGCCCCAGAAATGCCCTGGACACAAAATCTATCCAAGCTAAACACAAAATTTGCCATCTCTAACACATCATTCTGATTCAGGTGGTCTTTACTACAGGACTTTTTCCGTGTAACCCTCAGCAAGTTGGTTGAGGCTAAGAAGTGAAGACTCAAGTCTGAAGCAAATAAAAGTTATATACAACATTTACTGACATTTCTGAACATGGATAGTTTTAAACCAAGGGTCCCCAGGAGGGGAAAAATTAAGTAGTGTAATTATATATATTGAATATATAGAGCTATCCCAAGGATAAAGGAATCACTGTTTACTATGATAATGATCTGGAGGTTTAAAAAAGAAAAAAAAACCACACACACACAAAACAAAGAAAACCACTCAAGCTGACTGGGCCAGAAATCTTATTTGCTCTTCCTTCTTCTCAACATATTTTTATTTCGAGTTCTATATAAGGAATTTACACCTGTGTTCATTTAAGTCACCCTAAAGTGGAATATTTAATCAATATTGGTTACTTTCTCATTGGAGTCCTGACATTTTAAAGAAATTCTAATTAAAACGGACAATATGGACAGATTCTGATGGAATTATTCTTGTTCACCTACTCTTTTCTTTTGGACAGAGGTGTCTGCCGGGACTGAGATGTAAGTGATCAGCTGAAGGGAGAAATTGTACACCATGTGACGGACAAATTACCTGACTCAAAAAGTAGTTATGACCATTCTGCAGCCACTCAGTGACCTTGGCTGGAAACCAATGGCTGTGCAGTGTGAGGTAAGAGGAAAGTAAATACCCTAGGGATCCAGGACTTGTGCATTTGGTGAAACGTCCGCTTCCACTACAAGGCTTTGGGATGTCTAGTCTGTAGACTGGAGGAACGTTAATACTGACTCACGCAGAAACGATATAGCTACACACTGAACTGGGGGAAGGGGTGGCTAAACCCTCTGCAAATAGGAAGTGCCGCAAGAGCACTAGGGTGAGGATGAGGCCCTGCGTGCGCGCAGCCTTCGGGTTTTCCTTCTCCCGATCAGCACCGACTCCCCCGCTCTCGGCGAGGCGCCTCCAGCCCCCGGTAATGAGAAATGTGCCCGCCGCAGCAGGGGCCCACAGGAATGAAGGGCGCCGGCGCTGCGTAGGCCCAACAGTTCCCCGCGCCCTCGCCCCCGGCCCAGCCCGGCCCTTCTTCCCCCGTCCCGGCAGAGTGGCCTCATCAGGGGGCGAAGAACTCCACGAGCATGAGGCCCGCAGAGCCCGTGTCGGAGACGCGACTCTCGAAGTTGTCGTCCGTGAGTTCTAACACATCGGAGGCAGCGGCGAGGCGGGCCGCGGCGAGAAGCAGCGCCACGCCCGGGAATAGCGCAAGGCGGCGAAGGCGCATGGCGGCGAGGTGGGGTGGAGGCGGCCGGAAGGGTCGCGGCTGAGCTGGGACTGCGGAGGTCGGGCGCGCGACCACACACCGGCTGCCTGCGCTCGCGCGTCTGGCCCAGGCGGACCTGCAGCCGGAGGTCCCAACCCCCAAGCCCGGCTCGGGCCGCTGTGTGGCAGCCGCCGATTGGCTGCGCGGCGCCTGCGTCGGGCGGGTGGAACCAGCCGATAACCGCCGAGTGACCGGAGTGCGGGGCGGGGCCGAGGCGGCGAGTGGCTGGGAGAGCGTGGCTGGGCCCGGTCCTAGGCAGGGGTCAGGGGCTAGGGCCGGGTCCCGGGGTGAGCCGAAACCTGGGGGTCGGGCGGGGCGGGGAATGGGGCGCAGTGAGGCTGGGAGCCGGTCCTGAGCTCGTCCTGCGCAGGGGTAGCCGGGCCCAGGGGGCGCCTGAGCTGGAGGCGGAAGCGTGAAGTCGGGACTGAGTGGGCGAAGAGAACCTGGGCTGAGGTGAGGCCCAGAAGTGATAATGGAGGAGAGAAGGAGCTAGCCCCCGAAGGAGTGTTGGGGTGGACACACCTGGGACCGGACCCATTTTCAAAATGTCAGGCTTTTGCATTTTGTCCAATTTATCTTCACTTGGTTTCTTTCGTGGGCAGGCCAAGCCCTCCCTGAACTCCACCTCGTTGCCCGATTCTCTCAGGCCCAGGTGGGGCCCAGATTCTTCTTTGTCCTGCCCCGGTCCCCTACCCTTGTGGCTACTGCTTTTTTATTGAGGTGTTTTTGTTTGTTTTGTTTTGTTTTTAATTAGAAATGCCGTCGCAAAGTGAAGATGCCTGGCCACTTGGTCGACCGCACAATGTCTTTACCACTCTTAGCCCCTTTTGTTTCAACAAACCCCGAGTCTTAGTGCAATGTTTGTTCTTCCCAACTGCTCCTGGTTCCTAAATGTGGGTACATTAAGGAATCTTAAGGGCAAAGAAGGTGGGGTGGAGGGGACAGAAAACCTGTAATCTTTGGTGCAACTCCAAGAATGAAATGACCCTTGATGCTTACATTTTCTTAGCAGACATGACCACTTACCACCAAGAAGGGCAGATGCAGCTGCCCCGAGCTGATGCCATTCGTTCACGTCTCATCGATACTTTCTCTCTCATCGAGCATTTGCAAGGCTTGAGCCAAGCTGTGCCGCGGCACACTATCAGGGAGTTACTTGGTCAGCAGCCTATTTCTTCACTAATTTAAATTTAAGACTCCTATGCACATCCTCTACATTTAAGAGTGGAAAATTCTAGGGAGGTCGGTTTAGTTGCTGGTTTACCACACTTGATAAATCAAGGGCTTGTAAATAAAACTGAGGAGATAGAATCCATGTCTTTCACTTTTAGGCCTAGGATAGCCACTAGCCATGGATGATTCGGAAAAGTTTCTGTCAAAGACACTTAAGACTTTGTGAACCTGTTGCTTTTGTGGGCATGGACAGTGTTGATCATAAGCAGTACATTTTCTCTCACTCCAAACAGAATTCTTAGTTGCTGTGAGAAGAGAAGGACCAGCAGTAAGGCATTAGGGGGACCCGTTATCTGACCAATATCCCTGCCCCCAACCCTACCTGCTCTATTTTCTTTGTCTTTATCCACTATCCCTTTTTAATTTTTGTTGTAGATCCTTCCCGCCAGAAGAAACTTATGTTGGGAGATCAACACCAGCTAGTGCGCTTCTCTATAAAGCCTCAACGTGTAGGACAGATTTCACATGCCCAGAGGCTGTTGAGCAAGCTTCATGTGCGCTGCAGTCAGAGGCCACCTCTTTCTTTGTGGGCCGGATGGGTCCTTGAGTGTATCCTTTTATGTCACTCATTTTTGTCCTGGCTGTTGATGATCTGCTTAATGACTTATTTTTGCTCCCCAAACTCCATTTTCTCATTCTCACCGCTTATGTTATTACCCTTATTATTTCAGCTGCATAAATCAGAAAGAACTCCACTCTGTACATTTCCTTAAGAGACAACAGGTCCTCTCTTCAAAAACTTCATCATCTTCCTGATCTTTTTGAATACGATCGTATTGATGGTTGAAATAGGTGAGAACTGACATTGTGTGAAAGAAGTGAGGCCAGGCGTGGTGGCTCATGCGTGTAATCCTAGCTAGCCCTTTGGGAGGCCAAGGCAGGTGGATTGCCTGAGCTCAGGAGTTCGAGACCAGCCTGGGCAACATGGTGAAACCCCGTCTCTACTAAAAAATACAAAAAATTAGCCAGGCGTGGTGGCACGCACCTGTAGTCCCAGCTACTTGGGAGGCTGAGGCAGGAGAATCGCTTGAACCCAGGAGGCGGAGGTTTCAGTGAGCCGAGATTGTGCCACTGCATTTCAGCCTGGGTGACAGAGTGCAACTCTATCAAAAAAGAAAAAAAAAAAAAAAGGAAGTGGATAGGAGTAATTTTTTTTTCCTAAATTGATCATTTTACATTTTTGAATGTCATATGAATTGTGATAGGGACAGTTATATTAAGCTTCCTGGAGTAGGATTTATTCAACTGCTAAAATCTAGAAATATTGGCTGGGCGTGATAGCTCATGCCTGTAATCCCAGTACTTTGGCAGCTGAGGTGATTGGATCATTGAGGTCAGGAGTTCAAGACTAGCCTGGTCAACATGCTGAAATCCTGTCTCTACTAAAAATACAAAAAATTAGCTGGGCATGGTGGTGGGCACCTGTAATCCCAGCTACTCAGTAGGCTAAGGCAGGAGAACGCTTGATCCTGGGAGGCGGAGGTTGCAGTGAGCTGAAATCATGCCACTACACCCCATCTCAAAAAAAAAAAAAAAGAAATATTAGTATTTGGAGGGCTCTCAAGAGTATACTAGATACAGAATATCTAGACACATTAATACTAGGTTTAATATGTAGCAATGTAACAAATCCACACGGAACTGAACTTGGGAAGACCAGTTGTATTTCTGTTGTCAGTTTAGGCTGACATTTGTTTGAATTAACCTTTTCTGTTAAGGATATTGGTGCCTATCACTGAATGATGTGACATTTACATTTTTACAAGTGTATTTAGAAAGATTAAGTACAAATAAGAAAGCTTACAAAGTATGGAAAGGTAGGTACAACTAAGATATTAGCTGAGCCAAAAAAATTACTTAAAAAGGAAATGATTCTGAAACCAATAATAAATTATATGAAGCATATTCAAAATATAAGGATGTCTGCAAAATCAGCGAGCTCATTTGTTGATAATCTCAAACTGCTCAGAAATGATAAAAGGACAGTAAAACTACTCACTTGTTTAATTCTCACTGTTGTGGGGAAGGCTCCCACTGTATTTTTTAGAGACAGAGTCTCACTTTGTTGCTTAGGTTGGAGTGCAGTGGTGTGATCGTGGTTCGTTGCAACCTCGACCTCCAGAGCTCAATTGATCCTCCCCACTCAGCCTCCTGAGTAGCTTGGACTACAGGTGCATGCCACTACACCAGGCTAATTATGTTGATATATATATATTTTTTTTTGTAAAGACAGGATCTCACTATGTTGCCCAGGCTGTCTTGAACTCCTAGGTTCAAAAGACCCTCATGCCTCAGTCTCCCAAAGTGCTGGGATTACAGGCGTGAACCACCGTGTCCAGTCTAGGAGGAATTTTTAAGAGAAGGGCAGGCCGGGCGTGGTGGCTCACGCCTGTAATCCCAGCACTTTGGGAGGCCGAGGCGGGTGGATCACGAGGTCCGGAGATTGAGACCCTCCTGGCTAACACGGTGAAACCCTGTCTCTACTAAAAATACAAAAAATTAGCTGGGCGTGGTGGCGGGCGCCTGTAGTCCCAGCTACTCAGGAGGCTGAGGCAGGAGAATGGTGTGAAGCAGGGAGGTGGAGCTTGCAATGAGACGAGATTGCGCCACTGCACTTCAGTCTGGGAGACACAGCGAGACTCCGTCTTAAATAAAAAAGAGAAGGGCATAGTTATGAAGCTCTTGGCTGTTTATGTCACAGAGATATTTCCTCAACAGAAATGTCCAGTGCCTGTAGCCAGTTCAGAACTCTGCCTCTAGGTCCAAATCCCCTACAAGCTCATCTCTGGGGCCCAGGCATGGCGATTCATGCCTGTAATCCCAACACTTTGGGAGGCTGAGGCAGGAGGATCGCTTGAGCTCAGGAGTTTGAGACCAGCCTGGCTAATGTGGAGAAACCTCATCTGTACAGAAAATACAAAAATTAGCTAGGTATGGTGACACATCCTCTAGTCCCAGCTACTCAGCAGGCTGAGGTGGGAGGATTGCTTGAGCCTGGGAGGCGGAGGTTGCAGTGAGACATCATGCAACTGGATTCCAGCCTAGGTGACAAAGTGAGACCCTGTCTCAAAAAAAATAAGATAGTCCTTTAGTGTAGTGAGGTCCAAGATATTTAAATATACAACAATTGATGTCACTGACCCAGTACAGTATACTATATACTTTGAGGTGTTTTATTTCCTCCTCGTAATATTGAAGATTTTGAACTAAGTTACTTATAATTCCCTTTTATTGTATGATTGCTGCCATGTATTTGCCTTGTATTAGGATTATAGTCCTAAGCCTTGGAATGAAGTAAATAGTAGTAAATATACAGGATTCCCTAGATCAGTGGTCCCCAGCCTTTTTGGCATCAGGGACTGGTTTCTTGGAAGACAGTTTTTCCATGGATGGGGTAGGAGGGATGATTTCAGGATGAAGCCGTTCCCCCTCAGATCATCAGGCATTAGATTCTGCTAAGGGTCACGCACCTGCAGTTCACAATAGGGCTCGCACTCCTATGAGAATCTAATGCCGTAGCTGATCTGACAGGAGATGGAGCTCAGGCGGTAATGCTCACTCACCCACCACTCACTTCCTGCTACATGGCCGAGTTCCTGACAGACCATAGACTGGTACCAGTCAGTAGCCTGGGGCTTGGGACCCCTGCCCTAGATCTAATAGACAAATCAAAATAGAATAGCACTAACCATTCTATTTGGTAAAACAGTTAACTGAATATGCAACATGATCACTGTGCCAGAGGATAAGTAGATTGCCAGACTGGAAATTACCTGTCAAGCTCATGGAAATTTTATCTTATTAAGCTTATTCTTGTGGTAGAGAAGGAGGAGGGATTTTGCAAAGGGAAATGATTTGTGATTAACAGATTTCTTTGAACAGACTAATTGATGTGATAAGCATTAATATGTTTTTTAGGCTTAAACTTTTTTTTCCAGATCACAAAGTGATCTAAACCATTAGGGCTTTAACAAATCTACTTCCACAACTGGATATTGGTAATTCTGTTTTGTACTTTAAACATCAATTGGCGTATTTTTAAAATCTCATATTTTGGTTCTAAATAATGAGAAAGAAGAAAAGTTTTGACTCTTTGCAAGCCTTTGTCAGAAAATAACACATCGCAAGTATAGACAATCCTTGCTTAAAATTAAAAACTGAGTATATTGGGAGGCTGAGGTGGGAGGATCACTTGAGCCCAGGAGATTGAGGCTGCAGTGAGCTATGATCTCACCAGTGTACTGTAGCCTGGGTGACAGAGCAAGACCCTGTTTCAAAAATAAAATAAAATAAAACCTAAGTATAATATCATTACAATTTTTTCCCAAAGGTGGGCATATTCCTGAAGATGACCATTTTTTACATTGACTTTTAAAGTCCTAAAGATGGCTTGATGTGCTATCTAAAGTTTTTGGTCAAATGAATGGAATTTGTAGAATCTGTTGAAGATCATCTTGAGATTAAACTTGCAGAGTTATCATTCTTAATGCTCTTCATGAAATTGTATTTCTGGCTGGGCGTGTGGCTCACACCTTGTAATCCCAGCAGGTTAGGAGGCCTAGTCCGGCGGATCACTTGAGGTCAGGAGTTCAAGACCAATCTGGCCAACATGGTGAAACCCTGTCTCTACTAAAAATACAAGAATCAGTGGGTATCGTGATATGTCCCTATGGTCCCAGTTTCTTAGGAGACTGAGGCAGGAGAATCTCTTGAACCCGGGAGGTGGAGTTTGTAGTGAGCTGAGATGGCAACTGGGCGACAGAGTGAGTGACAATCCATCTCAAAAAAAAAAAAGAAACTATGTTTCAACATCAGTGTTTCTTGCTTCATGATGGGTATAGCTAGCCAAAACATTACTAAAAATATTAAAACTGTGTAAATGTCAAAATCTACATATCAGTTTGTTGTTATAGTATACTATTCTCCTCACCTATAATATTGGACTCCTTGATACCAATGTGAATTTACCTGGTATTCTGTGAGGTGACCTACTGTTGTTTTTCTAGAGTAGGGAGTAGAAATAGATGACTGTTCATGGTGAACTCTACCCTGTAAAGCAGAATTATATATTTGCCTGACTTGCTTCATCCAATGGCTACTGTCTGTCACCCTGAGAAGAATATTCAAGCATAGATGTTCACTGCTGCTTCACTACACTGGCTAAGATTCCTGGGTAGACTTCACTGGGCTCCTGGTGTCTATTTCCATTAAGACTCCTTTGCCTTGCTATAGCAGCCTGAAAAATTCCAAGAATTTTAGAAAGTTGTTTTTCATCTTCAGAGAGGACACATTACTTGATGTAGAGTGGAGGCAGTCACTTTTGCATATTCTGTGCTGCTGAGGCAATTTCTGCTATTCGTTCCTCTGACCTTCCTTGGGTTCGTTGAGCTTCTATGAAAGTATTCCTTTTTCCAGAGAGTAAAAGTGCTACTGCCTCTGTAATTTGGACTTCCCTACTTAAACTATTTTAAGGTACTTAAAACTATCTTCTGCTTCACAAGAGCCTTATTTTACTTCATTTCTTTCTTTGGGTTCCTGTTTTGCAAGGGCAAAAACTGAATAAAAATGATAGCATTCTATTTTCCAGCCACAAATGTGGTCCTTACCTCTTTCTAATTACATAATTCCATACTCCTGAGAGCTAGAATTTATTGTTAAGTGAAAAAGTTTTGTATTTTATTGAATCTAAGCTGTCATCAATGGAGAAATTCACTATTTACCACTAAGAAATAAAAATCATGCCCAATTAAACTGGGACACATCGCTGATTGTAAAATGCATCCTCGCTTTGGGAGACCGAGGCAGGCAGATCACGAGGTCCAGAGATGGAGACCATCCTGGCCAACATGGTGAAACCCATCTCTACCAAAAATACAAATTTTAGCTGGGCATGGTGACACACGCCTTTAGTCCCAGCTACTCGGGAGGCTGAGGCAGGAGAATTGCTTGAACCCAGGAGGCAGAGGTTGCAGTGAACCAAGATCCCACTGCACTCCAGCCTGGCAACAGAGACTCTGTCTCAAAAAAAAAAAAAAAAAAAAAAAAAAAAGCATCCTAACTTCATGGATGATAAAATGTGAACAATTGTCCATTTTGGAGAAATGTGTGTGAAAGAAAAACTTTCGAAAGCAGCACAGAGCCTAAATAAGCATAGGAGTGCTGGGCGCAGTGGCTCATGCCTATAACCCCAGCACTTTGGGCGACCAGGCGGGAGTATCACTTGAGCCCAGGAGTTTGAGGCCAACCTGGGCAGCACAGGGAGACCCCATCTCTACAAGTAATTTAAAGAGAAAATCAGCTGGGCATGGTGACATGTGCCTGTGGTTCCAGTTACCCAGAGGCTCTTGAGCCTGGAAGATCGAGGCTTCAGCGAACCATGATTATGCCACTGCGCTCCTCCAGCCTGGGTGACAGAGTGAGACTGTCTCAAAACAAGCATAGGAATAAGTATAACATAACTCCATTGGTTTTTAGAAGGGGCCAACCTCTGTAAAATTCTAGGGATGATTGAAGTATGACTCTGTTCTTTTTGTCTGGATCCAGTTTAGCATCAGGATGACTTTAAAGCCAGAGCACCACAATGTTGATTTCTATTTAGCTCTTAAGCCTATTTTAATCTCAGTGTTTTTTTCCAGAGTATGGCATACATCAATTGTATAAAAGAGATGAGGCCAGGCGCGGTGGCTCAAGCCTGTAATCCCAGCACTTTGGGAGGCCGAGGCGGGTGGATCACGAGGTCAGGAGATCGAGACCATCCTGGCTAACATGGTGAAACCCCGTCTCTACTAAAAATACAAAAAACTAGCCGGGCGTGGTGGCGGGCGCCTGTAGTCCCAGCTACTCGGAGGCTGAGGTGGGAGAATGGCGTGAACCTGGGAGGTAGAGCTTGCAGTGAGCCGAGATCGCGCCACTGCACTCCAGCCTGGGCGACAGAGCGAGACTCCGTCTCAAAAAAAAAAATAAATAAATAAATAAATAAATAAATAAAAGAGATGAAAGAGGTTGAAAGAGAAAGGCAATGAATTAAGGAATAGCAATTAGTAAATAATAGGGTTCTAGAGAGGAAGTATGCATTCAATTTGCTCTGCAGAACAAAACCAATTTTAGGCAGGGAAGAAAGGGAAAGTTTTCAAAGGAAGCTAACAGAACCAAGTGATTTATTGTTATAGTTTGATATACCCCAATGATTCTGGCTTGTTTCTGGATTCGTTATAAAGTACTTCAGATCTCATGGCCCTGTATTTTCATTCTGTTCTCAAGACCCATTGTTTTCATGTGAACTTTGGAACTGAGATAACAGTGCAGTAGATGGGGGTGGGGGGTTGGAGGTAGGGGTAATTAAAGAGAGTATTCTCTTAGTGGCTGTGTGACCCCCACAGTAGATAGGAAGTGACTTGTAGCTGGGGAGACATAACTATATCAACAGATTAGTTGTGGCTATGTTTTATGGTCAATTCTGTCCTTCCCTGTATTTCACAGGTTGAAGCAACAATGTTAAGAAGAGAAACTCAAAGAAAAATGGAACAGTAGTGGGCAAAACTGTGGTTTATTAAGTGTGATCATTCTCCATCATTCGGTTTCCAGCTTCCTTAACTTTTATTCCTCCTTTGCTCTATCCTCACAGAATTGCTGGAATCCACAAATACCAAACTATGGCCATTGAAGCTGACTTTGGAGGTGGCAGCTTGGTTTATCTTGCTTATTTTCATCCTGGAGATCCTTCTTAAGTGGCTATCCAACTTTTCCCTTTTCTGGAAGAGTGGCTGGAATGTCTTTGACTTTGTTGTTACCATGTTGGTAAGGATAGAGATCCTGAGGGTTCCTTTAGTGGGATGAGGAATGTGCCTAGGTGAATCGAAAGGACAAGAAAAGTTAACATGGTAATAGGAGGAAACAAAAATTGACTTAACTTCCTTCTTTTGATTTTTTTTCCTAAAACTAAACATCAGTCATTGCAGGAGTTGTTGGTATTAGGAGCAAGGTAGACCACAACGTCAACGCCAACAAGAACATCTGCCTATTACTGAGCACTTATTAAGTGCCAGGCACTATTTTAAGTATTTTCCTTACATTACCTCATTTATGCTCCATGACAACCCAATTAAATAACCATGAATTTTATCCTCCTTTTTATATCTGAACAAGTTGAAGTACAGCGTTTAAGCAACTTAATATAGAAAGGCTGAATAGGAAACAATTCTCAGAGAATGCTGTTCAAGGGATAATGCCCAGGGAACAATGAAGAGGATGAGATGAAGAAGGTGCAACTGTGCCTGCGTGCCTTGGGGTGTGTTTTACTCATAATCTGTGTGTTTTCCACAGTCCCTGCTTCCCGAGGTTGTGGTATTGGTAGGGGTAACAGGCCAATCGGTGTGGCTTCAGCTTCTGAGGATCTGCCGGGTGCTGAGGTCTCTCAAACTCCTTGCACAATTCCGTCAAATTCGAGTTATTATTTTGGTCCTGGTCAGGGCCCTCAAGGTGATTTGACTGTTGCAAGCTAAAGTAGGGGGCATGGTAGATAAATGTGAGGGCTTAACCTAGAATGTGAAACAAGTCGGCCGGGTGCAGTGGCTCACGCCTGTAATCCCAGCACTTTGGGAGGCCGAGGGGGACAGATCACGAGGTCAGGAGTTCTAGACCAGCCTGACCAACATGGTGAAACCCCGTCTCTACTAAAAATACAAAAATAAAAATAAAAATAAGCCGGGCTTAGTGGTGTTTGTCTGTAATCCCAGCTACTCAGGAGGCTGAGGCAGAAGAATAGCTTGAACCCAGGAGGTGGAGGTTGCAGTGAGCCAAGATTGTGCCACTGCACTCCAGCCTAGGCGACAGAGTGAGACTCCGTCTAAAAAAATATATATATATGTATGAAACAAATCTTGATGGGTCAAAGAAGGCAATGAAACGTCCTGTGATATGTTATTGGATGAGAAGGGGCTGGGGACAGGTGCTGTGATTCAGAGATGACTGGGTTCGGGATACAAGGGAGGGTTTGGTGTGGGATTGCCAGGTAGGCTTGACTGGGCTGTTGGTGGAAATCAGCCTAGTCTGGCCCACATTTGACTTGAGGTTATGGCCTCTAGAGCATGACCTTCCTCTTGATGTTGCTGCTCATCTTCTTCTACATTTTTGCTGTGACTGGTGTCTACTTCTTCTCAGACTACACCCGTTCACCTCGTCAGGACCTGGAGTACCATGTGTTCTTCTCGTAAGCAGAGCTGGGGGACAGCTGGGTGAGGGGAGAGAAGTTGACTAAGAGACCGGGAAGCTTGTCCAAAGTATAGTAATATAAATACAGTCTATTCCAAGAAACAAATAGAACACAATAGGGAGAGGGAAAGAGAAAGCAAAAGAATAGTGAGTGGTTTTAGCTCTGCTCTTGAGAGTGGGGCAGCTAGTTCCATGTTTATTCTGGGTTTGGAAATTCAAACCACACTGTCATCAGGCATCTTTAAATAGCAGTACACTCCAGTGGTTAGGCTTGGTTTCTGTGAGTCAGTTACCTCTTTTGAAAAATGGGGGCCAGGCGCGGTGGCTCACCCCTGAAATCCCAGGACTTTTGGAGGCTGAGGCAGGTGGATCATGAGGTCAAGAGATTGAGACCATCCTAGTCAACGTGGTGAAACCCTGTGTCTACTAAAAACACAAAAATTAGCCAGGCGTTGTGGTGGGTGCCTGTAGTCCCAGCTACTCTGGAGGCTGAGGCAGGAGAATTGCTTGAATCTGGGAGGCAGAGATTGCAGTGAGCCGAGATCGTGCCACTGCACTCCAGCCTGGCGACAGAGTGAGACTCCATCTCAAAAAAAAAAAAAAAAAAAAAAGATAAAAAGAAAAATGGGAATAGGCTGGGTGCAGTGGCCTATGCCTGTAATTCCAGTACTTTGAGAAGCCAAGGCGGGTGGATCACCCGAGGTCAGGAGTTCGAGACCAGCCTGACCAACATGGTGAAACCCTGTCTCTACTAAAAATACAAAAATTAGCCAGGTGTGGTGATGGGCACCTGTAATCCCAGCTACTCGGGAGGCTGACACAGGAGAATCACTTGAACCCCAGAGGCGGAGGTTACAGTGAGCTGAGATTGAGCCACTGCACTCCAGCCTGAGCAACAAAGAGTGAAACTCTGTCTCCATCTCAAAAAAAAAAAAAAAAAAAAAAAAGAATAATAGCAGTGCTACTGCATAAGAGTGTGGGGATAAATATGGTAATGCATTTAGGCACTTAGCACAGTATGTGATATATTGTAAGTGATCAATGAATGTTACTCTGATTCTCAAATATGATCACTGGTTTTATCCCAATCTCTACATATTACACGTGCGTGTGCCTATTCCTGAGAAAACACTAATCAGTGCTCACTTCGGCAGCGCATGTACTAAAATTGGAATGATATAGAGAATATTAGCATGGCCATTGTGCAAGGACGACACACAAATTTATGAAGTGTTACATAGTTTTTTGTTTTTTTTTTTGAGACGGAGTCTCACTCTGTCGCCCGGGCTGGAGTACAGTGGCTGGATCTCAGCTCACTGCAAGCTCCGCCTCCCGGGTTTACGTCATTCTCCTGCCTCAGCCTCCCGAGTAGCTGGGAATACAGGCGCCCGCCACCTTGCCCGGCTAGTTTTTTGTATTTTTTTAGTAGAGACGGGGTTTCACTGTGTTAGCCAGGATGGTCTCGATCTCCTGGCCTCGTGATCCGCCCGTCTCGGCCTCCCAAAGTGCTGGGATTACAGGCTTGAGCCACCGCGCCTGGCCAGTTTTTTAAATATTAAAAAAGAAAACATCACTGTTTTCTAGAAGGAAATCAACTTGAATTTTGAGTAGATAATCCCGTTTATGAATTAGAATTCAATCTTGTCTGCGCTTCTCAGGACTCTGTTAAACTCTTAACAGATAGTTTTGTAAGAGTATTGAGTTAGGAAAGTCCTAGAATTTATCCTATACAAGCTTTGATGTTTTCAATAAATTGTATATGGAGGACTAAAAATAAAGGTAGGAAAATTTAGATACCTTCCCAGAAACTTTTTACTTTTTTAGTAATTTTAAAATATTAATAATTTTATAATCTGTATATATTCATTATTTAGGATCACATATGTTTATGTAGCATACCCATTTACCTGCATATCATTTCATACCAGCAAACTAATAGGAATAATTTTGTGAATGATCTTCTATTTCGCTAAATTTGCTAATTTTGCTAAATTTGCGAGTGATCTTCTATTAAGTGGAGTCCATAGAGCAGTGGAGAATAAAATTAGAAAAAAAGACCAGGCATGGTGGCTCACACCTGTAATCCCAGCACTTAGGGAGGCTGAGGCAGGCAGATCACTTGAGGTCAGGAGTTCAAGACCAGCCTGGCCAACGTGGTGAAACCCTGTCTACTAAAATTACAAAAATTAGCTGGGCATGGTGGCGCATGCCTGTAATCTTGACTACTCGGGAGGCTGAGGTGAGAGAATCACTTGAGCCTGGAGGGCAGAGGTTGAAGTGAGCTGAGATCGCGCCACTCTAGCCTGGATGATAGACTGAGACTCTGTCTCAAAAAAAAAAAAAAAAAAAGAACTAGTTGGTGATTCATTCATCTTTTAAAAATTCAGTTAATGCCTATTTATTGAGTATTTATTATACCCCAGGACTAATGGGATAGTGAGAGGTAGTCATAGATTATTTATGATAAAGGAGAATTTAGGCTGGGTGCAATGCTTACACCTGTAATCCTGTACTTTGGGAGGCTGAGACTGGCGGATCACCTTAGGTCAGGAGTTCGCCACCAGCCTGGCCAACATGGCAAAACACCATCTCTACTAAAAATACACAAATTAGCTGGGCATGGTGGTACATGCCTGTAATCCCAGCTACTCGGGAGGCTGAGACAGGAGAATCTCTTGAACCCAGGAGGTGGAGGTTGCAGTGACCCTAGATTGCGCCACTGCACTCCAGCCTGGGCAACAGAGTGAGACTCCGTGTAAAAAAAACAAACAAACAAAAAAAAACAACTTCAAACTGAAGAATGATTAGCTAAAAACTGAGTATGGTAGAAAAGGAGCCAAAATCAGAACAAACTACAAAGAAATGCTTTATGTTTCTTTAAAAGTAAGAATGGTACCATTTTTGAAAGGTTTAGGCCTCTGTTTCTGTCTATTCACATGCCTTTTTCTTTAGGGACCTCCCAAATTCCCTGGTAACAGTGTTCATTCTCTTCACCTTGGATCATTGGTATGCACTGCTTCAGGATGTCTGGAAGGTGCGTGAAGTCAGTCGCCTCTTCAGCAGCATCTATTTCATCCTTTGGTTGTTGCTTGGCTCCATTATCTTTCGGAGTATCATAGTAGCCATGATGGGTAAGCATAGAGGAGGTGAAACTTGTTTGGGAAGGGTGGTTGGGAAGAAATTAGTCTGAAAGCAGGGATTGGTGGCTTATGGGTATAAAGAACCTAGTGTAGCAGGAAGGCTTGGGTTCTGGATGGGATATTTCACTTGGATTCTCCTCACCCAAGCCCTCTTCCCAGGTCTAGTCATTAACATCTCCCAACTCCTAATGGCCCTTTGGGGCAGTTACTAACTTTCAGAATATCAGGAAAGAGATGAATGAGGAGATGGCACGTCAGGAGGTTCAGCTGAAAGCTGACATGTTCAAGCGGCAGATCATCCAGAGGTCTGCTTCTCCCTTTTCAACCCCAACTTTCCTTCTCAAGTGTTTCCTGAGCTCATTTCTTGTTTCTACTCAACCCCACTTTTCCCTTTGTGACAGAAGATTTGCCCTCAAGGATAAGAATTCTCTGGCTCTAGAATATTGCCTGATTTTTCATCCACTGTGGGGAGCCCTCCATTTATTTTCACCTCTTGACTACAATTTGTTCTCCCCAGTTAGTTTTCTTCACTTTCTGATATGAACTCTTTTTTTCTTACCACACTTTTACTTGAATGTAACTGTCTTTGCTCTTTTTTTTTTTTTTTTCTGCTTTGCAGGAGAAAAAACGTGTCACAGGAGGGACTGAAGTCAAGCCATAGCAAAACAGATGACAGGTTAGGAGTATGTACGTGAACTGGGATAGAAACACATGAAGGAAGAGAGGGTGGAAAACTAAAGATGAAGATTGGCTTTGAGAGATAATTCATTCATTTAATAACTGCATATTGTAGTAGGTTGACTAGTGGCACCCAAAATAATATGTCCATGTGCTTACTCCCTGGAACCTGTGAATGTGACCTTACTTGGAAAAAAAAAGATCCTAGGTTAAGGATCTTGAGATGAGATCATCCTAGATTATCCGGGTAGGTCCTAAATCCAATGGCAAGGGTACTTATAAGAGATGAGAGAGGAGAAGACACAGAGAATAGGAGAAGGCTATGTGAAGATGGAGATAGAGGTTGGGGCTAAAGCCCCCACAAGCCAAGGGAGGCCGAGGAATGCCAGGCAGCTGCCAGAAGGTAGAAGAGGCAAGGAACTTCTCCCCTAAAGTCTCCGGAGGGTGTATGGCCCTGCCAACACCTTCATTTCAGACTCTGGCCTCTAGAATTGTGAGGGAATATATTTCTGTCATTTTAAGATACCAAGTTTATAGTAATTTGTTATGGCAGCCTCAGGACACTAATACAGATACCTTCAATGAAACAAATATGAATCTAGACCCCAAGTGTTCAGCAGTGGACAAAGAAAGCAGAAGCAGAAATGAACTCATTCACTCATTAACAAATAATTACTGGCTAGATGTGGTGGCTTATACTTGTAATCCCAACACTGTGAGAGGCCAAGGCAAGAGGATTGCTTGAAGTTCAAGCCAGAAGTTCAAAGCTGCATTGAGACATGATTGCACCACTGTAGTCCAGCGTGGGCAACAGAGCAAGATCCCATCTCAAAAATTTAGCAGGGTGGGCGCAGTGGCTCATGCCTTTAATACCAGCATTTTGGAAAACTGAGGTGGTCAGGTCACTTGAGCTCAGGAGTTCAAGACTAACCTAGGCAATATGGCAAAATTCTGCCTCTACAAACAAAAATTAGCTGGATGTGGTGGTGTGCTCCTGTGGTCCCAGCTACTTAGGAGGCTGAGGTAGGAGGATCACTTGAGCCTGGGAGGCTGAGGCTGTGGTGAGCCGTGATTGTGCCACTGCTCTGCAGCCTGGGTGACAGAGCAAGACCCTGTCTCAAAAAAACAAACAAAAAACTATAAAGAACAAATAATTATTGAATACTTAGTAGGTGCTTGGGATGTATCGGTGAACAAAATAGACAATAATGCCTTCTTCATGGAGCTTACCTATTAGTAGTGATAAAGAGATAATAAGCAGTGAACATATTAAGTAAATTAATCTGTTAAAATATGATCAGCATTATGGGAAAATTAAAAGTAGAACAGGTTAAAGGAGATTGGGAGTAGAAGGTGGGATTGCAGATGTGTTGTAGTTTTATTTTTTTGGTTTTTTTTTTTTGAGACAGAGTCTTGCTCTGTTACCAGGCTGGAGTGCAGTGGCACGATATCGGCTCACTGCAACCTCTGCCTCTGGGTTCAGGTGATTCTCCTGCCTCAGCCTCCCAAGTAGTTGAGACTACAGGTGCCTGCCACCACACCCGGCTAATTTTTTTTTTTTTTTCTTTTTTTCCTGTAGAGACGAGGTTTCACCATATTGCCCAGGCTGTCTCAAACTCCTGAGCTCAGGCACTCCGTCCGCCTCAGCCTCCCAAAGTGTTAGGATTACAGGCGTGAGCCCCGGTGCCCAGCCACAGATGGGTTATAGTTTTAAACAGGGTAGTCAGGGTGACCTCATTGAAAAGGTAATATGAGCAAAGACTTGAAGGAGGTAAGGGGATCACCATGTGGGTATCTATAAGAAGAGTGTTAATAGGCAGATGAAACAGCTAGTGCAAAGGTCCTAAGCTGGAAGCATGCTTGGTGTGTTTGAGAAACAGCAAGGAGGCCATTGTGAATGGAGTAGAGTGAGCAGGGGGAAGAGTGCTGGGAAATGAAGTCAGAGAGATAATGGTGACATGATCCTGTAGGGTTAGGGGTGCCATTGTAGGGACTTTGAAATGGAAAGCAGAACAGAGGAGTGACATGAGGTGACTTACATTTAAGAAGGATTACTTGCTGTGTTGGTAGAAGAACAAGGGAAGGAGCAGAGAGATCAGTTGGGAGGCTATACTGCTGCCTAGGCAAGAAATGGTGACAGCTTAGGCCAGAGTGGTAGCAGTGAGTTAGTGAGAAAAGATTTATTTCGAAGGTATAGAGTCAGCATGATTTCTTGATGGACTGGATATGGTAGGGAAGAGAAGAGTTAAGGATGACACATGAATGATTGAGTTTGGAAGTGCCTGAGTTTAGAGTTTGGGAGTATTTTGGCTCTCATTGTCTTATGCCCCAGCTTTAGGAGGTGGCCAGGACCAGAACCAGAATAATGAGTGGACTAGTCATGTCTTTTTTTTTTTTTTTTTTTTTTTTTTTTTTGAGACGGAGTCTCGCTCTGTCTCCCAGCCCAGGCTGGAGTGCAGTGGCGCGATCTCGGCTCACTGCAAGCTCCGCCTCCCGGGTTCACGCCATTCTCCTGCCTCAGCCTCCCGAGTAGCTGGGACTACAGGTGCCCACAACCGCGCCCGGCTAATTTTTTGTATTTTTAGTAGAGACGGGGTTTCACCGTGGTCTCGATCTCCTGACCTTGTGATCCGCCCGCCTCGGCCTCCCAAAGTGCTGGGATTACAGGCGTGAGCCACCGCGCCCGGCCCTAGTCATGTCTTGTAAATGTTTGTGAAGTCATGATTTTCTCCTTTCAGTACAAGAGGAGCTGGTCAACAAAGGGAAAGTTCGGACTTATCAGAAGTGTCTGAAGTAGGGTCTAATTATGGTGCCACTGAAGAGGATTTAAAAACATCTGCATCAAAAACAAAAGAGACCTTGTCAAAAAAGAGAGAGTACCAGTCTTCCTCCTCTGTTTCCTCCACATCCTCTTCCTATTCTTCCTCTTCTGAATCCAGATTTTCTGAATCTATTGGTGAGCCAAAGAACTATAATAATGAGTTTTTTCCATTTGAATTCAGACTACTCTATAAGACATCTTACTCTTAACAGGAGCTCTCCTACTGTATCTCCTCTCCAATTTTCTGGTTTTTTTTTTTTTTTTTTTTTTTTTTGAGACGGAGTCTCGCTCTGTCACCCAGGCTGGAGTGCAGTGGCCGGATCTCAGCTCACTGCAAGCTCCGCCTCCCAGGTTCACGCCATTCTCCTGCCTCAGCCTCCAGAGTAGCTGGGACTACAGGCGCCCGCCACCGCCCCCGGCTAGTTTTTTGTATTTTTTTTTAGTAGAGACGGGGTTTCACCATGTTAGCCAGGATGGTCTCGATCTCCTGACCTCGTGATCCACCCGTCTCGGCCTCCCAAAGTGCTGGGATTACAGGCTTGAGCCACCGCGCCCGGCCAATTTTCTGGTCTTAATGACTTTCTTTTTGCTTCTAATTTCCCCTGTCCTCCTTCTTCACTTTGGGTAAGTGTGGCTGTGGCCCTCTTTGCTCACTGTAAAAAGTGATTTCTTGCTGATGCACCCTTTCCCTCCTTGCTTCCTGTTACCTCTTCCCACCCCACCTTTCCACCCACACCATAGGATTTACCAGCTTTTATCCAACTTTTACAAACCTAGCCATGCTTTTCTGAAGCATTCCTCCCAACAGGTCATTTGGACTGGGAGACTCTTGTGCATGAAAATCTGCCCGGGCTATTGGAAATGGATCAGGATGACCGTGTTTGGCCCAGAGACTCACTCTTCCGATATTTTGAGTTGCTAGAAAAGCTTCAGTATAACCTAGAGGAGCGTAAGAAGTTACAAGAGTTTGCAGGTATGGAGTTAGGGCAGTCATGGGGACCATGGGAATATATATATAGCGTTTATAACTGTGGAGGAGGAGGAGGGTGTCCGCTATTCTGGCATCTCAGCTTCTAAATTTCTGCCTATACCTAAAATAGGCAAATTCTTGGTTTGGTTTGTCACATTCTGGGCATGTGTCCCACTTTTCCCTAACTGAGAGAGAACCTAGAAACTCTGCTTCTGTAGCACGGGACGCCCAAATCCTATGAGGTATGAGAGCTTATTTCCCAAGAAGAGAAAGTCTAATCTCAGTTGTTGGGAATTAGGACAAGGTAGGCTCTTGCTTGATTTGGGCAGCCCACCGGTTTCTGCATGTTTGTTCTCTCTGAAGATTGCATTTCAGACTTGAGCAGCAGGGCCTAAGGCTCAATCTGGAGAGCTATGGGGGATCAGACAATGAGCAGGAGGCCCACAAGTGCTCACTGTCCTAACTCCCTAAAGAAGTTTATGAATTCTAAACTTCTGTTTGTATCTGCCCCTTCTAGTGTCAGCCTCTATAAAGATAAATATGTGATTTAAATAGTAGAGTTTGATGTAAACTGAGCACTATCTTTTCAAAGTTATTTTTCCTAAATTTCATTACTTCATGACTAATTTTGATTAATACAGTTTCCCTCTAAAAGCAAAAAAAAAAAAAAAAAAGGCTGGGCATGGTGGCTCACACCTGTAATCCTAGCACTTTGGAAGGTTGAGGTGGGCAGATCACGAGTTCAGGAGATCAGGATCATCCTGGCCAACATGGTGAGACCCTGTCTCTACTAAAATACAATAAAGCAGCTGGGCATGGTGGCACATGCCTGTAGTCCCAGCTACTCCGGAGGCTGAAGCAGGAGAATTGCTTGAACCTGGGAGGCAGAGGTTGCAGTGAGCGGAGATCACACCACTGAACTCCAGCCTGGCAACAGAACGACACTCCATCTCAAAACAAAGCTAAAACAGAAGAGTTAGGGGCGGATTTTTATAATTTAATGTGTGTTATCTGGGTTTTTCCCCTCATACCTAGTTGAAATCAACTCAGCGTGAAAATAAGAAATTAGAGAGGAGGACTGTGTGTTTGTGTGTGGTGGGCACAGGTGGGCAATGAGGAATTTATAACATTAGAACACGGAATTTAGGGCAAGATGTGAAAGACAGGCTTTGCTTACTTCAAAACGTTGCCTAAATTTAATCCTGTTCCTGCTAGTCATTCTTAGCCCTGCCTTCCCACTTATTCTCTAGGGAGGACAGGGTGAAAAGGAGGAAAATGCAGCAAGGTGGTTTCTTTAATCCTGATAAACTTGTCTATGGCAAAGAGTACACAGAATCATAAAGCTTAATTTAAAGATTAGTAAAAGACTTTTGTGGGAACCTAGAACCCAGAAAAGCAAGGTCTTCGCCAAACATTTACGTATGTAGAATATTCTTAGTTCTCCAGCCTGACAATCTGTTTCCTTTGCAGTGCAGGCACTGATGAACTTGGAAGACAAGTAAAGCAATGGATGGCTTCAATATCCTTGGGCCCAGCAAAAGATAATGAAGGGAATTGTTGAAAATGGAGAATTGAAAATATAAATGTCTGTTCAGATAGAACAATGTCTGTTCATTAAAATTAAAAAGTATAAGTGTGTAGGCCAGGCGTGGTGAAACCCCGTCTCTACTAAAAATACAAAAAAAAAAAAAAAAAAATTAGCTGGGTGTGGTGGCGGATGCCTGTAATCCCAGCTACTCGGGAGTGTGAGGCAGGAGAATCACTTGAAGCTGGGAGGCAGAGGTTGCAGTGAGCCAAGATCACGCCACTGCACTCCAGCCTAAGCAACAGAGTGAGACTCTGTCTCAAAATACATAAATAAATAAAAGTATAAGTGTCTAATATATACTGCTGATAGCTGCTCAGTAAGATAAGGCATATTGAAAGGCATAAGGTCAAGAAAAAGAGTTAGTTCAAGCTGAGTGTGGTGATGTGTACCTCTAGTCCCAGCTATGAGCTGAGGCAGGATTGTTTGAGGCCAGGAGGTTGAGGCTGCAGCAAAGTAGGATCATACCACTGCATTCCAGCCTTGGCAACATAGCAAGACCCTGTCTCTAAAAAAGAACAAAACAAGTTAGCTCAGATGCCAGTGGAGACTGTGCTCCTTAGCTTTCTACCCTTTCCACGGCTCCTGAATCCGACTCATTTCTTGACTTTGTCATTATAGCTTCCACCCTTCCTGCAACCTCTGCTGCCTGATTATGGTCCTAATTTTACCCTCTCCCTCCCTGATGCATAGGTAAAGGCCTCTCTGGAGTAAGGAGATCTTCAGAGCTGTTAGTATAACTAATTGAGAAGTATTGTTTCCATTGCCTGTTCTACTAATGTTGCTTCTCTTGTGAACCATTAACTTTAACTGGATATTATTTTTACCTGTTACTGGACCATAAGTCTCTTTATTTCATTTGGCCATTGCTCAGGGCAATGTAAATCAGTAAGTGTTGTACAGGTTTTTAGTGTTAGAAGGGATTTCAGAGTTAATCTATCTCCCATCAAAGCAGGAACACCTTTTAGAACATCACTGAAAGGAGGATTATCCAGGTAATGCTTAATGTTTCTAGTTATTTGGGATTCATTATGTAGAAGGGATCCCATTCCATTGTTAGAAGACTTAAGTCTTTAGACATGTTTATGATTAAAAATTATATCACTTATTGAGTGTTTAACATGTATGAGGATATTTGTATATTTAGTATATATATACTGTATATAGAGTATGTATATTTCATAGAATAATCTTATATGGAAGATAGCCTCCTATTTTTAGAGATCAGAAAACTAAGGCCTAAAGAAATTAAGTAAGTTAAGTAACTTGCCCAAGAGCATATACCAAGTAAGAGGTAGAGCTAAGGTTCTAACTCAGGTTAAAAATTCTGAGTTGAGAAAAAAATCAGTTGAAGCCATTTAAACAACAAAATAGCTTACCGGAGACTGGGAAGTTCATAGGTAGTATAGCTTCAGGATTGATTTAATGTGAAAATTCACTGTTGTTAAATCTGTGGTTTTGTTTCTCTGGAATTTTGCTATCTGCGCTCTCCTCCACGTGTTGTTATTATTCTCAGAGTGGCTTCACTTGGGTAGCCAGATAATTTTCTGAAGCACCTAGGCTTGCTTACCTATTTACCCATATCCAGGGGAAGAAAGCCAGTGAGTCTTTTCTCAGTCAATGAACAAAATGTTTGAGCTTTGGGTCACAATCATGGTTATTCTTGGAGTGAAGATACTGATGGGGAGGAAGCATGAAGCCTCTGGAGTGCTGTAGATATGTTCCATATCTTGATCTGCATGGTGGTCACACAGGTATATATAGATGTAAAAATTTAACAAACTTTACACTTAAAATTTGGGCATTAACTGTATGTAAGTCAATCTCCACTCCTCTACAGACACATCCTGACCACCACTGATTGGACCAAGAAGTTAAATCATATGCTTATGAATTGTTGAGGTAATTCGTAACGAATTGTTGAGGTACTTCGAACGAATTTTTGAGGTAAGGTGAATGTGATGGAATCACTAATTAAGGCTTTCTCCTGAACTGGAGGTAAGGTCAGTAACACCCAACCTGAAGTAAGGGCTGCTACCCAAATGGGGAGGAGATGAAAGGGGACCATAAGGAGGTAATTATAAAGTCCTCACCTAAGAGTGTGTCTGGCAAAAAGGCCAAGATGGGGAGAAGGCAAATGAATTGAATGTCCGGAATAAACAAATCTATGAAGACAGAAAGTAGATTAGTGGTTTCTTGGGGGTTGGGGAGGGAGGAATTGAGACTGACAGATAATAGGTATAGGGTTTCTTTGGCAGGTGATGGAAATGTTCTGGAATTCAATAGTCTTGAATAGTTCAACAATATATTTAAAAACACTGAATTGGGCTGTGGGCAGATGGAGTATCACTCTGTCGCCCAAGCTGGAGTGTAGTGGCACAATCTCTGCTCATTGCAACCTCCGCCTCCTGGGTTTAAGCGATTCTCGTGCCTCAGCCTCCCAAGTAACTGAGACTACAGTCGCACGCCACCACGCCTGGCTAATTTTTGTATTTTTAGTAGAGACAGGTTTTTGCCATGTTGGCCAGGCTGGTCTTGACCTCTTGGCCTCAAGTAATCCGCTCCTCCTTGGCCTCCCAAAGTACTGGGATTACAGGTGTGAGCTACTGTGCCCGGCCCCCTCCTGACTTTCTATAGCTGATCTGTGGTCTGTGCATTCTGCATTTTATTCTTTAACTCTTTCTTCAGTGAAAACAATCTGAGTTTAATCCTACAGGAGTGGAAGTTTATTCAACAAATTTGTTGAGTTTGTATGTTCCAAACATTGTTCTAGATACTTGGGATATATCAGTGAATGAACAAAACAGAAATCCCTGTCCATCCTAACTAGTTCCTCATATGATCAAATAATAAAACTTCCATGAAGATAGTAATTTTGTCTCCTCCCCTGTTTTCTGGTTGTTGTTTGTTTGGTTTGGTTTGGTTTTTGAGACAGGGTCTTGCTCTTTCACCCAGGCTAGAGTGCAGTGGTGCAATCATAGCTCACTGCAGCTTTGATCTTCTAGGCTCAAGTGATCCTCCTGCCTCAGGCCCTTAAGTAGTGCGGACTGCAGGTGCATACCACCACACTTGGCTAATTTTTTAAATTTTTTGTAGAGATGGGGGTTTCACTGTGTTGTAATATGTCCAAAACTGAACTTATTCCCACTTCTTCAAACCTGTTCTTCCTATTCTAATCTCAAGAACTGCCAAACAATTTCTATGGGCTCGGAAAGTCCTCAAAGATCTCCTTGCTGCTTAACTTTTTCTGTATTTTGTCTGAAGGTCTTTCACTTAAGATGCTATTTCTTTTTTTTTTTTTTTTTTTTTTTGAGACGGAGTCTCGCTTTGTCTCCCAGGCTGGAGTGCAGTGGCCGGATCTCAGCTCACTGCAAGCTCCGCCTCCCGGGTCCACACCATTCTCCTGCCTCAGCCTCCCGAGTAGCTGGGACTACAGGCGCCCACCACCACACCTGGCTAATTTTTTTTTGTATTTTTTAGTAGAGACGGGGTTTCACCGTGTTAGCCAGGATGGTCTCGATCTCCTGACCTCATAATCCACCCGTCTCGGCCTCCCAAAGTGCTGGGATTACAGGGTTGAGCCACCGCGCCCGGCCAAGATGCTATTTCTTGTACCAGTTTTTGTGTTAAGATTCTTTAAGTTGGCCAGGCATAGTGGTTCACATCTGTAATCCCAGCACTTTGGGAGGCCGAGGCGGGCAGATCACCTGAAGTCAGGAGTTTGAGAGCAGTCTGGCCAACATGGCAAAACCCTGTCTCTACTAAAAAATACAAAAAATATCTGGGCATGGTGGCTTGTACCTGTAATCCCAGCTACTGAAGCTGAGGCAGGAGAATTTATTGAACCCGGGAGGCAGAGGTTGCAGTGAGCCAAGATTTTGCCATTGTACTCCACCCTGGGCATCAACAGCGAAACTCCATCTCTAAAAAAAGAAGGTTCTTTTTTTTTTTTTTGAGTCGGAGTCTCGCTCTGTCTCCCAGGCTGGAGTGTGGTGGCGCAATCTCAGCTCACTGCAAGCTCCTCCTCCTGGGTTCATGCCATTCTCCTGCCTCAGCCTCCCAAGTAGCTGGGACTACAGGCGCCCACCACCATGCCCAGCTAATTTTTTGTATTTTTAGTAGAGATGGGGTTTCACTGTGTTAGCCAGGATGGTCTCGATCTGCTGATCTTGTGATCTACCCGCCTTGGTCTCCCTAAGTGCTGGGATTACAGGCGTGAGCCACTGCACCCGGCTGAAAAGATTAAGTTGCAGAAGAAGAATTCATCTTGAGCTAGTCTATTCATAGTGGTGATAAGATTTAGTGGATCTGTTCCAGTACCTGGCACATCAAGACACTTTATAATACAAGTGAATGAGCAAAATTGGGTGGGTGAGTAATAGTATCTCTATTTTACAGATGAGTGAATTATAGAAACTTCTTGGGGTCACCAGACTAATAAATATGGAACGAAGACCTAGAATTCAGAGATCTGATATCAAAATGCAAATATGACTTAACTGTCTTAATCAGGAGAGTCAAAGGCTGTGCTGCAAGAATAAATTAACCCCTACATCTCAGTGATTTAAGTATTAAGAAAGGCATATTACTCACTCGTGGAGGTTTCAATACTGATTGGGTAACTGTTCAAGGCAGCTACAGTAAATTTTTATTATTCGTGATACTTATGTTTTATAAAGTTGCAGCAAACAACTGAATTAGTGACTACTGAACCATTGCTCCCAGGAGAAATACAGGGTTAAGTTCCTGTGGGCCTCTGGTCACAACATTTTCATCAACTGATCAAATATATAACCTTGGTTTTCTTTGTGTTTCTGTTTATAGACACCTTATTTAATATATGTTGTTGATTGATTAACATTGAACTCATGGCCAACAACACTGTGACTCATGCCTGAATGAAGCTTTTCTTTTCTTTTTTTTTTTTTTTTTGAGACAGAGTTTCGCTCTGTCACCCAGGCTGGAGTGCAATGGAGCGATCTCGGCTCACTGCAATATCTGCCTCTCGGGTTCAAGTGATTCTCCTGCCTCAGCCTCCTAAGTAGCTGGGATTACATGTGCCCGCTATCGCGCCCAGCTAATTTTTGTGTTTTTAGTGGAGACGGAGTTTCACCAGGTTGGCCAGGCTGGTCTCGAACTCTTGACCTCAGGTGATCCACCTGCCTCAGCCTCCCAAAGTGCTGGGATTACAGGCGTGTGCCACCTCGCCTGGCAATGAATGAAGCGTTTCTAGCATAGTTTATAAGGCACATTACAGCCTTCTTGCTCTTAAGAACACCGCACAACACTTTGGCATTAAGTGTAAGAGCCATTTTAAACAGTGAAATCACCAACAAATAGCCCCAAAATGCAAAAAGTGCATCACTAGATAGACCTTAAAAAAGACACTTACCGGCCGGGCGCGGTGGTCACGCCTGAAATCCCAGCACTTTGGGAGGCTGAGGTGGGCAGATCATGAGGTCAGGAGATTGAGACCATCCTGGCTAACATGGTGAAACCCCGTCTCTACTAAAAATACAAAAGATAGCTGGGAGTGGTGGCACGTGTCTGTAATCCCAGCTACTCCGGAGGCTGAGGGAGGAGAATCACTTGAACGAGGGGGTCAGAGGTTGCAGTGAGCTGAGATTGCCACTGCACTCCCACCTGGTGACACAGCAAGACTCCGTCTCAAAAAAAAAAAAAAAAAAAAAGAGACACTTACTAATATTTACACCACGAGAGCTGCAACAAGAAAAGAAGGCACAGCACTGCCTTGTTCCACTTCAGCTGGGAACATGTGTATCAGGTGACTCAAACTTGTCACTTCTCAATACAAGTCTGTGAATGACCTCAGTAGCACTGTAAGTATTGATTTTGGGTTACAAACACATTTAGTGACGAGGCAAATCCACTAATACAGAACTCACAAGTGTCGAAGACTGACTGTAAATGCTGTGGTAGTTTGGAGCCTCGGGCTATTTTGACCTTGTGACACTGCCATCTCAACATGTAGTTTCTAGGTTGCCTCAACAGCGAAGAGATTGTTGGAGGCTCATTTGCTAGCTCTTAAATTCTTTGGTCAACCACAGTCCATTGAACAGAACTAATCACCTGAGCCCACCTAACCGCAAGAGATCTGGAAAATGTGAGGAACACCTAGATATCTAGTAAGCAATTAATATTTCAGTTACAAAAGCCAAAACAAAAAAAGAGAAAAATAATTGTACTTTACAAAGGGAGGCATCTGGCTGGGTACAGTGGCTCACGCCTGTAATCCTAGCACTTGGGAGGCTGAGGCAGGCGAATTGCCTGAGCCCAGGAGTTTGAGACCAGCCTGGGCAATGTGGCGAAACCCTGTCTCTACTAAAAATACAAAAAAAGCAGCTGGGCTTGGTGGCGCGCACCTATAATCCCAGCTACTCAGGAGGCTGAAGCATGAGAATTGTTTGAACCCTGGAGGTGGAGGTTGCAGTGAGCTGAGATCACACCACTGCACTGCACCCTGGGTGACAGAGTGAGACTCAGTTTCATTTTTATTTTTTTTTTTAAAGGAGGCATTTGTTCTTGTCAGGCAGAGAGTGCCCTGTGGGAGTTTTGGGGAGTGAGGATGTTTCAGAGTTCTCAACTCCTGTGGCTCTTCCCAGGTATATCCATTCTAACTGGCAAATCACAGAGTGTTCTAGTTATCACCAGTCTTATCCATTTCATTTTAGCAGGACGTATGATTAATTTCTTGTTCTGGACCCTTGTAATTTAAATTTGCTGGTTGTTCTCTGTTTCCATTTGGTCATCTGTAGGTTGGAACTTGTCTCGCTCTTGTTGAACTTTATCAAATTATAAGCAATAACCAATACACTCAAATAGCCTAGTATATTTGCCATAAACCCTAAGCACTTCGCCCTCAGTTTGCACATAGTCTGAATCCTTAGCAGCAAGAAAATTGCTTAATCAGCGGCTTACAACAGCAGAACATGGACTGCCAGGAAATTTTCCATGCTGAGTTGAGGGAATCCTCATTGTTTCTCTCTCTGGTTGACTCAACTAGTTCCATATTTGTTCTGAAGGTCTTTCACTCAAGATACAACTTCCAGATAATCGTTTATGTCTTCATTAGAACTCCTTTAGTTTCAAGTAGAAAAAATCATCTTGAGCTATTCTAATATAGTAATAGTAACATTGAGTGAATGTTTATTCTGTACCGGTGTCTGGCACGTAATAAGTGCTTAATCTTTGTTGAATGAATGCTAGACATTGCACTAAGCACTTTAAATGCATTATCTAATTTAATCCTCACAAAAACTCTACACTAGGATTTTTTCCTTTTTACAGTAAAAACAACAGCAACAACAACCACAACAACAAAAAAACAAAAACAGAGATTTAGAAGCTGCCCCAGGACACACAGCTAGTAAATGCTGGAACCAGGGTTTGAACCTAGACCATCTCATTTTTTGCTACCCTATGAGGAAAAAAGAGAATTTATTATAAGAGGGTTGTTACAGAATGAAGGGCAGAAATTCAGAAGGATTACAGGATGTGCTGGAACCGGAAAGCTGTTGGGAACTCGGGTCATATTCTCCCTCAGATTCATCTGTCTGCTTTTTAGACTAGATGTGGTATCCTTGATGGGCAAAGGGAATGTTGGTAAAATTACACAACAGATCATTTCACGCATCTCAACTTTTGATTTGCCTTGGAAAATCCCATCATTGCTCCCAGCTGTCTTGTGACCCGGGTTAAGTCATTCCATTTCTTTAGGCTTCAATTCCTCTGTCTATAAAATGAGAAGTTCTTACCAGAGGATTCCTCAGGTCTCTTCTGTGATCCTGGGAGGCCGAGGCAGGAGGACTGCTTGAGTCCACGAGTTCGAGGGTGCAGTGAGCTAGGATAATACCACAATATTCCAGCCTGGGCCACAGACCAAGACCCTGTCTCTAAATAAATAAATATATAAAACTAAAACTCCGTGATCCTAAGTGAATCTTCTAGGTCAGAAGCACATTAATAATGAAGTTCCATGTGTGAATTTGAGGGAGAGAATGGGGAAGGGTTCTAGGGAAAGGAGGACAGAATGAAAGTTTGGGTGTAGCTTCAGTGTTGAATTGCTTTTAGAGTTGGTGCAAAGTGAAGGCCTTTGGGGAGATATAAATGGAGAATGGAAAAGACTTCTAACCCTGGCCTAGGGCGGTGGCTCAAGCCTGTAATCTCAGCACTTTGGGAGGCCGAGGTGGACAAATCACTTGAGGTCAGGAGTTCAAGACCAGCTTGGGCAACATAGTGAAACCCTGTCTCCACCAAAAAATACAAAAATTAGCTGTGCGTGGTGGTGCGTGCCTGTAGTCCCCAGCTACTTGGGAGGCTGAGGCAGGATAATTGATTGAACCAAGGAGGCAGAAATTGCAGTGAGCCAAGATAGTACCACTGCAATCCAGCCTGGGTAACAGAGTGAGACTCATCTCAAAAAAATAAAAAAATAAAAAAATAAAAATGGCGTCGTGGCTCACACCTGTAACGCCAACATTTTGGGAAGCTGAGGTGGGCAGATCACTTGAGGTCAGGAGTTCAAGACCTGCCTGGTCAACATGGTGAAACCCCATCTCTACTAAAAATACAAAAATTAGGCAGTAGTGGTTCACACCTATAATCCCAGCTACTCGGGAGGCTGAGGCAGGAAAATTGCTTGAACCAGGGAGGCAGAGGTTGCAGTGGTGAGATAGCCCCACTGCACTCCAGCCTGGGCGACAGAGAGAGAGTCCATCTCAAACCAAAACCAAAAACCCAAAAAAACAAAAAACAAAAACAACAAAAAAGACTTCTAACCCTGACCAGACCAGATTATTTTGAATGACATCTCTTTCTCTCTGTTCCATGAGCAGTTCTGTGTGTAGGGAGATCAGTCCCTGTGCGTAGTGATTGAATCTGGTTTCTCTCTTCTTGGCTCAGAGTTTTTGAGAGGGCTTTCACTTAGGCCACAGAGAAAGAACCAAATAATAGGGCATCCCAGAGGGGAAGGGAAAACCAAAACATTTGAATGCCCTAATGAGCAAGTCACATTTCTCTGGGTCTGTTTCCTTATCCATAAGTTGAAAAGTTTGGTCTATGTGATCTCTGGGGTACTGCTCAGCTCTTGACACTCTGTGGTTCTGGGTAGTGAGTCAAAAGCAGCTTTCCTCTTCCTGAATTCTCCATCCTTGGACCAGACCTCTGTCTTCATTTCTCATCTGTTTATACCTTGCTGCCCAGTTTCTTGCTCCTGGGCATCCTTTCTTCCTCAATTTCTTCAAATCCTACTTGCTTCTTAGCTCCTTCATATCCTCTTTGTTTTCTATATTTCTGCAGAACCCCAGATTACACCCTTACACACCTGTTCTCCAGTTCTCCATCTCCATGTCTGCCTATTCCTTTCTGCATCATGGGCTCCTAACTCAAGCAATCTCCTTGGGTTCCTCTGAGGGGCCCCTGGGATCCCCTATCATTGGTTCCTCTCACAGAAGCCTACCCTTCTCCAGAGCCAAAGGATCAGATATTCAGTGGCTCAGGTAACAAACCTGCTGTCAGGTTACAGATATTGTTTCCTGAAAGACCACACTACAGTGTCAGTGGAGCCTCAGGCTGCCTGCAGTGCCCTGCCCTCACCTGGCTATCCCACACAGTTGAGATTAACCAGAACTCCCCTCCGGTACCAGTGTTCACCTGGAAACATGGCTCTGAGCCTCTGGCCCCTGCTGCTACTGCTGCTGCTGCTGTCCTTTGCAGGTGAGAAGAACAGTGAACAGAACTGGGGATGAGGAGGAGGGTGGCTGGAAAAAGATTTTAAGAATGTGGAGGTTAACCTGTTAGATAGAAGGACAAAGGAGAGAGGCAGAGACTTATGCAAAAGGAAAAAATGAGGGCTAAGAAAAGCAGGCCAAGACTTACTATGGGCCAATGAAAGGGGTTCAGCTGACCATTCCCTCACCTCATCTTTAGATCCAGGTAGAGAACTGTGCTCAGAGGCAGGGTTGAGTTTGGGCTCTATGTTCCTCCCCTTTAGTGACCTCTGGTTTCTCTCCTTACAGTGACTCTTGCACCTACTGGGCCTCAGTCCCTGGGCCCTGGTCTCTCCTTCCTGAAGTCATTGCTCTCCACTCTGCACCAGGCTTCCCAGGGCTCCCTGAGCCGCTCACAGTTCTCTACATTCCTGGCCAACATTTCTTCTTCCTTTGAGCCTGGGAGAATGGGGGAAGGACCAGTAGGAGAGCCCCCACCTCTCCAGCCACCTGCTCTCCGGCTCCATGATTTTCTAGTGACACTGAGAGGCAGCCCGGACTGGGAGCCAATGCTAGGGCTGCTGGGGGATCTGCTGGCACTGCTGGGACAGGAGCAGACTCCCCGAGATTTCCTGGTGCACCAGGCAGGGGTGCTGGGTGGACTTGTGGAGGTGTTGCTGGGAGCCTTAGTTCCTGGGGGCCCCCCTACCCCAACTCGGCCCCCATGCACCCGTAATGGGCCCTCTGACTGTGTCCTGGCTGCTGACTGGTTGCCTTCTCTGCTGCTGTTGTTAGAGGGCACACGTTGGCAAGCTCTGGTGCAGGTGCAGCCCAGTGTGGATCCCACCAATGCCACAGGCCTCGATGGGAGGGAGGCAGCTCCTCACTTTTTGCAGGGTCTGTTGGGTTTGCTTACCCCAACAGGGGAGCTAGGGTCCGAGGAGGCACTTTGGGGCGGTCTGCTACGCACAGTGGGGGTCCCCCTCTATGCTGCCTTTCAGGAGGGGCTGCTCCGTGTCACTCACTCCCTGCAGGATGAGGTCTTTTCCATTCTGGGGCAGCCAGAGCCTGATGCCAATGGGCAGTGCCAGGGAGGTGAGTGTGGCCAGGGCTGGGGCTGGGATGTGGCAGGGCAAGGAAAGTGAAATTGGGGTAGTTCTCTTCCTTACTCTTTCCGTCCTAGGTAACCTTCAACAGCTGCTCTTATGGTAAGTAAGAGGGGACCAGTTCTGAGGGATTGGGCCTGGAAAATCTAGAGGTGGAGAGCTGACGACATCAGCCTCTAGAGAGGAAAACTGATGGGAGGAGTGTGGTTTAGTGGTTTTGGAGTGTGACTGTCTGGGTTGGTGTCCCAGCTCCACGTCTTCCTAGCCATATGACCTTGGGCAGGTTACATAATCTTTCTATACCTCAGTTTCCCCATTTATAAAATGAGAATGATAATATTAGTTACCACAGAGTTGTTGCACCCGATTAAATGAGTTGATACTGTGTGTGCAAACAACTTAAAACAGTGCTGGCACATAGTGCTTAATAATGTTAGCTAGTAAAGATGGGATTTGGAAAATAAGGACACAGCTGGATTCCTCTACCCTCTTCCTACTTCAGTACGACAGTGCCAGAGCATAGTTAGACATATTGAGTTGCTGAGCAGATTTCTTAACGGGAGGCCCGCTGAGGGTTGTGTGTAAGCTATCTGAAAGCATATGAAGAAAGGAAACAGAAGGGAGCCAGGTGGACAGAAAGCATTCCAACTGGGGCTTCTCCTAGGTGATTTTGGAGCTTGGCGGGGCAGCTCTCTCCTTTTTGCCCTGTCGCAGCATTTCAACCAGTAATGCCTAAACTCTCAGGGACCTCACTTGTAGAAAAGCCTATGCTTGCCATGCCCCTTGAGGGCTCTGGGTCAGGGTCAGAATCTTCAGCCAGAGGAAATGTGAACTGACCAGATCCTGCCTGCTCCTCCCTCTGCACCCAGGGGCGTCCGGCACAACCTTTCCTGGGATGTCCAGGCGCTGGGCTTTCTGTCTGGATCACCACCCCCACCCCCTGCCCTCCTTCACTGCCTGAGCGCAGGTGTGCCTCTGCCCAGAGCTCCTCAGCCCTCAGCCCACATCAGCCCACGCCAACGGCGAGCCATCACTGTGGAGGCCCTCTGTGAGAACCACTCAGGCCCAGCACCACCCTACAGCATTTCCAACTTCTCCATCCACTTGCTCTGCCAACACACCAAGCCTGTCACTCCACAGCCCCCTCCCAGCACCACTGCCATCTGCCAGACCGCTGTGTGGTATGCAGTCTCATGGGCACCAGGTGCCCAAGGCTGGCTACAGGCCTGTCATGACCAGTTTCCTGATGAGTTTTTGAATGCGATCTGTAGTAACCTCTCCTTTTCAGCCCTGTCTGGCTCCAACCGCCGCCTGGTGAAGCGGCTCTGTGCTGGCCTGCTCCCACCCCCTACCAGCTGCCCTGAAGGCCTGCCCCCTGTTCCCCTCACCCCAGACATCTTTTGGGGCTGCTTCTTGGAGAACGAGACTCTGTGGGCTGAGCGACTGTGTGGGGAGGCAAGTCTACAGGCTGTGCCCCCCAGCAACCAGGCTTGGGTCCAGCATGTGTGCCAGGGCCCTACCCCAGATGTCACTGCTTTCCCACCCTGCCACATTGGACCCTGTGGGGAACGCTGCCCAGATGGGGGCAGCTTCCTGGTGATGGTCTGTGCCAATGACACCATGTATGAGGCCCTGGTGCCCTTCTGGCCTTGGCTAGCAGGCCAGTGCCGGATAAGTCGTGGGGGCAATGACACTTGCTTCCTAGAAGGGCTGCTGGGCCCCCTTCTGCCCTCTCTGCCACCACTGGGACCATCCCCACTCTGTCTGACCCCTGGCCCCTTCCTCCTTGGCATGCTATCCCAGTTGCCACGCTGTCAGTCCTCTGTGCCAGCCATTGCTCACCCCACACGCCTACACTATCTCCTCCGCCTGCTGACCTTCCTCTTGGGTCCAGGGGCTGGGGGCGCTGAGGCCCAGGGGATGCTGGGTCGGGCCCTACTGCTCTCCAGTCTCCCGGACAACTGCTCCTTCTGGGATGCCTTTCGCCCAGAGGGCCGGCGCAGTGTGCTACGGACAATTGGGGAATACCTGGAACAAGAGGAGGAGCAGCCAACCCCACCAGGCTTGGAACCCACTGTCAACCCCAGCTCTGGTATAAGCAAGATGGAGCTGCTGGCCTGCTTTAGTGTGAGTGCTCTGCCAGAGGGAAAGCTCCTAGAACAGTGAGAAGGCCCTCCAGGGGAATTCCTCGTGTACTCAGTGGCGGTAGTGTGGGGTAGTAGTTGAAGCACACAGCTCTAGAGTCAGACAGGCTTGGATTTATATCTTGGTTCTGTGACCAGCCTTGAATGAGTTATTTAAATTCTCTGAGCAATATTTTTCTCGTCTCATTTATAAACTAGGGATGATACTGGTATATGAGATAATACATGCTGTGGGCTTAGCACAGTGCATGATACACAAACGTGCAATAAATATTACCTTGTTGTTATTTTGGGCTCTTTGACTCTCCCGCTTTCTGCACCTGAAAGAAAAAGGATCAAGTTAGAGGACTCTTGATTTTTTTCCTAGAGATTGAGAATTGGAGGCTGGCAGAATACAGGAAGATAAGGCAGGAATGAGAAAGATTCAGGGACACTACCAATCAGAAAACTCTGGTTCTAGGTTCAACTGTGCCACAAATTAGTGTGATCTTAGGCAAGCAATTTCATTTAGTTTTTCTGGGCTTCAGTTTTTACTCTGTAGAATGGAGGGGTGGGAATATGTTAAACACCATAATTCATTCACTGAATGCCTATTATATGCAAGGCACTTTGCTAGGTTCTGTCGGATATATAAAGATTCCTTACTCCATTTTGGGGCTCCATTTTTCAAGCCCTGGGCCCAGTAAAATGGAATTAGATAGTCTCATAGTATTTGGTTCAGGTCTGCAAGTATTAATTGATCCAACTATGGACCTGGCATGGGAGAGGGTACAAGAGAAATTAGAGATATGATCCTGGACCTAAAAGAGCTTAATATCTGAAGAATCACAGTTGAGATGAAGGACGAGCATCCCAGCAAGTGGAGTTGGAAAGCCTGGGGGAGCTGCAGGAGAGACAGAGAAGACAGCTCTGTTGGCATATTGTCTTTCTTCCCACCAGCCCTTGCTGTGGGATCTGCTCCAGAGGGAAAAGAGTGTTTGGGCCCTGCAGATTCTAGTGCAGGTAACAGGTGGAGGGCCCATGGGTGGACTGGGTGACAGCCATGGCCAGAGGTCCCTGCCCTGTGAGGCCATACCCACCATGACCTCCTATTCACAGGCATACCTGCATATGCCCCCAGAAAACCTCCAGCAGCTGGTGCTTTCAGCAGAGAGGGAGGCTGCACAGGGCTTCCTGACACTCATGCTGCAGGGGAAGCTGCAGGTGAGCATAGAGAAAGAGGGGAGCAAGGGCACCTGGAGCCTAGTGTTCAGAGGGCTTGCCTTAGTGGGAGGAGGAACTCCAGAGAGGAAGTGGCAGGGATACTGAGCATCTCCAGAGGCAGAATCCATTCCTGTGTCCCCACAGGTACCACCATCCGAGGAGCAGGCCCTGGGTCGCCTTACAGCCCTGCTGCTCCAGCGGTACCCGCGCCTCACCTCCCAGCTCTTCATTGACCTGTCACCACTCATCCCTTTCTTGGCTGTCTCTGACCTGATGCGCTTCCCACCATCCCTGTTAGTCAACGACAGTGTGTAAGGTTCCTGTACCACTCCTCCTGCTCCTGTCAGGGTCAGGCCAACCCCATCCAGCTGGAGCAGCTCCTTCCGGAGCTCCTGTTTTTTTCTTTCATGCCAGATAGGTAATGTGCCAACATCGTAACAAGGTTTGAGAGAGGCGCATCTCATACATGAGTGTGAAAACCCAGTCATGATGCTAATGAACTACAAAAGGATCAGAGAGGTCCTCTCTATAAAACCAGGGAGAGGCCCGGCATGGTGGCTCACACCTGTAATCCCAGCACTTTGGGAGGCCAAGGCAGGCAGATCACTAGTTCAGGAGTTCTCTGGCCAATATAGTGAAACCCTGTCTCTACTAAAATACAAAAATTAGCCTGGCTTGGTGGTGGGCGCCTGTAGTCCCAGCTACTTGGGAGGCTGAGGCAGGAGCATAACTTGAACCCGGGAGGCAGAGGTTGCAGTGAGCCAAGATCGCACCACTGCACTCCAGCCTGGGCAACAGAGCGAGACTCCATCTTAAAAACAAAACAACAAAACAAAACAAAAACAGAGAGAGTCTCCTTCCTATCTAGACAGCAGGGCTACAGAGGGTCAGGGGAAAACAGTTTGGAAGAAGACAAAGGGTTAAGACCTATTACTCCTCGTAGCCTGGCTGCCATCCGGGATTACAGCCCAGGAATGAGGCCTGAACAGAAGGAGGCTCTGGCAAAGCGTCTGCTAGCCCCTGAACTGTTTGGGGAAGTGCCTGCCTGGCCCCAGGAGCTGCTGTGGGCAGTGCTGCCCCTCCTCCCTCACCTCCCTCTGGAGAGCTTTCTGCAGCTCAGCCCTCACCAGGTATGAGAATCATCTTCTTTATTGACTGGCCCATCTTCTGCTAGTGGGGACGAGAGTCAATGGCATGTCTCTCAGTGGCCCCTCCCTGCAAGAACCCCACAGTGACCCCAGTGCGAGCTAACTTCCCCCATCTCAGATCCAGGCCCTGGAGGATAGCTGGCCAGCAGCAGGTCTGGGGCCCGGGCATGCCCGCCATGTGCTGCGCAGCCTGGTAAACCAGAGTGTCCAGGATGGTGAGGAGCAGGTACGCAGGTGAGTTGTGGGATCAGTAACCAAGGCCAGAGTGGAAGAGGTAGAGAGAGGAAGGTACAGGTGTCATGGTGGGTAGGTGTTCTAGGAAGGAAGGGGCAAGGGACTAGGCAGTGGCCCCAGGCAGCACAGAGTTCCAGGAGAGGTCTATAGATGGTGCCCCTGTGTAGTGGTGTAGTGGTCAGAGTGCCCAGTGTATTTACCCACACGGTCTGCTGCCAGGCCTGCTTAGTGCTAGCCTCAGGGACCACACAAAGGTCAGCTTCATGCCCTCCTCAGGCTTGGGCCCCTCGCCTGTTTCCTGAGCCCTGAGGAGCTGCAGAGCCTAGTGCCCCTGAGTGATCCGATGGGGCCGGTAGAACGGGGGCTGCTGGAATGTGCAGCCAACGGGACCCTCAGCCCAGAAGGACGGGTGAGCCCCTCAGCACAAGCCTAGAAGACTGTGGGCTTCCCCTGGGTCTGTGTGGATGGCTTTCCCATTGTGTCAACTTGAGCACAGTGGTGCCAGCCGCCCATCCCACTTTTGCAACCTCCATTCCTTACTCCATGGCCATTCTTACCTGTTACCACCTCTTCCTGGCCCTTCCCTATCTGGTCTGTGGCACCCCAAACACACCCTTTGCCATTTTGAACCTAATCTACTCCAGTCCAATCCCTAGTTCCAAACCCTAGCCCAAGCCCTGGGAAATTCAGATGTGGGATTAGAGAGGAAGTTCAAGGTTCATCTGTCTTTTCTCTCCAGTCCTAAACCTTCTTTGGTTACAGGTGGCATATGAACTTCTGGGGGTGTTGCGCTCATCTGGAGGTGCGGTGCTGAGCCCCCAGGAGCTGCAGGTCTGGGCCCCGCTCTTCCCTCAGCTGGGCCTCCGCTTCCTGCAGGAGCTGTCAGAGCCCCAGCTTAGAGCCATGCTTCCTGTCCTGCAGGGAGCTAGTGTTACACCTGCTCAGGTTTGCCTCTCTCACTCCCTGGCATGCATCCTCCATCCCTGCTTGAGCCCTGTCAAGAGAATCCCATTCAGGGATAAAACCAGCCCCTCCTTTCCCTGGGTGAACAGTAGAGGTAAACTCTGTCCACACGAGGACACCTTCATTCCCTTTTCCTCAGATCAAGAAGGGACCTGAGTCACTGAGGATGGTTACTGGGGATGTTTAAGAGGGAGTGGGAAGTTTTGGAGGGTTTGCCTTAGGAACCCACTTAGGACCTGGCTGCTGGGTCCTGAGAGCTGTTGGTTTTGGTCCCATCCCAACACAGGCTGTCCTGCTGCTTGGACGGCTCCTTCCTAGGCACGATGTGAGTAGCTGCAACCTCAGCCTCTCTCCAGAGGTCTCTATCCCCCTTTCCCCTGGCTTCTGCATCTGCCCCTCCTCTCTCTCCACTCCCCTCATACTTATTGCCTTGCTGCATTGTGATTGTTGTCTTCCCCACCACCCTTCCCTTCCTCTTCAGGCCTCTTGTTTCTCTTGCTCCTTAGCTATCCCTGGAGGAACTCTGCTCCTTGCATCTTCTGCTGCCTGGCCTCAGCCCCCAGACACTCCAGGCCATCCCTAGGCGAGTCCTGGTTGGGGCTTGTTCCTGCCTGGCCCCTGAACTGTCACGCCTCTCAGCCTGCCAGACCGCAGCACTGCTGCAGACCTTTCGGGTATGAGAGTAGCAAGGAGGATGAGACAATCAGGGATACGAGCTCTCTCTGGTTGGGAGGAAGGCGTCTTCCCTGAGGCCAGGGAAGGCCTTTCTTCATACCTCCCCACTTACACACATACACACACACACACACACCCAATTCTCATGCAGGTTAAAGATGGCGTGAAAAATATGGGTACAACAGGTGCTGGTCCAGCTGTGTGTGTCCCTGGTCAGGTAAGTGTGAGATCTCCCAGCTGAGCTCCTCTCCCCATTTTGGGGCAATTTCATATGGCTGGTGCTGCCTCCCCCACTACCCTGCAGTGGCCCTGAGCGTTCTGGTTAGCTCTGTACCCATTAGCAGCCCTCCCCAGTTCCAGATGCAGGACAGCATGATCCGCCCACATTGTCCTAGAATAATGTCAAAGCTGCGAGGGCCTGAGAAATCTTCCAGGCCACCCACCCTGCTTTCAGCTGAAAAGACCAAGGCTCAGAGAAGCTAAGGGACTTTGTTCGCCTGGTGCCTAACTAGCAGCAACACCTGACCACAGCAGCCTGCAGTGTGAGGCTCTTAGGCGTTTATTGCTACAGTGGCAAATGCCATTCCACTTCTGTCCCAGCTTTGGTCCCTTTCCACCCCCATGATTTCTTTTCTCTGAGTGCCAAGTCCAGACTCTCACCTATCACTACACTGCTATACCCATCGCTGCCAGCAGCCTGTTCCCACCACCTGGCCAGACTGCCTGCTTCCCCTGCTCCCATTAAAGCTGCTACAACTGGATTCCTTGGCTCTTCTGGCAAACCGAAGACACTACCGGGAGCTGCCCTGGTCTGAGCAGCAGGTAATTCTCCCCATTTAATTTCAGAACTCCCTCCCTCAATATAGTCTACCTTCTTTACCCATCCCTCAGCCCGATTTGGTCAGCTTATCCCTAGTATGCTTTATTGATTGATTGAGACAGAGTCTCACTCTGTTGCTCAGGCTGGAGTGCAGTGGCATGATCAGAGTTCTCTGTAGCCTCAAACTCCTGAGCTAAGGCAATCTTTCTGCCTCAGCCTCATGGAATAGCTAGGACTACAGGTGGTTACCACCATGCCTGGCTAATTAAAAAAAATTTTTTTTTAAGATGGAGTCTTGCTCTGTTGCCCAGGCTGGGGTGCAGTGGCGCGATCTTGGCTCACTGCACCCTCTGTCTCCTGGTTCAAGTGATTCTCCTGCCTCAGCCTCCGGTGTAGCTAGGACTACAGATGCCCGCCACCGTGCCTGGCTAATTTTGTGTGTGTGTGTGTGGAGATGGGGGTTTCACCATATTGGTCAGGCTGGTCTCGAACTACTGACCTTGTGATCTACCTGCCTCGGTCTCCCAAAGTGCTGGCATTCCAGGTGTGAGCCACCATGCCTGGCCAATTTTTAAAATTTTTGTGGAGACATTATTTTAAGGTACTATGCTATCCAGATTGGTCTTGAATTCCTGGCCTCAAGCAATCCTCCTGTCTTGGCCTCCCAAAGTGCTGGGATTACAGACCTGAGTCACTGCACCCAGCCCCCTAGTATCCCTTATAATTTGACTTGCTATTCTTTTTCTTTCTCCTTCCCTTTTCTTTCATTTCTTTCTCACTCTCCGAGAGAAGAGTGAGCATCTGGGAAAGTCAGAGGCTGCTGCGTCCTACAGAGTGAAGAGGCAGGACTGGGTCCAAGGCAGTCCTGCCTCTCTACTCTAGGGAGTATCCTTGGACAGTGTCTCTTCTGGGAAGTGGCTCCTCTTTCTTTCTCTTGTAGGCACAGTTTCTCTGGAAGAAGATGCAAGTACCCACCAACCTGACCCTCAGGAATCTACAGTGAGTAACTTGTGTTAAGCAGTGTGCTGAATTCGACCAACATTTTTTTGAATGCTTACTATGTGCCAGGCACCGTGTGATATGGAATGGGAGATATAGGGATGAATGGTGCATAGTTCCTGCCTCATGGACGTTCTCCTAGCTCCTCCCTTTGGCCTCCTGTCCTTCCACAGTGCCATGCCTATCCTGACTAGAGCCAAAGGACTCAGAAAACCTGGATTCAGGTTCCAGTCCTGTCACCTACTTGTGCCCTTGGGCAAGTCATTTAACCTCCCTGTGTCAGTTTTCCCTTCTTTAAATGAGAATTACAATGGCACCAGCCTCATAGGTAGTTATCGTGAAGATTAAATGAGGTAAGTCATGTGAGATATGTAACACAGTGCCTGGTCCATTGTAAACTCCCAGTAGGCATTTGCTACTATTAGTTTACTTCAGGGTGACTTCAGAGGCACCGTCCAAGCAAGAATAAATAGGAATAAGAAGGTATCACTTTACTTACACCCACAGTAAAAGAACAATGGGCTTCAGAATCTTTTTTTTTTTTTTTTTCCAAGACAGAGTCTTGCTCTGTTGCCCAGGCTGGAGTGCAGTGGTGTGATTTCGGCTTACTGCAACCTCTGCCTCCCAGGTTGAAGCGATTCTCCTGTCTCAGCCTCTGGGGTAGCTGGGATTACAGGTGCGTGCCACCATGCCCAGCTAATTTTTGTATTTTTAGTAGAGATGGGGTTTTACCATTTTGGCCAGGCTGGTCTCAAACTCCTGACCTCATGTGATCCACCCACCTTGGCCTCCCAAGGGCTTCAGAATCTAAGACATGGCTCTAGTTTCAGTTTACCACATTTCTAGTAGAATGATGTTGGGAATGTCACCTGACCTCTGTAAATCCTTATTTTCTTCTCTGATAAACAGCAGTGATGTTATGGGGAGCTGATGAGAATATCTATGTAAAAAATTTCTCAAACCATAAATTGCCATGAATGAACATCTGTACTTATGTTGAGAGTACTGATATCAAGGAGCAAACAGGCTGTTGTATGTGTTGAATGAGCATCTCCCGACTCTCACACCCACAGAGCTCTGGGCACCCTGGCAGGGGGCATGTCCTGTGAGTTTCTGCAGCAGATCAACTCCATGGTAGACTTCCTTGAAGTGGTGCACATGATCTATCAGCTGCCCACTAGAGTTCGAGGGAGCCTGGTGAGAGGGGGTGCCTGGACATTAGTGGGAGCAGGGAGGCTGAGACCCTAGGTATAGAAGCTAGCTCCTATGTTGTGCTCTGGCCTCACCCTGCTTCCCTACAGAGGGCCTGTATCTGGGCAGAGCTACAGCGGAGGATGGCAATGCCAGAACCAGAATGGACAACTCTAGGGCCAGAACTGAATGGGCTGGATAGCAAGCTACTCCTGGACTTACCGTAAGTACTGCAGCTAGAAATATTGGCCCCTCAGAAAGCTCAATCTGGGGTGAAGATCTGCCCTTAGGGAATGCCCTAGAGGAGGCAGTTTTTCTGTCTGGTAGTTCCCTGACATCATTTATAGCCCACAGCAGAGGATTTTATTCAAAGCTGCTCTATGTGTTGACTGGTTCCCAGAATATACTCCAGCATGGGGCAGCAGAGGGTGGCAACACTGTATTGAGGCCTGCCGAGTAATCTTACAATAACCTAGTCCACATTAATTGAGATTGAGATAGTGTCTGAAGTGAGGGAGGCAATGCTCCAATGCTGCCCCAGAGGATTGTAGTTTGCTCAGGGCACTGTGTTCTTAGTGCGTTCAGAGGAGTAGATCGAGAGAAAATGTATGAAAAATGTGATAAATGCCTTCAAATACCTGAGGGGCTATCAAGTAGAAATTAGATTGTCATATTTACGAGCGGCCCCATTGGGCAAGACTAAGAGTCGTTAATGGAGATCAGATTTTTACATAGTATAAGAAAAACTAAGGTAGTGAGTTCGTGGTCCTTGGAGCTGTTTGAGCCTAGGTCAGATGGCCCCATGGTAGGAATGTTGTAGAGCACGTTCATATATAGGTTGTGGGAAGAAAAGGCTATAGGAACCCAAGGCTTCTCCCTACCCATAGAGAAGTTTATTAGTATCTTACTCATATGCTGCTTTTCTCGTTTTACCCCTACCACCACCCCACTGCCATCTGCACTGTAAGTCAGAATAAGAAAATGCTGGTATTACAGTCTTGCTGGGGAATATGGAGATGAAATGGAGTAAAAGTAGTTGACTTCATTCTTACTTTTGTTTTGTTTTGTTTTTTTGAGACAGAGTTTTGCTCTGTCACCAAGGCTGGAGTGCAGTGACGTCATCTCGGCTCACTGCAACCTCCATCTTCCAGGTTCAAGCAATTCTCCTGCCTCAGTCTCCCGAGTAGCTGGGACTATAGGTGTGCACCACCATGCCAGGCTAATTTTTGTATTTTTTGTAGGGATAAGCTTTCACCATGTTGGCCAGGCTGGTCTTGAACTCCTGACTTCAAGTGATCTGCCTACCTCAGCTTCCCAGCCTTCTTACATTTTTATCGGCGTTTCCACGTATTTTAGCTCTTGTATGACTTAGCCCAGTTCCAGAACTGGCAATCCTAGGTAGGGTACAGGTTATCACCTCTGATTTCTGGGCAAAAGGGATTTATTTATTTATTTATTTATTTATGTTTTTGAGACAGAGTCTTGCTCTGTCACCCAGGCTTGAGTGCAATGGTGCCTTCTCAGCTCGCTGCAATCTCCACCTCCCGGGTTCAAGCAATTCTCCTGCCTCAGCCTCCTGAGTAGCTGGGATTACAGGTGTGTCCACCACACCCGGCTAATTTTTGCATTTTTAGTAGATACGGGATTTCACCATGTTGGTCAGGCTGGTCTCGAACTCCTGACCTTGTGATCTGCCTGCCTTGGCCTCCCAAAGTGCTGGGATTACAGGCTTGAGCCACCACGTCCAGCCTGTTTTTACTTTTTTCAATGCCATTCAAATCTGTTTAAATATATGGGTTCTGTGAGATAATTTAAAATTCTAAGGTTATAGATGAGGTGAAAGGTCCTGGACAATGCATCAAAAAACTTGAATTCCTCATTTGTGAAAGAGGGATAAAAGAAACACCTATTTTGTCCAGGCTCAGTGGCTCACACCTATAATCCCAGCACTTTGGGAGGCCAGGGTGGGTGGATCACTGAGATCAGGGGTTCAAGACCAGACTGGCCAACATGGCAAAATGCCTCTCTCTACTAAAAATACAAAAGTTAGCTGGGCGTGGTGGCACGTGCCTGTAATTCCAGCTATTCGGGAGGCTGAGGCATGAGAATTGCTTGAACCTGGGAGGTGGATGTTGCAGTGAGCTGAGATCCCAGCACCACTGTGCTCCGGCCTGGGTGATGAAGTGAGGCCAGGTCTTGTAGGATCAAATGAGATAACACCTGAAAGAACTTTGTAAATTGTGTAGCACATACAAACAAGATGAGACCTCTTCACAAGTAGAGGAAGGGTGGCCCTGTGGAAAAAAATGGGAATTGGGAGTGAGAAACCTCAACATTTGATCTCTGTGAACCTCAGTTTTTTAATCTATAAAATGGGGAAATGTTAATGGTAGTTAATATTTGGAGCTTTTGAGTCCATTAGATCAGGTAGGATTGTTTTTTGTTTTTTTTTAGGAAGACTAGAAATATGTCACTCCCTTTTTCTCTCCCGTTCAAGCTTGATGGTGGGAATTGGCCCTGGAGTTGTTTACTATCAGTTCCTGTCCAGCTTCACTAAGTTTGGCCTGGGGTCACATCTTACCTGGGGACTGTGGGGTTCTGTGGTCCCTTCTCGAATTGGCCCAGTTCCAACTGAATGCTGTTGTTGTCAAATTGCTATAATAGAATCCAGTTGATGGACAGACTATCCAATGAATCCATTATGTTGGTGGTGGAGCTGGTGCAAAGAGCTCCAGAGCAGCTGCTGGCACTGACCCCCCTCCACCAGGCAGCCCTGGCAGAGAGGGCACTACAAAACCTGGTAAGAGTCCACCCTACGAGACTCAGATTTGCTGCCCTGGGCAATTCTTGCTCCTCAGACAATGCTCTCTGACTGTCTCCCAATACTCTACTTCTTGCTTTCCTGCTGCTGAACAGGTTCCTGTCTTCAAGGCCTGGCCCCCGTTTTCCCTCTGGGTTCCGTTCCTTGATAATATGCTTCATGCTAATTGTCCAAACCTCTTGGAGTCCAAGAAATCTCTTGCAGTCCACCTCTCAGACTTTCTGCCTGCTCCTGTGTGGGCTCATTGCTTAAGAAAGTGAACGAAGGTAGTAAGCATCATAGGGTGCTGAGTTGGGAGCAGGAGAGAAGGTCAAGGGGCTTGGTGTCTTGATCAAGGTTTCTGGTACTCTGAGTCAGAAGTGCATTGTCCAAGTTCTGATGCTCTTCTCCAGGCTCCAAAGGAGACTCCACTCTCAGGGGAAGTGCTGGAGACTTTAGGCCCTTTGGTTGGATTCCTGGGGATAGAGAGCACACGACAGATCCCCCTACAGATCCTGCTGTCCCATCTCAGTCAGCTGCAAGGTTTCTGCCTAGGAGAGACATTTGCCACAGAGCTGGGATGGCTGCTATTGCAGGAGTCTGTTCTTGGGTATGGACCTTTGAGAACTTCAGATTCTAACTCATTCTGTACCCAATCCCTCAACCACCATCATCAGTGGCAGCCTGTTCTATATTCTTAAGGTCCCTTGGAGCCCTGTGTCCCAAATCCTAGCATGTCCTCTTTTCCCCTTCCTTTTCCTCACAGTTCTCTCAGCTCCCCAGCCCCCGATTTTCTTCCTGTCCCCAGGAAACCAGAGTTGTGGAGCCAGGATGAAGTAGAGCAAGCTGGACGCCTAGTGTTCACTCTGTCTACTGAGGCAATTTCCTTGATCCCCAGGGTGAGATGAAGGAAGAAGGGAAGGGAGTAAATGCATAGAGGGGACTGGTGAGCTGGTTATGGGGACCCATGGCCAAAGAGGGCAAAGGATATGAAGCCTAGATCTAGGGGGAGACTGCGAAACAGAGACTGGACTTTGGAATTACAGCTACAGCAGCAGGCCCTGATCTGTCCAGATCTCCCTACTCTCCTTCTACCTTCTCATGCAGGAGGCCTTGGGTCCAGAGACCCTGGAGCGGCTTCTAGAAAAGCAGCAGAGCTGGGAGCAGAGCAGAGTTGGACAGCTGTGTAGGGGGCCACAGCTGGCTGCCAAGAAAGCAGCCCTGGTAGCAGGGGTTGTGCGACCAGCTGCTGAGGATCTTCCAGGTGAAACTACCCAAATACTCATATGTCCAGCAGGATGTACAGGGAGTATCAAATAGTTTGGGTTCTGCATATGCTTTTCTCTGGGACTGGGTTTTCTAATTATAAAGAAGAGGTTAGAGGGATGATCTTCAAGTCTCTTCTAGTTCTAGAATTCTATAGCTTTGGGAGTTTGTAAACTATTAAGTTTTCTTTTAGCCCAGAATTTCCGTTTTCCTGCTGTCTTGTCTCTTTAAACAGCTGATTCAGCTCTAGCTCGGCTAAGTGTGGAGCTCTCTGCTGGGGAGATCCCTAGAAGCTTTGAAGGAGACATTGTGAGGCTAGAGAACTGGGTTCAAATTCAGCTCTGCCATTAAATCCCTGACCAACATCCTCAGTCTTTCATCTATAAAAGAAGGGACTTGGCATCTCCAATCACTTCTTGTTCTATTATCTTCTAAGCCCTATACATCTTACCTTGTAATAATCCTTTGGTCCCTACTTGCCACAGTGCTCCATCCTCCAAAGGTTGGAAGAGTCATTCCATCTACAGATATCTCTGGGCATATTTTATTACCATACTGACCTCCTGACCCTGTCTTCCCCCTTCAGAACCTGTGCCAAATTGTGCAGATGTACGAGGGACATTCCCAGCGGCCTGGTCTGCAACCCAGATTGCAGAGATGGAGCTCTCAGACTTTGAGGACTGCCTGACACTATTTGCAGGGGACCCAGGACTTGGGCCTGAGGAACTGCGAGCAGCCATGGGCAAAGCAAAACAGGTTAGTGATGGAGAGTCAACTGGGGTTGGCCATGAAGAAGCTCTTTGGGTGTGATGTAGGACACAAAGAGAATATAGAGTTGGATGAGAGGTGGGGGAAGCAGGAGATAAAAGAATTAGAAGATTTGGGTCACAAGTAGGAGGTGAGTGGGGATAAATATTGAGGAAAGAGAGCTAGTATAATGAATAGAGGGACTAAAGCAGTGATTACCAAATTTTAATGTGTATCGGAATCATCAAGGGAACAGATTTTTTTCTTTATTCTTTTTTTCTTTCTTTCTTAAAAAAATAATGGCATGCTTCGGCCAGGCGCGGTAGCTCATACCTGTAATCCCAGCACTTTGGGAGGCTGAGGTGGGCGGATAATGAGGTCAGGAGATCAAGACTATGATGTCTAACATGGTGAAACCCCATCTCCACTAAAAATACAAAAAAGTTAGCCAGACGTGGTGGCAGGCACCTGTAGCCCAGCTACTTGGGAGGCTGAGGCAGGAGAATGGGGTGAACCCGGGAGGTGGAGCTTGCAGTGAGGCAAGGTCAAGAAAGCACTCCATCCTGGGCGACAGAGCGAGACTCCACCTCGAAAAAAATAAAAATAAAAATAAATAAATAAATAAACAAAATAATAATAATAATGGCATGCTTCATGAATTTGCATGTTATCCTTGCATAGGCGCTGTGCTAATCTTTGTATCATTCCAATGTTTTTATGTGTATGTACTGCTGAACCGAGCACAGGAACAATGCCAGTGCCGATTACCATGCTAGACTGACTTAATAAAAACCTTTGGGGGAGGCTGGACGCAGTGACTCACGCCTGTAATCCCAGCACTTTGGGAGGCTGAGGCAGATGGATTGCTTGAACCCAGGGGTTTGAGACCAGACTGGGCAACATGGTGAAACCCTGTCTCCACTAAAAATAAAAAAATTAGCTGGGTGTGGTGGCGCATGCCTGTAATCTCAGCTCCTCGGGAGGCTGGGGTAGGAGAATCCTCTGAGCCCAGGAGGTGGAGGGTGCAATGAGCCAAAATCGCACCACTGCACTCCAGCCTGGGTGTCAAAACAAGACCGTGTCTCATAAATAAAAAAATAAGCCTCTGGGGGAAGGAATCCAGACATCTGCATCTGCGTTTTTTTTTTTTTTGAGACAGAGTCTCACTCTGTCACCCAGCACGCAGGCTGGAGTGCAGTGGTGTGATCTTGGCTCACTGTAACCTCTACATCCTGGGCTCAAGCGATCCTCCTGACTCAGCCTCTCAAGTAGCTGGGACTACAGGTGCACGCCACCATACCTGGCTAACTTTTGTATTTTTGGTAGAGATGGGGTTTTGCTATGTTGCCCAGGATGGTCTTGAACTCCTGGACTCAAGCAATCCTCCCACCTCAGCCTCCCAAAGTGCTGGGATTACAGCTGTGAGCCACTGTGCTGGGCCTCAGGCATCTGTGTTTTAATAAGTGTCTCTGTGTCTGATGCACATAAAGGTGTAGAACTCATGGACTAGAGTTAGTCTGCTCTTCTTTTCCACTGACTGTAATGTCTTTCAAAACACATTAGAGGAACTGTAAGGCAACTGTCTCATTTGACAGTGGAGGAAACTAAAGAAAAGGCAGGTGACTTGCCTAGAGTTATACAGCTAAGGGCAGAGGCAAGACTTAAAACCCAGCATTCTGACTCCCAATCCACTGCTTTTCCACTCACATTGTTCCTCTCTTTCTCCTAGTTGTGGGGTCCCCCCCGGAGATTTCGTCCTGAGCAGATCCTGCAGCTTGGTCGGCTCTTAATAGGTCTAGGAGATCGGGAACTACAGGAGCTGATCCTAGTGGACTGGGGAGTGCTGAGCACCCTGGGGCAGATAGATGGCTGGAGCTCCACTCAGGTAACACCTTTCCTCCTCCCTACCACTTCCCAAACACCCATCCCACAGACCCAGCCCTGTAGATCATCTAAAGCCCAAGGAATTTTTTCCTGTGACCCTACCTGGTCATTCTTTCTATCTTTTGTTGATACCCCCTACTAGTGACCTTCAGGACTCTGATGTATTCACTCTGAGGCCCTGAACACATAATACTGTCTCCTACCTCTTTTCCTGGAGGCCTCTTCTTTTTCTATCCTTTTCTGAGTCCTCAGCCTTCCCCGTGACTCTTTAGGTCTTAATAGTAACAGAGTGTAACCCAGCAACACCTATCACTTCCCTGTCCATTCATTCTCCATAACTTTTCTCCTTCCCCTCTGCCCCCAACCCCCACCCCAGCTCCGCGTTGTGGTCTCCAGTTTCCTACGGCAGAGTGGTCGGCATGTGAGCCACCTGGACTTCATTCATCTGACAGCGCTGGGTTATACGCTCTGTGGACTGCGGCCAGAGGAGCTCCAGCACATCAGCAGTTGGGAGTTTAGGTCACTTGTGAAGGGGCTGAGGGTGGTGGTGCTGAGGTAAAGATGGACTTACTGGGGAAAGAAGGATCATGAAGGTCTGGTCCCATGGAGGAAGGGAACTCATCTGAAGCCATCTCTTCCTTTGTCTCATGACCACAGCCCCTTTCGCTGAAGCTGAATTCTTCTTCCTTCCTTCCCACTGTTCTACAGCCAAGCAGCTCTCTTCCTGGGCACCCTGCATCTCCAGTGCTCTGAAGAACAACTGGAGGTTCTGGCCCACCTCCTTGTACTGCCTGGTGGCTTTGGCCCAGTCAGTAACTGGGGGCCTGAGATCTTCACTGAAATTGGCACCATAGCAGGTGGGGAGCTGGGCTACTGCTGGTGCAAGTTGGTTTGGTTTCTATACCATGGGTGGACTGGATGGAAGACTGCCCTGCAATTCTTAAAGTGGGGACCTGAGAGGGTGTTTAAATAAGGGGCTAGAGACATACTGGGGAAGGTCTACGGTAGGGCACTTTGGGAGTAGTTAGAGAAGGTCTATCTGTTTGAAGAGAAGGAAGGTGAGTCTAAGACAATGTTTGGATGCCACTTGCTTCAACAGCTGGGATCCCAGACCTGGCTCTTTCAGCACTGCTGCAGGGACAGATCCAGGGCCTTACTCCTCTTGCCATTTCTGTCATCCCTCCTCCTAAATTTGCTGTAAGTATTAATGGACTGGGGTGACCACAGGAGAGCCAGGGCCCAACTGGCATGCACTGATTCCTACCCCTGCCCCCAGGTGGTGTTTAGTCCCACCCAACTATCTAGTCTCACCAGTGCCCAGGCTGTGGCTGTCACTCCTGAGCAAATGGCCTTTCTGAGTCCTGAGCAGCGACGAGCAGTTGCATGGGCCCAGCATGAGGGCAAGGAGAGCCCGGAACAGCAAGGTGAGTTCCCAGCTGCACAGCTTGAGCCTCCATCTCCTGACCCCGAATCAAACCCCTAATCTGGTGCTGTCTGGCTCTTAGAGTGCACCCAGGGAGATCCCTGGAGTGAAGGAGTCTACAGGCAGAGCGCTAATTTCCAAGTATCAATGCTCCTGGAGAGCAGAGTTGTGATATGACTCCCATTCCCTGTCTATTATAGGTCGAAGTACAGCCTGGGGCCTCCAGGACTGGTCACGACCTTCCTGGTCCCTGGTATTGACTATCAGCTTCCTTGGCCACCTGCTCTGAGCCTGTCTCTACAGTAGAAGGAGATTGTGGGGAGAGAAATCTTAAGTCATAATGAATAAAGTGCAAACAGAAGTGCATCCTGATTATTTTCAGAAGCTGATGAGGAATATGGGTAAAATGTTAATGCTTTCCACCCACCTGAGAATCAGTGTTCCCAGGATGCCATATCTGGAGTCTCTTTCCATCATAAATAATCCCACTGCCTCTTTTCATTTCCTGAAGCCTGCTCCCCTCCTCACCCCACCATTAGAAATAACATAGACAGCTGCAGCATAGCAAGGAGTCTTTACTAGGATGGAGGCAGGGGATGCGGGGGCAGGTCCAGAGCAAGTAGAAAGGGCCATCATTAGAATGAGCAGAACTCCTGGGAATCTTGAGACATCAGTTGGTGGTGGGGAGTTAATGCTTGGTGTGGATGACAGGTGTGGGGATGCGGATATCCTGGCCTCTCTCCAGACGCCGTTCACAATCAATCAAATAGTTTACTCCATCGATGACCAGCTGCACAAGCTCCACCTGAAGGACACTAATCTTTGATCTCTGCTTCCTGCAATCTGAGCTTTTCTTTAGCACTGACTGACTTGCCTGCTGATTTCCAGTTGCCTCCCCACTCGACCTGAATTTCATTTCAGATTATGTTACATCCCGGAGGCTCACTCACTGCCATATTTCAGCCCCCACAGACCTATAGCTCTCCTCACCCTAATCCCTTAGGATCTCACCTCTGATTTGCCTAGTCGGTCCAAATTAGAAATATCAAAGACACCGCCTGTGGCAGCAGTGTCCACTCCTCCAGTACCACGCTTTTGGAGTCTTAGGTTCTCCAGGATCTTTGGGAAGCGGCTATCCTAGAGAGGAGATAGGGATTGGGAGCACGGTCGATAGAGGCAGAGACTAGTCCTACCTGAAAGAGCCCTGAACCTGCTCAGAGCTCTGTTTCCTGACTTTTTTTTTTTTTCCAGACAGGATCTCTCTCTGTCACCCAGGCTGGATGGCTCACAGGTCACTGAAGCCTCAACTTTCCAGGCTTAAGTGATCCTCTCACCTCAGCCTCCATTACACCCAGCTAACTTTTGCATTTATAGTAGAGATGGGGTTTCCACAGGTTGCCCAGGTTGGTCTTGAACTCCTGGGCTCAGGTAATCGGCCCGCCTTGGCCTCCCGAGTGCTGGGATTACAGGCATGAGCCGCTGTGCCTGGCCTGTCCCCTGACCCTTTAGCCACAACATGTTTGGCTCCTTTCCAAAGGGTCCACTCCCTCCCCATCCACAACTCACCCTTCCTTACTCACACCCCTCTGTAACCCCACAACTCCTTTACTTTGCTTAGCAGGGGCAGTTTGATGTGCACTCCTGCCCGAAGTCCAGTGCCCAGGTTAGATGGACAGGTCAAGATGTATCCCAAACGCTCATTCCACATGAACTCCCAGCCACGTTCTTGGATAAGTTGCTCCACCTGAGTCCACAAAGGTTTTGTTAATGAAAAATCAGGGATATTTCATTAACCCTGGACCCTCCCTTAGCTAGACACACAAGAACACTAGAAATATGTCTAGAACAGAAACTTGGCTGTGAATGGATGACACTGGTCTTTTTTAATGAAAATGGCTTGTTATTGTTTTCATGCATGCATGATGCAAAATTATGATGTGCATAATAATGAGATTGTGAAAAAATATGTGGAAGAAGAAAACTCGAAGGAGTGGTGTATTAGGGATGATCTAGGGAAATGAACAGAGGTGGTAAACTGAACTGAGAGAGGACTGATTATTCAATGAGTTCTGCATGCATCAATTATCTTTGCTTTGCTAATGAGCCTAGAGCTTGGAAGGGTCCTTTCAGACAGAAGATGAAGGTGTAAGCTTTGCCAGGAAGAGGTAAGATAACGTTCTGTTAGCTGTGAACGGAGCACCTGTGTCAATGCAGAGAAAGATGAAAACAGAGCAGAAAAGCCAGATTCATAGGAATAGGGGCAGGGGAAGGTGTTTTGCTTCAATTAACCACGTAGTCATGAAGATGACTATTGGAGTTGAAGAGACAAGGGATCTACCAGAGTGACGGTCACAAAGACCACTACCCAACGTGCGTAAAAGGATCCTGTTTATAGTTCAGAAAGAACCATGGCATAGGGCATATCTTACATGCTGAACATGGGGGAAACCCTTCCATCTAGAATAATAATGCAGCTAACACTTTAACACTTATTAAGCACTTACGTTGGACCAAGTACTTTACCTGTATTTCATTTAATCCCCACAACAACCTAAAATGTAGAAAATCTCATTATCCCAATTTTACAGACGAGGAAACTGAGGCATATAATTTAAAGGTACTTCCCGACCCACTCATAGTCAGAATATGTTATCTATTACTTGCCTAAAATAGTAGAAACTTCTCAGAATCTAAAAGAGGAGCCCTTTTTCTTTGCAAACCTAAAATAGAACTGTATGTTTGAGAACATACAGTAAGATTGAATTGAGTTTATGGGGATTTCTAATGTAGACTTGAATATGGAGACCCAATCTATGTAGGATTGATGATTCAGTTCAACCTCTCATATAGAGCCACATATTCTAGAACTCGAAACATTTGATCCTCCTCCTTCCCCAGTCTCCCTCCCAACTCTCAACTTAAAGCCTCGACCTGATACTCTAACAAGAATGATAGAACCCAGAGTCAAGGCGTACCTTGGCTCAGAACTGGGTGGTTATATTGGAGTCATGAACACAGCAACCTCTCCCCGCCAACATCAGTCTAAGCTCAAATGTTTTCCTTATCTGCACACCACACCATTCCACTGCACACATTCCAGGCACTGACCTGACATCTCAGTTATTCCTTTTTTGCATTATCCGGCAACTGCCCTATTCACTTCCTAAGGTTCCTGACACTCTTTCTTTTCCTAATCTTAGGGTGACCACATGTCCTGGTTTTCCCGGTATGGTCCCAGCTGGTTTATACCTTTATTCCTAGAGTGAGTCCTAGATAGTCCTTTTTACTATCAGACATGTCCTGGGTGGGTTGATAAATTACATAATCTATTTATGCTACTCTTTGGTTTTCTTTATGTCCTCCCACTTAGTTCCCCTACACAATCTTTTCCAACCTCTTTGAGGCCTCGGCAGAATCTTTCAAACACTCTCTTCATGTTGCCACCCTTCTCCATGGAGATGACCCGTGTATGATCCTCCTCATTCACCCAGATCAGGAAGCTCTTCTCATTGTTGTGCCTGAGGGCAGGAGAGGGACAGTGTTCAAGAGGCAAGGCAAGAATTGGGAATAGGGGGGGGTCAAGGAAGCATACGAGGGGGGAAAAAAGGGCCATTTATGAGGGGCATGAAGGACAAAAGAGGTAACGGGAGCAGCCTCATACCAAATTCCACGGAGCATCTGGGCCAGTCTCGGAGCCCATTCCCTGCCTGGCAGCTGCAGTCAGCAATGGGGACACAGGCTTATCAAACAGAAAGTGGTCCTGGGAAAAGTAACGGGACTTGGGTTAAGAATCTTCATGGTGGCCCCTGGGCCTCTCAGAGCCCATGTCTCATCTGGCCCAGCCTTCCCTCTGGCTCTTTTTTCCATCTGCTCCCACCAACCAGCGCCCTCTTAAGACCCTCACATCAATCAGCTGCTGCTGTTCAGCCTCTGTCATCTCACTGAGCCTATAGTAACGTCCAGCCAGGTCACCCTTCAGGCCACTCAGTGCATCCACCACAACACGTTCCACCTCCCGTCGCTCTGCTCGAGTGCAAGCTGGAGGCAGACTGAGTCCTCGGATGCTTCGGCCAGTTCTGACTCTAGAGGACAATACATACCTCTCATCAAAGTAGCCAGAACGGATCTGGGAGATAAGGGAAATGAATATAAGTCACAGAAACACGGTGGGAACTGAGGGCCCCTGGGAAAGGAGAGATCTTCCTTAGGCATTAGAGGACTCTTTGTGCATTCTACTTGCGTGCATTGGAAGAAGAGGCCCGTTGGGAAAGCACTCCAATTGAAGGGGGCATTGCAGACCCTTCCCCAAACCGCCCACCTCGGGCCATAGTCATTCTTATCTATCCTTTCATCTCCATATATGCTGCCCCTTAAGATATGATTCTTTCCTTACATTAAGATTAAAAGCTCAGCAGTGTAATGACCATGAGTCAGGAAATAAGGTGAAGGGATGGGAGATACAGTGTTGTACACAAGCAATGCAAATCAGAAGTGGGATATTTGAACTCACTTTACTGGCATCCAGATCCGTGGTGTGCTTCATTGTCCGGGGGTCATATCCATTGTGTCGCTCTTGGATCACAGGGTCAAACAGGTCAGCAAATACCTAAGGGGAGTTAAGAGGGAGAGATAGTTAAGGAGAGGGAATCCTTCCCCAGACTTCAACTGTGCATTGATTTCACTGGATCAGAAAACTTAAGTTTGGGGGAGCTCAGAGTCTTGGGGGAAAGTGAGAGGTCTTTAGGGGGAAGGAGCTGGAATGACTGGGAAGATGAGTTGGATCATCAGGGAGACTCTGGGGACCCCCTACCTCATAGGTCTCCTCATCTCCAGCCACCATGCCCACAGTCTTGATGAAGGGGTGGCCAGGGTTGTCCACGCCAGTCTGGATACACTGATCTAATGTCCAACCAGTGGGTGTGGTCTTGTCGCAGAGCCGTGCATAGACTGCTGGGGTCAGGTGACTGGCCATGCAGTTGTTGTGCTTTCGGAGGTCTGGGTACTCAGCGCTGGGGAGGGGGTACCCAGTGACCATGGAGGGAGGGCACAGACCCTAGACCTAATGCAGTTACCTGGGAGCTGTCCAGTTGGCCATGTCTGGCTTTGCTCCGTGGGAGGAGGGGGAATTAGAAAGAGGCTAAACCTTGGTAATCTCTTTAGGGACTTTCAGAGTCTATGCTTTTCTAGTAGTTCTAGTTGCCTCTGGCTGGCCAACTCAGTTCCTCCAGATCTGCTCAGTTCTTTCCTCCTATGACACAACACTAGGGATGGAGGAGGGGAAAAGCCTTAAGGACAGGAATTAAGGAAATGAGAGAAGGAGATGGAGGGAAGCGAAAAGGATAGTTCCCGGCTTTACAATTAGGGATTTGGGCAGCGAGTGCAGCTGGAACTCGCAGGGCCAGAGGTGGGGTCTTGGCAGGTCCCCAGAAATGTTCTTGCTTTATGGTTTTGGCCCCCACCCCCACCCCGCTGAGGTCTGCAGACTGTACAGCCCTCCAGCTCCAGGCCCTTCGTGATTATAGCCCTTTTCTGTTGCTCGGATTCTCATTTCTACCCGCACCTTCAATCACCACCTGCCCCCGCCTCCTCCCGCGCCTCAGGCACTGTTACCTCGGGGGATACAGCCTCCGTCGTTCACTGGCCGCTCGTACAGGTTCCGGTCGCAGCAGAAACCCAGCGGTTAGAGACCCCGCTCCGGCCAAAGCCAGGAGCCTGATTCCCGGGCGGGCGGACAGCAGACGGGAGAAGGAACCAGCCATGGCTTGAGGTCTGGCTACGGGATCCTGGAGTAGGCGCTGGCGCAAGATAGGATCCGGAACAGGGAGGGAGGATGACTGAGGGCCGGAGCTAGGTCCGAGGCTGCAGCCGAAATGGGGGTCGGATTGGAGGCTGGAGCCGGAATGGGAGCCGGTGCCAACCAGACTGCAGGAGAGGCGCAATGAGCTAGTGGCAGGCTGGCGGAGGAGGGGGAGGCCCCAGCCGCAGTCTCCAGGGGTGGGGCTCCCCGAGGCCCCGCCTTCCCCCCCTGCCACCGCGCTAGGTGCGCGGGGGCAGAGGTGGGCAGCACCCGCCAGGTAATTAGCGGGACCTGAGACTCGCGCGTCTAAAGCCGGGGATGTAGCCCCCACCCGCCCCCGGGATGTGGCGGCCCAGATTTCAGCACCAAGTGGAGGACAGCACCCGCGTGGACTAGCTAAACCCCAACACCCTTCCCCCAAACCCCTCGGTTTAAACCGAAACCCGATCCATCTACCCTGTAGGTGTGGAAGGGTGACATTGCCCAACCTATTCTCTGCTTTCGGCCTGCCCCAGCCACCTCTCCCTTCTCCCGGGGGCAGCCGCGGGGAAACCGCGGAATAAACACAGATACCAGAGGAGGATATGGAGAAAGCACAGGGTTAGAGGCAGGCACTGGGAAAGACACCCATTGGCTCAAGGTCACCTTTTCCTTAGAACCAGGAAGAGGAGCAAGGTGCTTCCTTGCCACCTCTGTGCACTCCTTACAAGGCTGAGAAAGGAGTCCCTGGGAGGAGCCAGGGAAATATTAATTCTTATGCCATCTGTGCTGTGTCCTCCACCTCCACTCTGCACCCATGTCTGAAGCCCTGTTATTTCCTGCCTCTACTTCTCATGATCCCCCACTTTTTGTTTTCCTTTTGTCTCTCCCACTTTCCTCCCCGCCCCCTACCTCGCCTTTGATCTTTTACTTCTCTGCCTCTTTTCCAGACTCAGACGTGTTTCCTGCTCACAGGATGCCCTCTGCGTTTCCTCGGCAAGCTTGCTCACCTGTTGGTGGTGCTGGGTGTGGGGCTGGGGTTGGGCAGGGAATCGTTAGTTTCCTCTTCCTCCTCTCCCTTGGCTTCTCTCTCCGTAGTTCCTAGTTCCTGGGCTGGAGGTGGTGAAGGGTGTGGTGAGATGACTGGGTGTGGGACTGGGACAGGCAGGCACAGGTCTCCAGACACCACATGTGTTTCCTTTCTTGGCTCCCTAATGCTGTTTAATCCAGAGGCAAGTGGTGTATCAGGGCATGAGGTCGTCAGGGCATCTCTGCCTTCCTTGTGATCCCCTCTTCTGCCCTCTCTCCTCATAAAACTCATACTCAGACTTGAGAGGGCTTTGTTTCCTAGCTCCAGGTATGACTTGACCTTTGTCCTGGTAGCAAGGAGAATGAATGCTAGAGTTGAAATAGAGATGAGGGGCTTCAGCGTAGAGGGTCAGTTAAGGTGGAGTAGCACTGTGGCATTAGTCCCTTACCTCTGCTATCCTGTTGTACCCGCAAGACAGTAAGATACTCAGAAATCTTAAGAGAGAGTATTTGGGAAAGAGAATTCCCTTTACATCAAGAACTCCCCCATACTACTCTCATTCCCTTCATTCCCCTTAGGCCTTCCTTGTGTTCTTTTTTTCCACCTTCTTCATTTGTGGGTATTCTTAGAAGTATCCACCTCTCCTTTGGGTCCATTCCTTCTTCTCCTGGTAAGACATCAATTGTTAGAGAACAGAGTTATGCAGCTGTAGTGTGGAAGATGTTACCTGTGTTGTGGGGTCTCTTTACCTAGGTTAAAAAGTAGCCATGAGTAAATAAATATAACTTCTTAGAATAGCGTGTATTTATCCAGATAAATAGGGAGATGATCTTCTAGAGCCGTAGGATAGCTATTTGATTGAGAGGGTGGTTACTAAGATTAAGGAATAGGGAATGGGAAGAGATAATTACAGAAGGAGAAATAAGACAGCCAGAGGAGTAGAGAAATTACCCAAGTTTAGAGAGTAGCTTCCCAAATGTGAACAATAATTCCACTGAGAAAACACATGTACTTGTGCACTTTTGTTTTGTTTTCTTTCTTTTTTTTTTTTTTTTTTTTTTTTGAGACGGTGTCCTGCTCTGTCGCCCGGATGGAGTACGGTGGCGCGATCTCGGCTCACTGCAATAGGTGCCTCCCAGGTTCACACCATTCTCCTGCCTCAGCCTCCCAAGTAGCTGGGACTACAGGCACCTGCCACCATATCCGGCTATTTTTTTTTTTTTTTGTATTTTTAGTAGAGACGCGGTTTCACTGTGTTAGCCAGGATGGTCTCGATCTCCTGACCTTGTGATCCGCCTGCGTCAGCCTCCCAAAGTGCAGGGATTACAGGTGTGAGCCACCTCGCCCAGCCACTTGTGCACTTTTCCTATCCCTCATGTGCCTTTGACAGGCACGTAATATATTATATGCCTGTCATTTAATATAGTAAATTATATGCTCATTTAAAAAGTTATTTTACAGCATATGGAAGTAATCAATATATGGTATTGATATATGGTATTTTATTTAATAATAATTATTTTTGTCAATGGTATTTAATATTTTTAAAGCACTTTACAATTATAAGGAACTTTTATATGTATTATTTCATTGAGTTGAATTGGATTGTTCCAATGATTACTAGGGACAGAGTCTACATTTTCAGGGGGACAGTAACGGAAGTTAACTACCTGAAAGATGCTGTAATAGCTAGTTTGAAGGGCTAGAGTGGTGGAGGGGGTATGAGCCTGAGCATGAACTAGCAAGGCATCTATTCCTCTTAGAATAATCTATTGCAGCCCTTAGAATCATTTCTATGTCCATTCAGGAGGCCTTGTGGGGTCAGTACAATGTGGCACGACTGGAAAAGTGGCAAGACCTCTAATGTTGCAGAGAAGAAAGAGGGAACAACTGTCTTGACCAGGGAAACCCAAGTGAAGATGCAAAGATAATAATAACAATATCATATACAATACAAAATGCTTCCATATTATCAGTACCCTTTAAGTGAGGTGTTTTGTTGTTGTTGTTTATTGAGACAGGGTCTCGCTCTGTCACCCAGGTTGGAATGTAGTGAGGTGATCTTTGCTCACTGCAAACTCCATCTCCCAGGCTCAAGTGATCCTCCTGCCTCAGCCTCATAAGTAGCTGTGACCACAGGCATAGGCCACAACGCCTGGCTAGCTTTTGTATTTCTTGTAGAGACAGGGTTTCATCATGTTGCCCAGGCTGATCTTGAACTCCTTGCACTCCATTGCACTCCAGCAATCTGCCGCCTGGGCCTCCCAAGGTGCTGGGATTGTAGGCTTGAGCCACCACAACCGGCCTTAATTAGGTTTTTTTTTTTTTTTTTTTCTGAGACGGAGTCTGGCTTTCTTGCCAGGCTGGGGTGCAGTGGCTCCATTTCGGCTGACTGCAATCTCCACCTCTTGAGTTTAAATAATTCTCCTACCTCAGCCTCCCGAGTAGCTGGGATTACAGGTGCGCACCACCACATCCGGCTAATTTCTGTATATTCAGTAGAGACGGGGTTTCACCATGTTGGCCAGAATAGTCTCCACCGCCTGACCTCGTGATCCGCGTGATGTGGCCTCCCAAAGTGCTGCGATTACAGGCGTGAGCCGCAGAGCCCGGCCATAGGTTTTTAATCCCAGTGTTATGGATGAGAAAAATAAAGGCTCAGAGAAGTTATGTGAGTCGCTCAAGGCTGCACAGCTATTAAAGGTAAGGCCAGGATTCAAATCCAGCTTTGTCTGGAGCGTAGAGAAAAACAGGCTGTGAAGATAGGAATCAATTTGTCTAGAGTTCCAGGTCCATCCATTTTCTTGCCTCCTCTGTAAATGTCTCTCTGTTCCTTCCCTTAACTTTCTTATCTGCTTCTCTCCTTGTGTTTTTTTTTGTCTCCAGTCTCCCTGTCACTCCTCTTTATATCTGTTAATATTTTCAACCTTTATTTATTGGATCTGTACATATATGAAACCCTGTTTTGTCTCATAAGACAAATGGAAGACCTGGTTTTGCTCTGAAGGAGTAGCAATGGCACAAACTCTGCCTCTTCCACTTTCTCAGCATCAGGCTTCCCACCCCCACCGTCGTCTCATGGAACGTCCCTGTCTAGACCACGCATCTGGACTTTGGCGACGCATTAAGAAATCAAAGGAAGGGAGCATCAAGTTGCATTCCCTCCCGGAGCCACCAGGGGTCACGCTCCTCCGCGCAGAAGCGCCGGCCAACGCAGCCTGACTCTGTTGCCGGTGCGCGCCCTTCTCTGATTGGTGGCACGGCAAAGAAGTCGCGCTTTGATTGGGCCGCTGTCAGGTGTCGCTGCCGGCAGGTTCGGCTGCGCGAGCTGAGGGAGGCGGGTGAGTGAGGGCCGGGGGCGGTGGGGGAGTGGCTGGGGCTGGGGGCGGTATCGGAGGGGGTGGGCGCGGTAGGGTGGGCTTGGTGGATTCCCGGAGCAGCGGTTTGTTCTGAGTGGGCTCCGCTTTGGGAGGAGGCCCAGCGGAGGGGCCTTAGTGTCAGCGTAGGGAGAGTGGGGCGGCCAAGGCGGGGGCGGGCAAAGGCTAGTGGAGTCGAGATGGGAGGGCGGTATTCGTGACCCGGAGCTGTGCGGGGAGAGTACCGAGGAGAGGGTCGGCGGGAGAGGAGGTGGATGGGTATGTGGGGGTCTGCGTGAGGAAGAGGGGGTCCTGCGGGAGGATGGAGGAGCGGAGTCGTACAAGGGAGAGGATCAAGGTGGAAGGGATCTGCGCCAGGAGGGGTGGGGCTGGAGTCCAGGGGGAAGGGGGTAGCTTGAGGAATGGGTTGCGACGGAGAGAAGACAGCCTCGAGAGAGGGGTGGTGTGAGGAAAGAATGGATGGCAGGCCGTCTTTGTGGGGGGTCACTGGGGGTCAATATAAAGATGTTACCCAGTATGGTGACTCGTGCGAGGGGGTGAAGGAGTTTAATACTGGGGAATCAGTGAGTGAGAGGATTAGTTGGATTAATGGAATTAGTTGACCAATGATGCGGGACGGGATGGGGAGGCTGCAGTCAGTATTGGGGCAAGAGTCGTAGCAAGTTGGGAAAAGAAGATGGAACGAAGCAGCTGATACTGAGAACAGGGAGAGGAGCACAGTTGATCAGAGTCGGAAGGAGGAGTGTGTCTGAAGAATTAAAAATTGCATTAAGAAGGAAGTGAGGTGTCCACTGTTCAAGGTGGGCAGAAAATAGTGTTGGTGGCCTGAGGAGTTTTTCTGTGTTGGAAGTATTCCTGCCTGGAATTTGTATTGATATTTCCTCTTCACTACCAATGGAGTCCACCATCAAGTGCATAGTGATTTAGGAAATTAAATATATGCAAGCAGCCCTAAAGTCAAAGGGATAAAGAAGTTACACCGTGTGCCCTCCCTTCTACCCCTTCTCCAGATCTGATTTAACATAGATGTTCCTGAGAAGATTGCCTGCCTGCCCCTCCCTCCTTACCTTACTCGCCTATCTCCTTGCTTCTTTCCTTATATTCACGTTGATTCCTGTCAGTCTAAGACTGCCCTTTATCCCAGTGTGGAGTGTGAAGTTTTCTTTTATTTCCCAACACAGTTTGGGAGAGAGGCGGATGGGGAGAAGAGCATGGAAAACAGGGAAGCGGCTCTGGGAACACCACATTAAAGTCCAGAGGTGCATCTAAATAAATCCTGGCTTATTTCATAGCTATTTCTGTCAGGCTTCTATTTTTGCTTTGTTAACTGGGAATTTAGACCTTTCGTCTCTCTTCAGCCACTTATTTGTAAACAGTCTCTTCCCTGTTCTATTACTTACCATGCCTCGTTATGTAGTTGCAATAGAATTTCAAGACCAAGACTGTACAGTCAGTAGAAAACGAGGAAAGGACTCAATGGAAGAAAGGGCAAAGGGTTAGGAATCTTAGGCTTGAGAGAAAGTCCCTGCTTCAGAGCGAGGATGAAGAATGCAACAAAATTCTAATTGCTCAAACTATACAGGGACCTTGAGAATGTCCCAAGTCAGAGAAATTGGGTCAGGTCACTGAAAAGGAATTCAAAAAATAGCCTTTTTATCAGGGGGAAGAGTGTGTATAAGACCTGCAGTGCACAACTAGAAATATTAAGTCTAAGGAGAATGTCGCACCCCCGTGGCAGCTGAGAAGTAAAGACAGCAGATGATGAAGACTGGAAAGGTTGAGAGTTCGAGGTCTATATAAAGGTCCGCTAGATTTCTTTCTTTCTTTCTCTCTCTTTCTTTCTTTCTCTCTCTCTCTTCTTTCTTTCTTTCTTTCTTTCTTTCTTTCTTTCTTTCTTTCTTTTTTCTTTCTTTCTTCTTTTTCTTTCTTTTCTTTCCCTCCCTCCCTCCCTCCCTCCCTTCCTTCCCTCCTTCCTTCCCTCCCTCCCTCCCTCCCTCCCTTTCTTTCCTTTCTTTCCTCAGGATTTTCACTCTTGTCGCCCAGGCTGGAGTGCAGTGTCGCGATTTCAGCTCACTGCAACTTCCGCCTCCTGGGTTGAAGCGATTCTCCAGCCTCAGTCTTCTGAGTAGCTGGGATTACAGGTGCGCGCCACCCCACCTGGCTAATTTTTTGTATGTTTAGTGAGGACGCGGTTTCGCCATGTTGGCCAGGCTGTTCTTGAACTCCTGACTTCAAGTGATCTGCCTGCCTTGGCCTCCCAAAGTGCTGAGATTACAGGCGTGAGCCATCGTGCCCGGCAGTCAGCTAGAACTTTCTAGTCAAAATTGCAAACCCCAGTCGTAGTGAAAGAGTTTAAAATAAGGATAGAGGAAATAATTATTCAAGGCTATTTTCAAAATCTATGAGACTAATTACATATATAAGATATCACTTCTGTAAGACAAGTTCATTTACTTAAGGAGTTAGTGGCTTTTACTAGAGTCACTGGTCAGTGTTTCTGAGAGCTTTTGGAGACCATGGAAAATTGCTGATGTATGACTCAATTTTTATTTTTGGAAAATAATAACAGATATTCATATCCTTACAATTCATATGAACAAATGTTAACCTTTTGTATATTTGCTTCAGATCTTTTTTACAATTGAAATAAACATTGTAGATAAGGTTATGAAGTACCATTTGAATCCTTAGTTCCATTTTCCCTTCTCAAAAGTAACCCCTATCATGAATTTGATGTCTTTCTTTCCAGTCCCTGTTTTTTTACTTCTACTAATTATATATACAGTCATAAACCATATGTAATATTTTTATTTATACAAATAGAATTGTGCTGCAGGTATGTCTCTGCAGTTTGTATTTGGAAACTGTCCATTTGTTACATACAACTTTTATTTTTGCATTGCTATTAGTCTGTCATTTCTGTATACAACGTTATATTTATCGATTCTACTTGTAACCTCTGAACTGTTTTGTTTTCCTCATTACCAACAGAGAGATGAAGAAGGTTAAGAACTTCCTCACAAAAGTCTTCTTATGTAGGAGAATTTCTCTACAGCAGGGTTTCTCCACCTCAGCACTACTGAGATTTAAGGCTGGATAATTCTTGGTTGTGAGGAGATATCTTATCTTATGCATTTTAGAATGTTCAGCGGTATCCCTGGCATCTACTCACTAGACACCAATAGTACCTTTCCAATTGTGACAACCAAAAATGTCTCCTGCCAAACGTCCTCTGTGCAGCAAAATCACAGCTGGTTGAGAACCACTACATTACTTGTGTGTACACAGAAGTGGAACTGCTGGTTCAAGTTAAAGTTAAAGTCTCTTTTTTTTTTTTTTTTTTTTTGAGACAGAGTCTTGCTCTGTTGACCAGGCTGGAGTGCAGTGGTGGATCTCGGCTCACTGCTTTCTCTGCCTCCCAGGTTCATGCCATTCTCCTGCCTCAGCCTTCCGAGTAGCTGGGACTATGGGTGCCCATCACCACGCCCGGCCGATTTTTTTTTTTTTTTTTTGTATTTTTAGTAGAGACGGGGTTTTGCCGTGTTAGCCAGGATGATCTTGATCTCCTGACCTCGTGATCCACCCGCCTTGGCCTCCCAAAGTGCTGGGATTACAGGCATGGGCCACCGCACCCGGCCCTCAAGTTAAAGTCTTAAGATATTCTTACTTGCTGGGCGCGGTGGCTCACGCCTGTAATCCCAGCACTTTGGGAGGCCGAGACGGCCGGATCACGAGGTCAGGAGATTGAGACCATCCTGGCTGACACGGTGAAACCCTGTCTCTACTAAAAAATACAGAAAACTAGCCGGGCGAGGTGGCAGGCGCCTGTAGTCCCAGCTACTCGGGAGGCTGAGGCAGGAAAATGGCGTGAACCCGGGAGGCGGAGCTTGCAGTGAGCTGAGATCCGGCCACTGCACTCCAGCCTGGGCGGCAGAGCGAGACTCCGTCTCAAAAAAAAAAAAAAAGATATTCTTACTTGTACAGTTTTAGACAGGTTTTTTTTTTTTTTTTTTTTAAACTGTAGCTCCTGGTGTGAATGACCTTGGCCTAGACTAACACTGGTTCTATAGTACCAGGAGACACTAGAGAGAACATTGAGATTTCAGTTTGAGAATGGGTTGGAGACTGCTGTATGGATGTCTGTATCCTCAACCTCCCAACCACACTAGACCTCTTTCCCTGAATAGATTTTCTGAGTTTGGGCATCTGTCTTTTATTATTATTATTATTATTACTATTATTATTATTATCATCATTATTTGAGGCAGAGTCTTGCTGTGTCACCCAGACTGGAGTGCAGTGGCACGATCATGGCTCACTGCAGACTTGACCTCTTGTGCTTAAACAATCCTTCCACCTCAGCCTATTGAGTAGCCGGGGCCACTGGTGTGTACAACTCACTATGCCTGGCTAATTTTAAAAAACTTTTTGCCTGGGTATGGTAGTTCACGCCTGTAATCCCAGCACTTTGGGAATCTGAGGTGGGAGGATCACGAGGTCAGGAGTTTAAGACCAGCCTGGTCAGCATGGTGAAACTCTATCTCTACTATAAAGTAAAATACAAAAAAATTGGCCGGGCATGGTGTGGTGTGCCTGTGGTCTCAGCTACTTGGGAGGCTGAGGCAGGAGAATTGCTTAAACTCGGAAGGCAGAGGTTGCAGTGAGCTGAGGTCACACCACTGCACTCCAGCCTGGGTGACAGAGTGAGACTCTGTCTCAAGAAAAAAAGAAAAAAAATTTTTTTTCTTTTGAAGCAGGGTCTTTTTCCGTTACCCAGGCTGGAGTGCAGTAGTACAATCACCGCTCACTGCAGTCCCGACCTTTTAGGCTTAAACAATCCTCCCAGCTTAGCCTCCCAAGTAGCTGGGACCACAGGCACGTGCCACCATGCCCGGCTAATTTAAGAAGCTTTTGTATAGGTCCTGTCTCCCTATATTGCCCAGGCTGGTCTCGAACTCTTAGGCTCAAGCAGTCATCCTGTTTCAGCCTCCCAAAGTGCTGGGATTACAGGCATGAGCCCCTGCGTGCAGCCTTAATTTTTTTTTGTAGAGATGGGGTCTTGCTATGTTGCCCTGGCTGGTCTCAAACTCCTGAGCCCAAGCAATCCTCCTGCCTCAGTTTCCTAAAATACTGGAATTATAGGGATGAAGCATGGCATCTGGCTGGGCAACTGTCTTTTAAGGTGGAGTAGATGAAAGAGAGAGAGCATGGGGGTTTTATTATTTTTTTAATTTTTGGTTTGAGAGAGGGTCTCACTCTGTCACCCAGGCTGGAGTGCAATGGCGTGATCTCGGCTCACTGCAATGTCCATATCCTGGGCTCAAATGATCCTCTTGCCTCAGCCTCCCAAGTAGCTGGGACTACAGGCATGCACCACCATGCCTGCCTAATTTTTGTATTTTTTTGTAGAAACTGGGTTTCGACATGTTGCCCAGGCTGGTCTCGAACTCCTGGACTCAAGTGATCCATCCTCCTCAGCCTCCCAAAACACTGGAATTATAGGTGTAAGCCAGTGTGCCTGGCCTTAATGTTCTGATATAATACTTAGAATGTAGGATACCCTCAATAAATATTTTTGAGTGAATCTTTGGGAAGAATGAAGATGAGGTTTAAGGGGAAAGGCAGCTGAGCTCTCTCATTCCTCTGCCTTTGAATTAAATCACTGAATTCAACACTACTGTGAGGAGGTGGAAAAGGACTAGGAACATTGTGGAATGAGTCAAAGTTTGAAATGTCACTCTAACCTTCTCTTCTGGTAGGACTCAACAGTAGCCTTCCTTGAGGACCTGCCTTTCCCATTTGCTGCCTGAAGTTAATGTTTCTTGCTGGCCAAATCAGGGACATGCAGGCATTGTAAGGGCTGATTATCTGATCCTCTTACTAATTTACTGCTTGGGGTGGGGTGAGCAGGGAGGAAAAGGGATACCTTGGTTTTTCTTTTATGGCTCTTTTAGCATCTCAAGTCATAGCCCATATGCCTCCTTTCTTGTTGATCCTTCTTCCTATAGCTTTGTTTTGTTTCCCCTTATAGTTCCCTCTTATGCTTTTCATCTCCATCCCCATCCCCACCCACTGCCAGGGGGCTTGGGTTCTGAGCTGATGGGGTACCCCCCTCTGCAGAGCGGGATGAGTGGGTGTTCCGGCAGGGATGTGGTCATTGACGGCCAGTGAGGGCGAGAGTACCACTGCCCACTTCTTCCTTGGAGCTGGAGATGAGGGGCTGGGCACCCGTGGAATAGGCATGAGGCCAGAAGAGAGTGACAGCGAGCTCCTTGAGGACGAGGAGGATGAAGTGGTAAGAATGGGGAAAATGATATAACTTGGTGTTGGAGCCTCTGTCCTCGAGAATTAAGATTCTATTGGTTGGAGATACCTCTCTGTTCTTTCCAAATGCATAGACTCCCTGTCATAAACAGGCCCTATCCTGGTTTAGGGGAGGGGCAGTAGAGATTGGTTAGGTTGCCTCTCTTAGAAACCCCTGCCTTGGCCGGGTGTGGGTAATCCCAACACTTTGGGAGGCCAAGGCAGCTGGATCATTTGAGGTCAGGAGTTCGAAACCAGCCTGTCCAACATGGTGAAACCCTGTCTCTACTAAAAATACAAAAATTAGCTGGGCATGGTGGTGAGTGCCTGTAATCCCAGCTACTGGGGAGGCTGAGGCAGGAGAATCACTTGAGCCCAAGAGTTGGGGGTTGCAGTGAGCAGAAATCATGCCACTGCACTCCAGCCTGGGCGACAGAGTGAGACTCCGTCTCAAAAAAAAGAAAAAAAGAAACCCCTGCCCTTAGGATCTTCCTGTTGTCTCATGGTTGTTGGTTCTCTAGCTCTCCTGCTTGAGCACGTATTTCCTATTGTGGAAAGGCTCCTATTCTGTAGGCAGTTGGAATCCCTAGCTGTGCCCCAACCTAGATCAAAGTTAGGAGGCACCCTTTATCCCATAGGTCCAGAGTCCTGGCAAGAAACTCTGTGCCCTAAGAAGATAAGACAGTGTTCCCAGAAGGGGGTGATATTGGTGGAAAGTTCTTGAGTTTCTGATAGCACTTCCTCTCTGTAGCCTCCTGAACCTCAGATCATTGTTGGCATCTGTGCCATGACCAAGAAATCCAAGTCCAAGCCAATGACTCAAATCCTAGAGCGACTCTGCAGATTTGACTACCTGACTGTTATCATTCTGGGAGAAGATGTAATCCTTAATGAACCTGTGGAAAACTGGCCATCCTGCCACTGTCTCATCTCTTTCCACTCCAAAGGTTGGGGTCTGGGAAGGAAAATGGGAGGGAATGGTGGTGGGAATACTGGTTTGGGACATGAGGTTCTTATTGTCTTATTTCCTTAGTAAAGAGCCATCAGCTACTTGTGACACACTAGAGAATGGTGCCAAGGAGTTTGCTTTCCCTGCATCTTGGAGGAGTTGCTGGGGATTTAAAGCCTATAGTCTAACCTCAGGACAACTCTAAGTCTCTTAGGATCTCTGGACAGAGTTGGGTCTCTGGAAGGACTGTAAAAATAATTTCTGTTTTACTTTTTCTTGATAAATATCCTAGACTTGGGGAGGTGGGCAGAAGAATAAGTGATGGATTGAGTGGGTAGAGGAGCTCAGTGGCAGCTAGTCGCTTTAATATGTCTTTCTGTCTCTCTTGCTCTTTTCTCATTCTCTTTCTCTCCCTTTCTTTTGTCTCTTTATTTTGTGTCTCCATTCCAGGCTTCCCTCTGGACAAAGCTGTTGCTTACTCCAAGCTTCGAAACCCCTTTCTTATCAATGATCTGGCCATGCAGTATTACATCCAAGATAGGTATAAATTCCTGTTGACCAGTGAGATGGGTGGCTTTGGGATCATGCATGTTCAGGGAACCCACTCTGAGAAGGGCAGAGTCAAACAAACATGCCTAATTTTTGTACCATAATTTTGTGCCCTGGTGTCTTTTAATCCTGTGCAAATGAAATCCCCAGGCTCTCCCCTTAGTTACTCCCACCTCTCCCAGCTATTTTATTTGGGGGTGACAGGAGGGAGGTGTACCGGATCCTGCAGGAAGAGGGTATTGATCTGCCTCGATATGCTGTGCTCAACCGTGATCCTGCCCAGCCTGATGGTGAGTACCTGGCCTGAGGGAGGGTTAGTCCTGCCTTTCCTTGCTTTCTATGACTTAGCCACGTTTCCATCTTCTAGACATCTCCTATATACCACCTATCTATGTGGGGTTTTGGTTATTGGATTATGGGTGGGGTTAGAGCCATAAGTCTTCGGACAGAGTCTTGGACCTGTTATATAGAGATTTTACCTCATCTATTACAAAGATATGGTCATAAAAATTTGAGGGTTATAGAGATGAAAACCTGGGGAAATGAGAATTAGTAATATTCCATAACCATAGGCCATAGGAATGACCACACACCCACCTTTCAGAATGCAACCTGATAGAAGGTGAAGACCAAGTAGAGGTCAATGGAGCTGTCTTTCCCAAGCCCTTTGTGGAGAAGCCAGTGAGTGCAGAAGACCACAATGTTTACATCTACTACCCCAGCTCAGCTGGAGGAGGAAGCCAGCGTCTCTTTCGTAAGGTAGGGGAGACATTTGAGCATCTGGAGAGTCAGAGAGGTAAAAGGGCAAGGATGAGGTCGTGGGGAAGGAAGATGGAGAATTTGGGGACAGAAGAGAGAGTTGAGGCAACATTGTTTTTTCTTCTTTTTTTTTCTCTTGAAGATTGGCAGCCGAAGCAGTGTTTACTCTCCTGAGAGCAGCGTCCGAAAGACGGGGTCGTACATCTATGAGGAATTTATGCCAACAGATGGCACAGATGTCAAGGTTATGGTGGATACAGGGATTTAAGAGGTTACAGATGTCTGGGTGGGGATGGGGTACTTGGGAAGCAGGTGGAAGTATATGGGGAGGAGGTCCTAGAAAATAACATGATGTGAATGTGATTGGCTTTCATATTCAGGTGAAGTTAATGAGTGGAGGATTCAGACATTCACATTTTCACTATCAGAGCAAGGGCAAGGCTGACTTAGAAAAATGGTATAATGTTGGTAAATTATTGTTTAATAAGGACTGTCTGACAGTAGTGGAGTCCCGAGGAGAAATTCGTAATGATACTTGAGTAGGGCTCAGTAGGAAAAATGTTGGTCAGTCCCCTTAATGCTCAGGATTTGTTGGTTTTGTTTTTGTTGTTGTTTTACTCTGAAACTAGTCTACAGACCTAGTGCTCATATTGTCTTCTCATATACAGGGTGAGCTGTGGGCATACTCAGTGATGCTATGTACCTGCAGGTGTATACAGTGGGGCCAGATTATGCCCATGCTGAAGCTAGAAAGTCTCCAGCTTTGGATGGGAAGGTTGAACGAGACAGTGAGGGGAAAGAGATTCGATATCCAGTCATGCTGACTGCCATGGAAAAGCTGGTGGCCAGGAAAGTCTGCGTAGCTTTCAAGGTAGAGGAGGGCCCAGGGAGGTTGCGAAATGAGGGAGAAAGGAAGGAACAGGGGTCCAGGAAGAGTAACTGTCTTGTTCTCATCTTTCTTCTTTTCCTTGCAGCAAACAGTTTGTGGGTTTGACCTTCTTCGTGCCAATGGTCATTCCTTTGTGTGTGATGTCAATGGTTTTAGTTTTGTCAAGAACTCGATGAAATACTATGATGACTGTGCCAAGATTCTGGGGTAAGAGACACAGTGGTCTGTGCTGGGGAAAATGGGCTTACAGAAGAATATTTGAAAGTTTTTGCTTTATTTTAAATATCATAAAGATGATTTAAAAGTGAAAAAGCAGGCCAGGTGCGGTGGCTCATGCCTATAAATTCAGCATTTTGAGAGGCTGAGACAGGTGGGTCACCTGAGGTCAGGAGTTAGAGACCAGCCTGGCCAACATGGTGAAACCCTGTTTCTACTAAAGATACAAAATTAGCCAGGCATGGTGGTGCAGGCCTGTAATCCCAGCTACCAGGGAGGCTGTGGCAGGAGAATCACTTGAACGCAGGAGGTGAAGGTTGCAGTGAGCTGAGATCGTGCCATAGTACTCCAGCCTGGGCGACAAGAGCGAAACTCTGTCTCAATAAATAAATAAATAAATTAAATAAATAAAAATAAGAAAGAAAGAAGGGGCTCCTCAGGCTCCTTGCCTTTCTATCACTGCCCCTCCAGAGACCATTGTTGTTACAAGTTTTAGACATAACAATTTATCTTTTTCTGCCATATCTAAGCTGTATTTATTTTACTAAATGTGGTCATACTATAATACTGCTCTGCAACTTGACTTTCCAAGAAATTTGTCACATAATGTATAAACCATTCGAAAATATATAAGGCATGATGACTATAGTGAGCATCTATGTATTCACCACCTAGCTTATGAAATAAAATGTTAGGAATATAGGCCGGGCATGGTGGCTCACGCCTGTAATCCCAGCACTTTGGGAGGCCGAGGCAGGTGGATCATCTGCCGTCAGGAGTTTGAGACCAGCCTGACCAACATGGTGAAACCTCATTTCTACTAAAAATACAAAAATTGGGCAGGCTCGGTGGCTTCCGCCTGTAATCCCAGCACTTTGGGAGGCCGAGGTGCATGGATCACTTGAGGTCAGGACTGGTGAGACCAGCCTGGCCAGCATGGTGAAACCCCATCTCTACTAAAAATACACACACAAAAAAACTGGCTGGCATAATGGCGGGTACCGGTAATCCCAGCTACTTGGGAGGCTGAGACAGGAGAATCACTTGAACCCGGGAGGCGGAGATTGCAGCGAGGTGAGATCATGCCACTGCACTCCAGCCTGAGTGACAGGAGTGAGACTCCATCTCAAAACAAAACAAAACAAAAACAAAGAATTAGCCATGGTCAGGTGGGCCCCTGTCATCTCAGCTGCTCAGGAGGCTGAGGCAGTAGAATTGCTTGATCCCAGGAGGTGGAGATTGCAGTGAGCTGAGATCATGCCGTTGCACTCCAGCCTGGGCAACAACAGCGAAACTCTGTCTCAAAAAAAATATATATATATACAGATATATACACATACACACACACATACATATATAGGTACACATATGTGTATATATGTATATATGTACATATATATGTATATATACACATACATGTATAGATATGTGTAGACACACACATGTGTGTATGTATACATGTATGTGTATGTGTATATATATGTTTATATATATATGTAATTGAAGCCCCTATATACTCCTCCCTGGTAACATCCCCTCCTCATCCCCAGAGGGAACCACAATCCATAATTTGGTGTTTGTCATTCCCATATATTTATTTATATTTTTACTGTCTGTGTATGGGTATTTGTTTGTATGTTTTTAGACTTCATATCAACATATTCTTCTGCCTGCAGCCTGCTTGTTTTTGTGAGCTTCATTCATATGAGTAGTTCTGGTTTATTCGTTTTTACATGGCTTCTTTGTTTCTCTTTCTAGGAATACCATAATGCGGGAGCTTGCCCCACAGTTCCAGATTCCATGGTCCATCCCCACAGAGGCTGAGGACATTCCCATTGTTCCTACCACATCTGGCACTATGTAAGCAAAAGTAAAAGGTCTGGAGTAACCTACTTAAGACCCATGGGACTCCTTCAGCCAGGCTACTGGTTACTTCCTGACCCCACACTATCTGACTAACGGAGCCTGGGCCTCTTATACACAGTCTTCTTAACTCCACTTATATTCTCTGCCTTTTTTTTTTTGAGACAGAGTCTTGCTGTGTTGCCCAGGCTGGAGTGCAGTGGCATGATCTTGGCCCACAGCAACCTCCACCTCCTGGGTTCAGGTGAGCACATCTGGCTAATTTTTGTGTTTTTTGGGTTTTTTTGTTTTTTTTTTTTTTTGAGACGGAGTCTGGCTCTGTCGCCCAGGCTGGAGTGCAGTGGCCGGATCTCAGCTCACTGCAAGCTCCACCTCCCGGATTTATGCCATTCTCCTGCCTCAGCCTCCCAAGTAGCTGGGACTACAGGCGCCCGCCACCTCGCCTGGCTAGTTTTTTGTATTTTTAGTAGAGATGGGGTTTCACCGTGTTAGTCAGGATGGTCTTGATCTCCTAACCTCGTGATGCGCCCGTCTCGGCCTCCCAAAGTGCTGGGACTACAGGCTTGAGCCACCGCGCCCGGCCATTTTTGTGTTTTTAGTAGAGACAGGGTTTCACCATGTGACCAGGCTGATCCTGAACTCCTGAGCTCAAGTGATCCATCCACCTCAGCCTTCCAGTGTGCTGGGATTATAGGCATGAGCCTCTATGCCCAGCCTCCATTTATATTCCTAATCACAGTTTCCTTTTCATTATCTTTTTTTTTTTTTTAGTGACAGGGTCTGGCTCTGTTTCCCAGGCTGGAGTGCAGTGGTGCACTAATGTTTCGCTGCAGCCTCTACCTCCTGGGCTCAAGTGATCCTCCCATCTCAGCCTCCCAAATAGCTGGGACCACAGGCGTATGCCACCATGCCTGGATAATTTTTTTTCTTTTAACTTTTTTATAGACAGGCTGACCCTATGTTGCTTATGTTCACCCTATGTTTCTCCTGGGCCTAAGTGATCCTCCCACCTCAGCCTCCCAAAGTGCTGAGATCACAGGCATGAGCCCTGCTCAGCCCCTCTATTTTTTGACATGTCAAGTAATGTGATGACAGGAGGTGGGATGGGGGTGTGGGAGAGGCTCTGATAACATTTATGATCTTAGGATGGAACTTCGTTGTGTCATTGCAATTATTCGTCATGGGGATCGTACTCCTAAGCAGAAGATGAAGATGGAAGTGAAACACCCAAGGTAGGAAGAGTGTCCTAATTTACACAAATAGGTTTTCGTGAGGAAGACTGCATGGGGCGCAACTCCTAGAGGCTTTGACTGTCTCATCCCACACTGAAGCTTCTCATTATTTCTTCAGGTTTTTTGCTCTGTTTGAAAAACATGGTGGCTACAAGACAGGGAAATTAAAACTCAAGCGACCTGAGCAGCTCCAGGTAAGGTAGTGAATCTGGCCAGGAGGAGCAGTGCTATGAGAGAGAGAGAGAGGATATGGCATTGGGAGTCTCGATAAAAGACTGGGATCAAAAGGTAACTGTCTAGGACTTGGCCTTCTGCATGGATACCTTATTTCCTCTAGGAGGTGCTGGATATCACAAGGCTGTTGTTGGCTGAACTGGAGAAAGAACCAGGTGGTGAGATCGAGGAGAAGACTGGAAAACTAGAGCAGCTGAAGTCTGTATTGGAGATGTGAGAAAGGGGATAGCAAAAGGGAGTCAATAACAGAGTTGGGGTGCTGGAACAGAAAATAAACTGTGACTTTATCCTGCAGGTATGGTCACTTCTCAGGTATAAACCGGAAGGTACAATTGACTTACTACCCTCATGGAGTAAAAGCGTCTAATGAGGGGCAAGGTAAGATGTAGTCCCCCTTACCATTACCTCTCAGATCTTGTGTTCTTTTTATTTTTGTCTATCTTCTCTCCCCACCAGATGTCTTTTACTTGAGCCTGTAGATGACCTATACCCCAAATTACCTCTCTGGCCTCCTCAGAAGACCTAGCATTTAGACGTTCCCACTACTTTTCTTAGATCTAGAGCATTCATTGCCCCTTATTCCCTCAGATCTACAGAGGGAGGCTCTGGCCCCATCTCTGTTGCTGGTACTGAAGTGGGGTGGAGAACTCACTCCTGCTGGCCGTGTTCAGGCTGAGGAGCTGGGGCGAGCTTTTCGCTGCATGTACCCTGGAGGACAGGGTGAGTGTTTTGGGGAGTAAACACAACAGGGCCGGGATAAAAATGATTAGAGAGTAAGTTGGGGAAAATGAAGTGACAGAGACAGTGGGGAAATGAATATTTTTTCTTCCACAAGTATTTATAGCAGTCCATTCCTGGTCCCCCGCTTTGTCCCCAGGTGACTATGCTGGCTTCCCTGGTTGTGGGCTGCTTCGTCTCCATAGCACTTTCCGCCACGACCTCAAGATCTATGCCTCTGATGAGGGTCGTGTTCAGATGACTGCTGCTGCCTTCGCCAAGGTGCATACTACAGTTCTATAGTCCCAGTTTCCATTAGGTAGAGAAGCAGAGTTTGGAGAACCAGTTGGAGCATTTCAGGGTGCTTGTAGGCCAACTCAGAAGTTTCTGCATGTATTGGACCCATCTTGTACTACTGAGAATGAGCTGAGAATAATCAGTGATTGTAGGCCCCATCTCTTCAACCAGGTCCCATTCGATCCCTGGGACCATCTAGGCCTAGGGATACTAACCTGCAAGGGAAACAAATAGACCTTGTGCTTTCTCTTTAGGGCCTTCTGGCTCTAGAAGGGGAGCTGACACCTATTTTGGTGCAAATGGTGAAGAGTGCCAACATGAATGGGCTACTGGACAGCGATGGGGATTCTTTGAGCAGCTGCCAGCACCGGGTGAAGGCTCGGCTGCACCATATTTTACAGCAGGATGCGCCCTTTGGCCCTGAGGACTACGACCAGGTCAGGCTCTAAAATAACCTGGATCCCCAATTCCTAGAATTCTCAATAGTAGGGATCAATAATAACGGTATTTACTGCATGCTAGGCACTGTTTTAGTTGTTTTACACATATTATTTAATCCTTACAGCAACCCTTTGAGATACGTACAGGTCCACAGTATGTTATGCGTAATTTTGAAAGTTAAAAAGATTTTTTTCTTGACATTAAGATTCATTTGGCAGCTAAACCTGACACGAACTGTCATGAGATTTGTATAGTCCTTGGTTTTCCCACTTAGTGTAAATAGTCATGCATTTTGTGGCAGAAATATTAATGTGTTTGGTTACGCCATAGGCCCTGTTGGAGGTATTATATACATATGGCATATATACTGTATTCACTTCTAAAGTCCCACACATTCTCATTCCAAAGCACAGCTCAGATCCCAAGGACCCTGAACTAAAGAATGTTTCAGTTATCCATTGTTGCATAATAAACTACCCCAAAATGTAGTAACCTAAAACAACAACCATTTTATTATCTCTCACAGTTCTGGGCTCATCTGATCTTGCTTGGAGTCTGTCTTGAAATTGCAGTCAGATATTGACTGGAGCTGGAACCATCTGGAATTCAGCTGGGATTGTGGGATGGCTGGCTCTCTCCCTCTGCATGCTCTCCCTGCAATCTCAGTGCCTCTTTTCTCCACATGGTTCTTCATATGGTTTCTGTAGCATGATAGCTGGATGTATTAAATGGTAGCAGTAGGGATATTCAAAAGCAGAAGCTTAGAAACTTTCTTAAAGTGTAGGCTCAGAATTAGCACAACATAACTTTGTTATTTTTTATTGGTTAAGCAGTCACCGGGCCAGCCAGATTTAAGGGAAGGGAAGGAAGACAAAGAATTGATGGTGATCTTTAAAGCACTACGAGGACTGCAGATCACAAGGACTTTCTTCCCATTTTACAGATGAGGAAACCTAGGCTCAGAAGAATCTAAGCAATTTTCCTCATGTCATCCACCTAATACAAACCCAAGGAGTCTAACTCCAAAATCCAGGCTGTTACATTGCTTTATAGTATTAATTCTAGTATATGCCATTACCCAATATGGTTATTCTTTTTCCTGCATATCTAGGCCACAATTTACCAGGCAGTGGTTTTCTACTCTTCCCACTCCTCGTTTCTGATAGGTTCTTTTAAAAAAAGTTTAAAAATTTAAAATTGTGGTGCTACTTTAACCATTTTTAAGTGTACAGTTCAGTAGCATTACATGTATTTACATTGTTGTGTAACATTTCTAATTGGTTCTTAAATGAGCTAAGTAAGCACATTGCTATGATTCCATGGCATTTTCTGTGTTCTCTGAGTAGGACTTGATAAGGAACAGGACCTTTCCTTTATTTCCCAATCCATTGCTCACTGTCAAACTCAAAAAAGCTAAGGCAGCTTTCCTTTTCTGCCTTGCCTTCTTTTGCAAGCAAGAATGAAACTTGTGGCCGGGCGCGGTGGCTCACGCCTGTAATTCCAGCACTTAGGAAGGCCGAGACGGGCGGATCGCAAGGTCAGGAGATCGAGACCAGCCTGACTAACACGGTGAAACCCCGTCTCTACCAAAAAAAATACAAAAAACCAGCCGGGCGAGGTGGCGGGCGCCTGTAGTCCCAGTTACTCGGGAGGCGGAGGCAGGAGAGTGGCGTGAACCCGGGAGGCGGAGCTTGCAGTGAGCTGAGATCCGGCCACTGCACTCCAGCCTGGGTGACAGAGCGAGACTCTTGTCTCAAAAAAAAAAAAAAAAAAAAAAAAAGAATGAAACTTGTGAGGATCTGAATAGAATTGTGCATTTTCAGCCACAATCTTGATTCTCCCTCTCCATTTCTCATTGACTGTTACTGTCCTAAAAGCCTGAGTCGGAACCCAGTTCTGAGGCAGCATTTCTACTCTAGGCTCAGGCTGGCATCTTGTTTAGAGGAAGAAGATGATGTTATCTCTGATCTCTACTCATGAAAACATTCTGTGGAGATTTTGAGGGATTTTGGTTTAATCCTTATTCTCCAGTATTTTCCATGTGTATTCTAGAGCCTTCAAGAAAATAACTTAGGTCTGTTTTATTTTCTCTGGACTCTAAGACTCTTAAAATCAATCCCTCTTAGATGACTATATGGTAGAGCAGTGCCCTTACCTGAAGGCCTAGAGCTGCTACTATGCCCAGTAACCTAAGAATGCTCACTGGAGTGAACCAGCATACAGATCTGTATTGTGGGTAGTCTCTGTGTAATAAGCTCACAGGAATCTGGGCAATTAGTGCTGAGCTTATCTTGCTTTTCTTCTCTCAATTCTTCATAGCTGGCTCCCACCAGAAGTATTTCCCTGCTCAACTCCATGACTATCATCCAGAATCCTGTGAAGGTCTGTGATCAGGTATTTGCCCTGATCGAAAACCTCACCCACCAGATCCGGGAACGAATGCAGGACCCCAGGTCTGTAGGTGGGTATGAATACTACTATCTTCCCTTCAAGGTCTCAGGTATGGATGGGTTTCTCAGGCATTCTTGTGTCATCTGCTAAATGTCACAGACCAGGCCGCCTCCTCCCTCTGGTTCTACTTCAGAGTCATCAGGGTCTTTGGTTGGAGGTAAAATCTTTGATTCTTGTCTGATTTCTGCCTTTCTTCCAGACCTGCAGCTCTACCACAGTGAGACACTAGAGCTAATGCTACAGCGTTGGAGCAAGCTGGAGCGTGACTTTCGACAGAAGAGTGGGCGCTATGATATCAGTAAGATCCCTGACATCTATGACTGTGTCAAGTATGATGTGCAGCACAATGGGAGTCTGGGACTTCAAGGCACAGCCGAGTTGCTCCGTCTCTCTAAGGCATTGGCTGATGTGGTCATTCCCCAGGTGTGTCTTGTATAAGGGACCTAGCCTGGGGATGAGGGTGTTGGGAAGGAAAGAGAGAAAAGGTGGAAAGGAAGGGTGATTTGGGACTAGAGGAAAGCCACTTAGAGAAGGAATAAGTTGAGTTTCTGCATTTCTCAGGGTCCAGTCTGGCTCTTGGTAAGTACAGGAGGCTAATTCAGGAGACACCTGGAAGAGGGGGAGTGTAGTGGATATGAAAGAAGCGCTAGACGTGAGGTGAAGACAGGCATGATCTTTGTCCTGGGAATATGAGGCATGAGAAAACAAGATTTATTGAGGTATTTATTCCTGGCCTGTGGCCCCTAGGAGTACGGGATCAGCCGGGAGGAGAAACTGGAAATTGCTGTGGGCTTCTGTCTTCCACTGTTGCGGAAGATACTGCTTGACCTGCAGAGAACCCACGAGGATGAGTCTGTCAACAAGCTGCATCCCCTGTGAGGGAGGGCTGGGAGGGGTGTTGGATGGAGGGAGGGGCATGTCAGGGAGTCTTGGGGGAATCAAGGCTGGGACAGCCTGGGGAAGCAAGAATAGACAAGATTTTGGGATGGAAAGGAGAGAAGTCTTTGAGGTGGGAGAAGAGAATTTGCAGAAGGGTGGGAGGAGGATTAATTGACTGTGTGAGTGATTTAGCTGTTATCTCAGGTACTCCCGAGGCGTGCTCTCCCCAGGTCGCCACGTTCGAACACGTCTCTATTTCACCAGTGAGAGCCACGTCCACTCCCTACTCAGTGTCTTCCGTTATGGAGGACTTCTTGATGTAAGAATCCTCCTTCTTCTTTAGCCTGTGAACAGATTTTTTCCCAGCATTCTTTCACTCTTCTCCTCATGCTTTGTAAATGAAAGCTTTCTCCCTTCTCATTAGCTCCCTGCTCATTCCCTGACTCCCTTTTCCTTAAGCAATGGCTTACCTCTTTTTGCATTTGGTAGGAGACCCAGGATGCACAATGGCAGCGAGCTTTGGATTATCTTAGTGCCATCTCAGAGCTTAACTATATGACCCAGATTGTCATCATGCTTTATGAGGACAACACACAGGTGAGGAGCTAGCAGGTGGGGGATGAGAGGAAGGCCCCTTCTTTTGACTTCTATTAAAAAAAAAAACTCGCTTATCCTTACGATTTGGAGAATCCAGCTAGGTGTGGCACTTAGGCACAGCATGACACAGAGCATCCAGGAGGTTCTTACTGGAACAGAAAATATGTTCTGGGATGTTGCTGAGCCAGAGAGATCACCTAGAACACAGCTCTGGCATTAGGAAGAGTATGGAATTTGGGACAATGTTATAAGTCTTATTTCCTTAAACATGGTTATACATATACCTTCTGCATATGGCTCCACAATGATACTTTTTTTTCTTTTTTTTTTTTTTTTTTGAGACAAGGTCTCACTCTGTCACCCAGGCTGGAGTGCGGGGCTGCAATCTGAGCTCACTGCAGCCTTGCAACCTCTGCCTCCTGGGCTCAAGTGATCCTCTCACATCAACCTCCCGAGTAGCTGGGATGACAGACATGTGCCACCATGCCTGGCTAATTTTTTGTATTTTTTGTGGAGATAGGGTCTCAACATGTCACCCAGGCTGGTCTCGAACTCATGGACTCAAGTAATCTGCCTGCTCCAGTCTCCCAAGTGCTAGGATTACAGGTGTGAGCCACTGCTCCCGGCCCAGAAGATACCTTTAAATGTGCTATATGCACCATAGCCAAACTGAGTTATTGTGGAAGGTGATGGGAAGGGTTGTAAAGCTGGAAATTCAAAAGTCACGTGCAATGGCAAAATCACAAATGGTAGAGATGAGGGAATGAGGATCCTGTAAGAGACAATATATAGTTGAAGCTATAACAGGTCAGCCCCGGAGTGGGACAAGACCCTGAATTCCTAGGAGGATGAATCCTCTTGAGTTCCTCTCTACTTCCACCACAATATCCAGCTTCTCCCAACTTCCCCCTCTTGTGGTGATGCCCCATAGGATCCCTTATCAGAGGAACGGTTCCATGTGGAGCTACACTTCAGCCCTGGAGTGAAAGGTGGTGAGGAAGAAGGCAGTGCCCCAACTGGCTGTGGATTCCGTCCAGCCTCTTCTGAGGTGGGTCAGAGTGCTGGGATTTGGGACTGAAGGAACCAAGTGGTGGGAAACGGTACAGGGAGAAGTAAAAGGGTTGGGTAGTCTGGGATTAGGAGCTTGGAGGCCATTAACACCTCTCTTATCTGCCTTGTTTTGTATAGAATGAGGAAATGAAAACCAACCAAGGCAGTATGGAGAACCTGTGTCCAGGAAAGGCATCAGATGAGCCAGACCGGGCATTGCAGACTTCACCCCAGCCTCCTGAGGGCCCTGGCCTCCCAAGGAGATCACCCCTCATTCGTAACCGAAAAGCTGGTTCCATGGAGGTAATGAGAGGTCCTTGGGAAAAAAATGAAGGGGTAGCAGTACTCATAGGACTATATCCACAGATCCTCTAGGTCCCCTTGGGGGTAGTCTTGGGACTTGAAGTGGAGTCTTCCGCTCTGATTGATGTTTTACTTAATCTCTCTTTCAAGCTGGTCTCTCAATAGAGCTTCTTTAACCTGGTTGCTACTTCTCAGATTAAAGAGTTGCCACTGAGGGGTGCCTGAGAGATAAGGGTTTAAAGAGAAAAGATTAAGGAGGAGGGCTCTGGATGAATTTGAAAAGGTGTTCTTTAAAAGGAAATCTAGTAGAAACATCTTGAACTCTGGGCTAAAATCCCAGTCTGATACTTGGAAGCTGTGTGACTCGCTGGGTAACTTCTCTACACTTCTCTGGCCTTAACTTCTCTAAGCCTCAATTTTTTTTTACCTCTAAAATGTGAGTAGTATCCACCTTATAGATGCTCAACAGACAGTAATATAGTAACAATACAATTGATATTTAAGGTCCGGCCCTCTCCAGCTCTTGGTCACCTTGGGTAAAAATTATAGCTCAGATAGGAACAAATACCTGGCACTTTTTCTGTACTGTCGTTCCAGAAAGTGGGTCAGCCAAGAGCTTTGTCTGTCTTCCTCTTGTTCTGATGAAGATCTTTATCAGCATGGGCCTGTATTCTGCTATTCTTGAAGTTTGTCTTAGTTCTGGTTCTAGCTCTTTAGCCTAAAGGAAGTAAGTGTTATTAATCTCACATTATGCCCAGCTAACCATCTGAGCTTTTTGTTTTGGTCTTTTTCCTGGAAAAACTGTTTCTGTCTTTGGCCCAATTATATCCCCCCCACTTTTTTTTTCCTATCTAGCTCCTTCTGTATCACTTACATTCATTTTGACACCACAATTTATCCCTGTCCCAGAGACTTTGACTGTCTGATTTAGATTCTGCTCTGTCCTGATGACTCTGTTCACCTGGCTCAGTGCCAGGTCTCTATCTTAGAGGAATTGGTTTTTCCATTTTAGGGATCTATCAGAAGAATCCATAATGAGCTGACCTAGGTTCAGCAAAAGGTTTGCAATTCAGATTTTGGAGAAAGCTGAGAAGACGAACTGCAGTCTCTTCTTTTGATTCATCCTTTGCTTCCTGATTATTTTAAGGTGAAATTGACATTGGTAATATGCAGAGTTTCTTTAGGTAGGATATACATTATTTTCTCTTTGAGTGTAAGTTGGTATCCGTAGAACTCTATTACCCTTTATACTCACATGCAGTAGATCACATGGATAGAATGACACATAATCTTCCATCAATAAACTGCTCCTCCAAATGTCTTTCCTATTCACATGGTCTGCTAGCCTCTCCTGGTGCTGTTGTGCTTGAACCACGCCCCCCGCCCCCCGCCACCATTTTCTTCTGGTTTATGCAGTCATAAGACATAGGCAGCTGGGTGTGGTGAATCACACCTGTAATCCAAACACTTTGGGAGGCCTAAGTGGGAGAATCATTTGAGGCCAGGAGCTCAAAACCAGCCTGGGCAGCAGGGCAAGATCCTGTCTCTACAAAAAAAAATATTTTAATTAAAAAATTTTAAAAAAAAAGACACAGGCAAAGGAAAGCTCTCTGTGTATCATCTCTCAGACTTGATAAGATTGACTTCTTTCTTTCAGGCCTATAGGAAGCTTCCTATTGTAATCACATTCCTTCTTTTCAATTACTAGTGCTGCTTAGACCCTGGCTTATCCAGGGTGATGGTTGTCCAGGATATTTTCCTCAGCTTTGCAAGGAAATCATCTCTCTGCTCCTTGGTCACAGAGCCTTATAATACTAATATTAATGTTTATCTTCCTTGCTCTTTACATATAGGCATACAACTTGTCCTTCCCTCCATCCCTTCTTCTCCTCTTGTCATCTCATACTTTTTAACTATTTTAGATTATAAAACTTATGACCTTCATAGCAGCTATGCCCTAGCTGGTCATCCTCTCTAGCCCTGTAACTGGCTCTGCCCTGTGGGCACTGGGACTTTTGGGATCCTGGGGTTTAAAGGAGCCGTGACCGGCTTTCCACCCGGTCTGATTGCAGGTCATGAACATGCAGTGCACGGGGAACCTGGACCTCATCCCCTTGCGGGGACGGCGCCGCAGGAGGTCGGGAGACCTCCCCCGGCCTTCCCCAGCCATCGGCCTACAGCCCCGGGCTGTGTCCACCACTCACCTGGCATCCTGCACACAGGTGTCCCTCCCTACCTCACCTTCCTGTTTTACCTTCTGTCTTTGCCTTTTGGGATCTAGGGACTCAGACACTATCTAGTTGGGATGTGTGTGTATTGGGGGTTGTGTGATTGGGCCCTTGTGGGCATTGTAAGAATTCTGTTTCATGTTTCTAGGGGTGAGATAGTTGGAGGGGAGGGCTGCTTGGTTCGAACAAGAAATGTAGTACGGTTGCAGTAGCCACAGCTGTTCCATGGAAAGAAGAGAGGGTGGCCAGACTTTCTTATTTGTGGCTGAGCCATTGTGATTGGCTTTCTGAGTCTTGTGGGGGGATGGATACAATTAGGAAACCGCTCTGCTGAGAACTAGGAATGGGTTGAATAATGATTTCCCACTCAGATTGGGAATGGGAGGGCTCTGGGGAAAGGGATGTTGAAAATAGAAGTGGCTTCTAGTATAGAAAGATGCCCCAGACAGTTCCCTCCATAAAGTGCATTTTCTGTTCCCTTTTCATCCCTCTTCTCCTATAAATCCTTTGGTTCTTCCAAACTTTCTAACATTGCTTGGCTTTGTAGGGACAGGAATTCAGGACCTGGGTTTTATGCTTTTGGGTTGAGGTGGCAAAATGATTAATTATAGAGTCCTTTTTCTGCAGGTACTTTCTGAGACTTCATCCTCAAGGCCTGGTGGCTACCGGCTCTTTTCATCTTCACGGCCACCCACAGAAATGAAGCAGAGTGGCTTAGGTATGGCTTCGCCAGCATTTCTCACCTATTGTTGGAAAAGTTGTCTGTCTGTTCTCCAGAGTTGTATTGTGGGAAACCTTTGTCATGGGGTTTGGAACCATCCAGTCAGTGGAATATCATCAGGTGGGGGTAGGGAGGATGAAGTGGGAGAAGCCATAGTTAGATATGAACTTGGATCTCAGATGATTGTTCCATCCCAGAAAGGTGTTTATCTCTTGGTTTTCTATACCAATCACATTTCCCTGGCCAAAGGGCATTTTTCTGGCTTTCCCTCTCATTCCTTATCTGTCCCTCCAGTCTAGCCCAGACCTTAAGGGGCCATGGAGACTCTGAACCTTCAGAGTTATCAGAGACAGAGCTATAAATAGAGGTACTTGCAACCCTCATAAATGTCGTATTCCTCATTTGAAGAATTGTGCCATGTCTTCCTCTGAAACCAGTGTTTTTTACATCCCCACTCTTCCCCTTCCTACCACCTTGCCCTTTCCTCCATCATCTCCTAATCCTGTAACTTTTTCCCCTTCCTTCTGGAAAATTGACAAGTCTGAGACTGGTGTAGTGGCAGAGGCATCTCTCAGGACTTTGAGGAAATGTCTCTTGATTTTTGGATCCCTGGAAAGGGGTAGAGAACATCATTCAACTTTTTGTGAGAGCACAGACGGCAGGAAGGACCAAGCCTCAGAGGGTATTGTATTCTTTGGGTGGGGGGCGGTCCTTGGGAGGAACTATCTCTGAGCACAGTGCCTTGTGAGCCAGTAACTAGAACTGGAGGTCAGACATGATTGTGTGGGGTCTGGACTTGGTCCCCTTGCTCTTTCTATCTTGTCCTATCATTCTCTTTAGCGCCTCTAATTTTTCTGTTGCTTTTGTCCTTGGCACCCATTTTCTTGACCCCAAAATGGTCAGCTTTTGGACTAGCAAGAGGGAGAAAGGTTTTGGTAACTTTCCAGGCTAATTTTATGAGAATAAGTTGCCTTCTACATTCCTGAAATGAGAAAGATGGTTTGGGGCAGGAGAAATAAATGACAAGTATGTAGATCTGGCCAGGCGCAGTGGCTCATGCCTATAATTCCAGCACTTTGGGAGGCCGAGGAAAGCAGATCACTTGAGGTCAGGAGTTCTGAGACTAGCCTGGCCAACATAGTGAAACCCCATCTCTACTTAAAATACAAAAATTAGCTGAGCATGGTGACGCATGCCTGTAATCCCAGCTACTGGGAGGTTGAGACACAAGAATTGCTTGAATCCAGAAGATGGAGGTTGCAGTGAGCTGTGATTGTGCCCACTATACTCCAGCCTGGGTGACAGAGTGACACGCCATCTCAAAAACACAAAAAGAAAAAGAAAAACAAAACAAAACAAAAACCGAAAGAACAATAGTGTAGATCTATGACATGGGCCTCTCTTCCCAGAAGTCCCAGTAAAGAATAGGTTCCAGACAGACTATAAAAGAGGATAGGTGTGTCTAGCCCAGTTAAGTGGGCCATGGGAATGCTTTAAAGAACAAGGCAGAAATATGGACATGAAACTGGTTGGCAGATGGTGGTGGTAAGGTAGAGACCACCCTCTGAGATGATCTGAGGACTGGGCAGAACAGAGTTGGCATGACTGCACTAGAAAAGTATTCAGTGGAGGAAGTGTATGTAGGACAAAGCTTGGGGTGGTCTGGGATAGAGCCAGCTAGTTTTAGCTTTGCTGAAGAAAAGCAGTCTCATTTAGCAACTGTTATTACTCTCTGGAATCTCATTCCAGAGCCTGTTTGAACATGAAAGGTGGAGGAAGTTGCTGTATAGAGGAGAGGTCCTGAATTCCTGGGTCGGAATCATCAGCCATCTGAACTTCCTGATTGCTCTGGTGACCCCGAAATCCTGGGACCTCTGAAACCATGGTCCCTTCTTGGTGGCCTCAAGGGAATTGAACTCCTTTCCATTCCATCCATAGGGAAACCCTATGAATGTTAAGTCACAAGCCAAATCCAGGGTCTTGGCTAAGATGGATTTGGAAATAGGGAGGCAAATCCTGAGAACTTGGGTGTCAGTCTTGTTTCCTCTTGACCACTCTGTCCTTATAGGCTGTAGTAGGAGAAGGGACCGTGGAGTCCTAACCCTCCTCTAGATCAAATGTTGGAGACAGTGACTGGTCTGATTTATTCCATACTTCAGAGATTATTCAAATTTTATTTAATCCTCTCATTGGCAATGGAGTTCTCTTTGCTTTCTTTGAATTTATATGTGTGGGCAACTGGCTTTGAGCATAGGCTTATGAGATAATACACTTTTGAGAGCAGAAAAAACATACCTTTTTGTTGTTATTTCCTGTATTCCTTCTTAGTAGGGTGCTCATCACATAATAGGCATGCTTTACATACAATCAATTGATTCTTCACATGCCCTTCAATTTGTGTCCATCTTGACCTCAGAAACTGTGCTGGTACCTGAAAAATAGTTATTTATTTTCTAACAATACAGTTGGTCCTCAGAGTCAGGAGACCTGTATTCTAGTCCAGCTTAACTTCTAAAAAACTATGTGACCTTGAGCAAAGGAGGTCCCTTTTGGATCTCGGTTTCCTCATCTCTAAAATATGAAAGTTGAACTGGATGATCTCTGAGTCCCTTCTAGCTTAAAACATTCAATGAGACAGGGGGCTGTGGCTCACACCTATAATCCCAGCATTATGGGAGGCCAAGGTGGGAGGGTCACTTGAGCTCGGGAGACCAACTGGGCAACATAGTGAGACCTCGTTCCTACTGAAAACAAAAAAAATTGTCCAGGCATGATGGTGTATGCTTGCAATCCCATCTACTTGGGAAGCTGAGATGGGAGGATCACTTGAGCCTGGGAGACCAAGGCTGCAGTGAGCTATGATTGTGCCACTGCACTCCAGCCTGGGCAACAGAATTAGATCCTGTCTTAAAAAAAAAATTGTGAGCCTCATACTTTCATTCTTGGGAAAGGTAAAAAGGCCTGAAGGGAGGGGATGTTGGATGAAAAGCTTAGGAAGGATCGGAAGGGTGCCAGCTGAGTGTTCAGAATCAGTCTCTAGCTTCAGTCAAAGGCTTTTCCTTTCAAACCTACAAGGACTAGATTTCTGAGTTTCTTAAGCTATATATCCAGGGTAAGGGGTGCCCAATTAAATCTAGGGGGAATCTAGAGGGACCTACCTATAATTTGAGCATTTCTGAGAGCCACCTGGAGAGCACAGTCTATCCCTTTCAGTGTGTTGAATCCCCTAATATGACTAACCCTGCATTTGTAGTGGCCTCTTGTCTCTGCCATGTAGCTCTTCAGAAGAATCCCCCTTTTGCTTGCCCACTGTGACTATGCAGAAGTGTAAAGCCATTTGTGGTTATGTGGAATGGCCACATGGTGGTGGCTGTGAATGGCTGTGTGTGTCTTGATGTTATCATGTGAAGTTGTGTATAGTTCTGTGTGATAGTTGTGGCTTTACGTGGCTACTAACACACTCCCGGCCTTGCAGGCTCACAGTGCACAGGGCTGTTCAGCACCACAGTGCTGGGTGGCTCCTCCAGCGCCCCGAATCTTCAGGACTACGCCCGCAGCCATGGCAAAAAGCTACCACCTGCCAGTCTGAAGCACCGAGATGGTATGTGGGTGGGTTTTGGGGGATAACTCCTTTTTTCACTTGTCTCTCAGCAAGGACATAGCTCAAGAACTATTCATGCTTAAGATGACACTGGCCTTATAACAAGTTTTCTTCATCAGTAATAGATAGGAGAAGGCACCAGGACCCCTTCCACCCCTCCATTTGCATTCCCTCTTGCCATAAAAATACTACTTATTTATGCTTATCCCTTCATAATCTCCCACATAACAGTCCTGCTGCATCAGTCTGTACTCTTTCCTGGATTCTGGCCTGTAGGGGTAAGGACCAAGGAGGATGATGCATGGTTGGGAAGAATGTAGTGAAACCTCAAATAAAATCCAGCAAATTGGGTTTAGGGAAGGCAATGTTGCTCAGCTAAGGCAGAAAAGATAATATGGAAAGAGACTGGGGTAAGGGATGAAAATTTCTGTGAAGATTTTATTTCCAAATGACCAGAAAGAGGACACAGTGGTAAAATTAGGGTTGTTTGTAGGAGTGTATTGTAGTAGAGATGACACATAGATTCCTAAGAGATTTACCAAAGGAAAAGAGATTGACATGTGTTAGTTAGAAATCCCAGGGAAGGGGAGGGGAGCAGGACAGATAACTAACTTTAAAGAACAGACTATCTTGTGGGCAAACTCCAGAACAGAGGGTGGGGACAAGGGTGGGTATAATCCCCATGATGTCTTTTCTCCCCAGAGCTCTTGTTTGTCCCGGCCGTAAAACGATTTTCTGTGTCGTTTGCAAAGCATCCGACTAACGGTACGTTTGCTTCTGACTCAATGTCATTCCTCCTCACCATGTCACCTCTAGACACTTGACTCTGAGTTTTGACACTGACTTTGCCTCTCCTTCCACTGTGTTGACACCCTGCTGTCTCTGAATGAGCTACTCACTAAGTGTCCCTCCTGGGATGGTTTCCTTGTGACAGCCTTAGTCTTGGTTGCAGCCTGACTGCCCCATCCCTGTGGCAACTCAGGGTCTTACTTCCATAATCACCGTCATCACCATTATGTCACTTCTGTCAGCATCACCACCAAAACACTGATTAAACCTCTCCCTTTCCTATCACATGACTGCCAGGCTGTGTACAGATATGATGGTTCCCCTTCTTAGAATGGGAATAGTGTTTCCTAGATTGATTCCATTTCTTCTCTTCCCCAATACCCCCAATTCCTCAGCTTATATAACTTTGATCTTTCTGTTTTTTCTCCAACTCTTTTGTTGGGGTGGATGTGGATGACTAGTTTGTTCCTCTTTTGGAGCAACACTGCAGTTCCCAGCTCCTAAGCCTACTTATATGGATGTTAGTCTTGAGTATATAGTTTCCCATCTCCATATTTCTTTCTCCTGCCATTATGTGTATTTTGTGTGGCTCTTGTGCTCCTGACATTTGCTTTATGTTACTACTAACCTAGTGCTTGGGCCTAGAAAACAACAGCCCAGGTTGCTTTGGGATAAAAAATAAAAAGAAAGGAGTAGGAGGTAGTAGGTAAAAGAAAAAGGACCGTACCTTGAGTTTTTAAGTGTAGTTTCCATGTGGCACCAGCCTACCTATGGTAAAGCTATCGCAGAGAAGTTTGAAGAGTTGAGATGTCTGCTGGGGATTCTGGGGGAGCTTAGGAATGAATAATATTTTAAGAACATTGAAGAACCGGGTCTGCCCACACTGCGGTGGGAGGGCTTGGAGATCTCTGTAAACCATAAATTGAGGGGTATGGTGTCTTTGTAGGGTATAGCAGGAGAACCGAGGCTCACTCTCTTTCAAAGTTTTATCCTTGGTATCCTTATTTTTCTCTCTGTATTATATTTTGTCTTCAAGGTAAATCTAGTTTTTTAGGTATGGTTTTCTTCTATTCAAGAGCTAAGACTCTCTGAGGGAAGTGAAATTAGACTAGAAAACCTCTATGTGCTAATCTCCTATTGCCTAGCAAGTGACAGCTGCTAGATTTTAGCCCAGTCAGGTTGTACATCTTCACAAGGCACTGCTGAAATCTCTCCCTAGGTTGACTAGCCTATGCTGGCTCAGTTTATCCCCGCCCCCAGGCTCCCAATTGTGCCTGTGGCAGGAGTTCCCATTCAGAGCCTCATGGGTGTGCCCGCTCATTGAGCTTCAAGCTCTTCTGTCCTTCATGTGCCACAGCCATCTCCAGAATAGAACCTGATGCATCAATAGCACAGCCTGGGACTTGGACTTAGGGTCCACAGTATAGTACGAGGAACGTGGGCTACTCAAATCAGAGCTAAATCACATATCTCCTAGTTCTTAGGTGCCATAAGAAAAGAACCAAGTCCATAAAACAGACCCTCAGACCTATGTACCTCCAGCTCCCCGAAGCCCTGTTTAGCAGCCTCACCCATTGAAGAAGATTTAATTCTGCCAAAAGGAGGTGAGGAAAAAAGAGCTGGATAATGCAGGTATTGTGCAGGAAAACAAATTTAAGATCTCCAATACCCTGCACACTTCCTCAGGGGTCTTGTGGCCTCCTTTGTTTTTCTTGTGCTGGAGCTTGGAGGCTAATATGCTTAAGAAGCCAGAATCTGGGTTCTACCTGTTGACAACAGCAGAAATTTGGAACTGTATGTCACTTGCTGAGGAAGATTATGTAGATTCAATTTGACCCTCAAGAAATATGAAGGCTCTCCTCCATGGCCAAGATCTTGCTTGACTGACCAGCAATTACAAAGTGGATGTTTTGTCTGTAGTTGCAGATAAGTCACAGCAGCTCTGTCATCACCATCTCCTTGCCATGATATCTGGCTTTGAAACAGCAGCTAGACATACTGGACCTGGCTTTGGAAAAGAGGCAAGGCAGTGTGTCTTCACACTTTGATGGGAGGGCAGCCCTCAGCCTATCCCTGCCTCTGTCCGTGATAAGCTGCTGTTATATCCTGTAACTATATCCAGCACACAAGTATAGCCTGTTACTAAACTGTACACTGAACTCACCAAAGTAAATTAATAAAGTGGGAAAGACTGTGGCTCACGCTCATCCCTAATGTCGGCGTGTGACCACTGGATTTGTCAAGCCCATTATCTTCTAGGGACCCATGTAACTATGTGACCGTTGGTACATACAGTTAGTGCTCACAAGACTAGCCTAGGTAGAGCTGAAATCTGTCCTGACATCCAAGCTAAGGTCTCTGAAGACCACAGTCTCATGGGATCACCTTGTGGAGTCAGTTCTGGTCTGGGAGTTTTGAGCAGTCATCCTCAGCTGCCTTGATTCTACCTTCTCTATACCAACATCCTGTACTCAAGTTCTTGTCCATCCTCACATCATGTCTTAAGATCCCATACCTTTTCTCTAAGATCTTTCCCTGTTGTTCCTCTTACACCCGGCTCCGCATGCCTTTGACTGCCTTCAACCTTTTGTAGCTCAATTACATGCATCCACAAAGTTTGCCAAGTAGCTAAAATGAGGGGTTCAGAATCAAAGCTTTTCTACTCACCAGCTGAAAAACGTGCAGTTAGACTCACCAGCAGTGGGAAGAAAATGTAAAATTTTATCTAACTTTCAGCTTCGTAATGGATACAGTATCTCTGAGTCCTGAGTTTTATGTGTACTTTTTTTCTTTTAAGTGATTGTTTAAACAACAGTAAGGTCAAGGATGGTTAGTCAATATTGGTATTTTCACATATTGATTCCATTTTCCACACAAATCATTTTAAAGGAGTTCTACATTCTGGTTTCCTGTCAGTCTCCTGTGCCAGCTGCCTAATACCATCCCTGTCTTTGGCTATCTTAGAGTGTGGTCCAGAAGACCTGCCCTAAAAAACAGCCTTTTTAGCTTGACTATCTTGATACTCAATGCTATCCTTGACACTCTGAGTGACTTTGAGCTTTTCATTTTTATCCCTACTTCATAAATCCATTCACCTGAGAATGCAGGCCCTAAGTAGGGTTCATCCAATGATGAGGGATCTTGAAGCTGTAGTCAAGACTCCCAGCCACAAAACTGCCAGCTCACCCCTGTTCACAACGATGTGACTGCTGTCTACAAGCACCGACTCAATTATGCTCAAGGAGGAAGGGGAGGACATTGCTGTATGATGAGGTCTCACTTATCCCTTCTTTCAGACTCGTTGTGTGATGACACCACTCTTCTTCCCTGCAAGAGATGCCCAGTGGCTCTGACCATCTCTGCTTCTCTCTTAGCTCACCTTGGATCTGAGTGTCCCCACCTCCCAGTAATGCTTGTGCTAGTCAGTGCCCCCCTCATTGTCTCTCCCTCTTCTCTTTCTCTATCTTTGTGCTTCCTGCCGTGGTCCCCTCACCCCCTCCAGAGCTGCTGGATGACCAGCACCCTGTGGTCCGGTTGCTGCGCAGTTTTTCCTCTGACTGTACAGGGGGCCGGCCAGTCTCCTTGGATGCCACGCTGGCGCATCACCTGCACCAGTGCTCCTACCACCTGCGCCTCTTCCGGAACTGGCTGCGCTCAGGCCAGGATGATCCCGAGTGCCTCTACGGTACCCCCTGCCACCAAGCTGGCTGCTGCCACTACCCTGGCTGGGACTGACTGCTTTGCTTATTGCACTTCTGGCAGGAGAGCCCACCTGTTTCTTTCTCCTGTTTGCCCTGAGGTTATGTAACTTGCATTTAGTGGCTTGGATGGGATTGGGGCCGGACTGCCTGGTAGCTGTAGCATTGGCTGCTCATTCCTTCCTATTCTCCTTTCTCACCACCTCCTAATGTTACTCATTCCCCAGTTCTGTTCAATACAGGAGTAATCTCTTGCCTTGGAATCTGTTCTTATCACTCTAACACTCTACTGCCACCATCTTCAAATCCAAATGTTTTTCTAGCCACTCTGAGGAGCTAGAGACAGTAACTTTCCTGCCCTCCTGCCACAAGATCATGGGGGAAATTGAGGCACAGAAGCCGCAATTGTATCCTTGGGGCAAACAAAGGACAGAGCTTAGAAGGTGGTCAGGTTATAACCCTTTTGAGTTACGGGCTTTAGTCACTGGTGAATGGGAAGCTGTCTTGTATAGACATTATTGTCCCGCATATCCTTAGTCCCTTTAAGGAGATGTTGAGGAGGCATAGGAAAGATTGGGGACTGAGAAAGTGGTTGGGATGTGTTTTTCTTGATCCTCCATTGGGGACATTTTTTCCATCACCAGTGCCTAGTATTAGGGTTACATATTTATGTTTACCCTTGGCCCTACCCATACTGATAGACCTGCATTGGAATTCTTGAGTTTCGAGCAGAAAATCAGTGCTTTTTCTTTTTTCTAGGGCATTTGCCTCATTTTTCTGATGAAGTACAAAGATCCTAGCAAGTCTGGGGTTTTCCAGTAGATCAGAAGGGTGAAGCTTTGATGTGATGGAAACTATCAAGAAAGAACTTCCATCCCCATCCTGTTCATGCATGTGGTTTTCCTGGGCTGAGCTTCATGTGTATTGCATGCCCTCCAGTTTGCATCCAAGTATTCTAGCCTTTCTACCGACATCCTAAATTTGCATGAACCCCTTCTCAGATTCCATGTCCTTCTCCTTAATCTGGTTCTCTTATTCATGATACCCGAAATCTGCTGTTTCTTCCCAGTTCCCTGACCTCCCTATCTCATGTTAGATCTGCAGTTTCACCCCTTACCTCTGGATCCTTGTTTTATTCCCCCAGAAAGTGTGAGGACAATGTTGGTGCTTACCCTACTGGGATTCTGTTTATTTTTCCATGGGACATTGCAAGCTCTCCATAGGTAGCATGAGAGGTGATTTGATTTACCTGGAGGCCTTAGCAGGTAGATGTTTTAGGAAATCTGAAAGTGAGAAAAAGAGACTCCCCTAGGGGCTCTAAAGAGTTCCCTCTCCTAAGAGTCTTGGATACCCCACACTCCAAAAGCCACGGACTCTCCTGATGCTTCTCAGGGACTCTCCATGCTTCCTTGGCCAGTTGGGGTATATCTGGCAGGAATAACATTGACTTTGCCCATCTCTTTTCAAACAGGATTTGAAGGGTGTTCCATGGTGCCCACCATCTACCCTCTGGAAACACTGCATAATGCCCTTTCCCTACGTCAAGTGAGTGAATTCTTGAGTAGAGTCTGCCAGCGCCACACTGATGCCCAGGCACAGGCATCTGCAGGTATGGATACTCTTATTTTTTACCCTTCTATCTGCCCCCATGCCCATGCTTCCTAGAATATAAGAAAGTAGTAAATTAAAAAGCTATTTAGGCAATCCACAAAGACACAGAAGTACCCTTAAAAATGTATAATTAGTGGCTGGGCGTGGTGGGTCGTGTCTGTTATTCCAGCACTTTGGGAGGCCGTGGCAGGTGGATCACCTGAGGTTAGGAGTTTGAGACAAGCCTGGCCAACATGGCGAAACCCTGTCGCTACTGAAAAAAAAAAATACGACCGGGTGCAGTGGCTCACGCCTGTAATCCCAGCACTTTGGCAGGGCTAGGTGGGCGGATCACAAGGTCAAGAGATAGAGACCATCCTGACCAACATGGTGAAACCCTGTCTGTACTAAAAATACCAAAATTAGATGGGCATGGTGATGTGCACCTGTAGTCCCAGCTACCTAGGAGGCAGAGGCAGGAGAATCGCTTGAACCTGGGAGGCAGACGTTGCAGTGAGCCAAGATCATGCCACTACACTCCGGCCTGGCAACAGAGTGAGACTCCATCTCAAAAAACAAAAAACAAAAAACAAAAAAACAAAAAACAAACAAACAAAAAAAACAAACGTTAGCCGAGCATGGTGGTATGTGCCTGTAGTCCCAGCTACTTGGGAGTCTAAGGCAGGAGAATTACTTGAGCCCGGGAGGCAGAGGTTGCTGTGAGCCAAGATCACGCCACTGCACTCCAGCCTGGGTGACAGAGTGAGACTCCATCTCAAAAAAAAAAAAGGAAAAAAAAAAAGGATAATTGCGTAGGCCAACTAAACATCATAGAAATATCACTCCTTCCTAAGGTAATTAATTCAACATAATCCCAATAAAAATACGGTTTTTCTAAAATCAAATCACTTCTGAAGTTTTCATTGAAAAATAAGCAAGAACAGTGAAGAGTGAGTTGGGTGCAGTGGCTCACGTTTGTAATCCCAGCAACTCTTGAGGCTGAGGCAGGAGGATTGCTGAGGCCAGGAGTTCAAGACTAGCCTGTGCAGGCCAGGTGCAGTGGCTCACACCTGTAATCCCAGAACTTTGGGAGGCCGAGAGGGGCAGATCACAAGGTCAGGAGATCGAGACCATCCTGGCTAACATGCTGAAACCCCATCTCTACTAAAAATACAAAAAATTAGCCGGGCGTGGTGGTGGGTGCCTGTAGTCCCAGCTACTTGGGAGGCTGAGGCAGGAGAATGGCATGAACCTGGGAGGCGGAGCTTACAGTGAGCCAAGATCTCGCCACTGCACTTCAGCCTGGGTGACAGAGTGAGCCTCCATCTCAAAAAAAAAAAAAAGGACTAGCCTCTGCAACATAGTGAGATCCCCATCTCTCCGGGAAAAAAAAAAAGCTATGCATGGTGGTGTGTGCCTGTAGTCTCATCTACTTGGGATGTTGAAGCGGGAGGATCACTTGAACCCAGGAGTTCAAGGCTGCGGTGAGCTATGATCACACCACTGTGCTCCATCCTGGGTGGACAGAGTAAGATTCTACCACAGAAAAAAGAGAGAGAGAGAGAAGTGAAGAAAACCCTGAAAAGAAGAGCAAGCAAATACAAGCAAATACTAGCCCTACCACATTTTAAATCATTCTATAAAACGTCATTTTAGTTTTGATTTTTGTGATCATAGTTCACTGCAGTCGGGAACTCCTGGGCTCAAACCATCCTCTTGCCTTGGCTTCTCAAAGCACTGGCGTTACAAGTATGACAGAAAGACTTTTTTTGAGACAGAGTCTCACTCTCTCACCCAAGCTGGAGTGCAGTGGCAGGATCTCAGTTCACTGCAACCTCTGTCTCTCGGGTTCAAGCAGTTCTCCCTGCCTCAGCCTCCTGAGTAGCTGGGATTACAGGCACCAGCCACCACGCCTGGCTAATTTTTGTATTTTTAGTAAAGATGGGGTTTTGCCATGTTGCCCAGGCTGGTCTTGAACTCCTGACCTCAGGTGATCCACCCGCCTCAGCCTCCCAAAGTGCTGGGATTACTGGTGTGAGCCACCACACCCATCCAGAAAGACTTTTTAGTAAATAGACTGGGGGTAATTGAATAGCCATTTGACAACAATTAAAATTGAACCCACACTGTATACTAGGATAAACTCCATATGGATCAGAAATCTAAATGTAAAAATTAAATCATGTGGTAGGTAACTCTAAGGGCTTGTTCATCCACAGAAACACCAAAAAGTAAGAAGAAACTGTCAGAACCAACATTTTGAGAACTCTGGAGAATAGTAAAAGATTTGCAGTAACCAGGAGAATGCTGAATCCAGGAAGAGGCAACCTAAAAATGGCAGAAAAGCTTTGCAGCATTTTTACTCACTCTTGCCCCACCCCGCCTCCCTGGCTTGGTTGTACTCTTGAAGATGGCAGCCCATGTTCTCAATGTAGGACCCTGGTTCCTGGTTCCAGAGGGAGCAGAGAAGACCTTATTCTCAAAGAATTTTGTCTGTTCTAATTTGTTGGTGGGCTACTTGAAGGATTGACACAAAGTGCCTACCTTTGTTTTGTCTAACTCTAACTCAGGGCAGAAAAGTGGCTGTGCAGAGAGCATTCCTTAAAAACATTGTAAGGCAAATGAACAACCTGTGCCTGGTCTCAGAATGCACTTTTTTTTTTTTTTTTTTTTGAGATGGAGTTTCACTCTGTCACCCAGGCTGGAGTGCCACCATGTCCAGCTAAGTTTTGTATTTTTAGTAGAGATGGGATTTCGCCATGTTGGCCAGGCTGGTCTCGAACTCCTGACCTCAGGTGATCCACCCACCTTGGCCTCCCAGAGGTGCTAGGGTTACAGGTGTGGGCCACCACACCCGGCCAGAATGCACTTTTTTTTTTCTTTTTTTCTTTTTTTTGAGATGGAGTTTCGCTCTGTTGCCAGGCTGGAGTGCAATGGCACAATCTTGGCTTACTGCAACCTCCACTTCCCAGCTTCAGGCAGTTCTCCTGCCTCAGCCTCCCGAATAGCTGGGACTACAGGTGCGTGCCACCATACCCAGTCAATTTTTGTATTTTTTAGTAGAGACGGGGTTTCACCATGTTGGCCAGGATGGTCTTAATCTCTTGACCTTGTGATCTGCCTGCCTCGGCCTCCCAAAGTGCTGGGATTACAGGCATGAGCCACCGCGCCCGGCCCACAATGCACTTTTTAAAGTGTCTACAAGAGACTCTATTTATTTATTTAAAGTTGAATTGGTTTATTTTCTAATTTGCAATTCTTAAATGTTTTTATAGAAAATGCAATATTACTTACAGTCAAAATTTTAAGGCCAGGCGCGGTGGCTAACGCCTGCAATCCTAGCACTTTGAGAAGCCAAGGCGGGTGGATTGCCCGAGCTCAGGAGTTCGAGACCAGCCTGGCCAATATGGTGAAATCCGTCTCTACTAAAAATAGAAAAAAGTTAGCTGGGTGTGGTGGTGCACATCTGTAATCCCAGCTACTCAGGAGGCTGAGGCAGGAGAATTGCTAGAACTGGGGAGGTGGAAGTTGCAGTGAGCCAAGATCGTGCCACTACACTCCAGCCTGGGTGACACAGTGAGACTCTATCTCTAAAAAAATAAAAATTAAACAAACAAAAATTCAGCCAGTCTTGGTGGCCCACACCTGTAATCCCAGCACTTTGGGAGGCTGAGGCTGGCAGATCACTTGAGTTCAAGAGTTCAAGATCAGTCTGGGCAACATGGCAGAACCCCATCTCTACCAAAAAAAAAAAAAGGGCCAGGCGCGGTGGCTCAAGCCTGTAATCCCAGCACTTTGGGAGGCCGAGACGGGCGGATCACGAGGTCAGGAGATCGAGACCATCCTGGCTAACACGGTGAAACCCCGTCTCTACTAAAAAATACAAAAAACTAGCCGGGTGCGGTGGCGGGCGTCTGTAGTCCCAGCTACTCGGGAGGCTGAGGCAGGAGAATGGCGTGAACCCGGGAGGCGGAGCTTGCAGTGAGCTGAGATCGGGCCACTGCACTCCAGCCTGGGCGGCAGAGCGAGACTCCGTCTCAAAAAAAAAAAAAAAAAAAAAAAAAAAAATTAGCCAGGTATGGTGGCATGCACCTGGGGTGCCAGCTATTTGGAAGGCTGCAGTGGGAGGATCACCTGAGCCTGGGAGGTGGAGGTTGCAGTGAACCGAGACTGTGCCACTGCACTCCAGCCTGGGTGACAGACTGATACCTTGTCTTAAAAATAAAAAAATAAAAATAGAAAACTCCAACAGTTTTCTCATTGCAAGACTATTGTAATAAGGTGAGCAGAAGAAAAGCAATCAACATTTAGGAAAATATAGTAGTGTTTTATGTTTTTAACTTATTAATTTATAGTTTATACTCTTAACGCCTGGGCATGGTGGCTCACGCCTATAATCCCAGTACTTTGGGAGGCCGAGGAGGGTGGATCACTTGAGGTCAGGAGTTCAAGACCAGCCTGGCCAACATGGTGAAACCTTGTCTCTACTAAAAAATACAAAAATTAGCCAGGCATGGTGGCAGGCACCTGTAATCCCAGCTACTCGGGAGGCTGAGGCAGTAGAATCCCTTGAACTTGGGAGGCGGAGGATGCAGTGAGCTGAGATCGTGCTACTGCACTCCAGCATAGGTGACAAGAGCGAAACTCTGTCTCAAAAAAATATATATATTATTTACTCTAACAATGTCAATATTTAATTATAATATCAATTATAATTATAAACAAAAGTCTAATAAGACAGACTTCCAACTTATACCTTTAACTAATTTTAGTAATATTCTCTCATGTTGTTTTGTTTTCTAACAGATTTCCACCTTTCCTTGCGCGTGTGTGTGTATACCAGGTGTCTTATATTTGACAAGAGTCTCACATTAGGTCCAAAGACACAAATAGGTTGAAAGTAAAAGGATAGAAAAAGCTATTTTATGCAAATAGTAACGAAAAGAGAGTTGAAGTAGCTATACCAATATTAGACAAAATAGTCTTTAAGTAAAAAAATTGTTACAAGGGAAGCTGGGTGCACAGGTGCTTACCTGCAGTCTTAGTTACTTGGGAGGCTGAAGTGGGAGGATTGCTTGAGCCCAGGAGTACTCCAACTGGGGAACATAGCAAGACCCTGTCTCTTTAAAAAAGAGTTGTTACAGGTAAGAGAAAGTCATATATTGATAATGAGGTGAATTTGTTGGAAGATAAAACAATTATAAACACATACATACCAAATAACGGAGCCCCAAAATACATGACGCGAACACTGACAGAATTGAAGGAAGAATTCTGCAATAGTAATTGGAGACTTCAATACCTACTTTTATTTATTTTATTTTTAGAGACAGAGTCTTACTCTGTTGCTCAGGCTGGAATGGTGTGATCACAGTTCACTGCAGCCTTGACCTCCTGGGTTTAAGTGATCCTCCTGCCTCAGCCAAAATGCTATTATTACAGGCATGAGCCACTGTGCCCAGCCAATACTCACTTTTAACAATGGACAGAACAACTCATCAGAAAATTAGTAAGAAAATGGCCGGGCGTGGTAGCTCACACCTGTAATCCCAGCACTTTGGAAGGCAGAGGCAGGTGGATCACGAGGTCAGGAGATCGAGACCACCCTGGCTAACATGGTAAAACCCTATCTCTACTAAAAATACAAAAAAATTAGCCAGACGTGGTGGCAGGCTCCTGTAGTCCCAGCTACTCAGGAGGCTAAGGCAGGAGAATGGCGTGAATCTGGGAGGTGAAGCTTGCAGTGAGCCGAGATCGTGCCACTGCACTCCAGCCTGGGCGACAGAGTGAGACTCCATCTCAAAAGAAAAAAAAAAGAGGAAATTAGTAAGGAAATCCCAGCACTTTGGGAGGACAAGACAGGACAAATAGGCATATCGCTTAAGTCTAGGAATCTGAGACCAGCCTGGGTAACATAGTGAGACCCTGTTTCTACAAAAAATTAAAAAATTAATTGGGCATGGTGGCACATGCCTGTAGTCCCAGCTACCCATGGAGCTAGGGTGAGAGGATTCCTTGAGCCCAGGAAGTCAAGGCTGTTGTAGTGTGCTGTGATTGTGCCACTGTACTCCAGCCTGGGTGACAGAGTGACATCCCGTCTCTATTAAAAAAAAAAAAAAAGAAGAAGAAGAAAATTAGTAAGGAACTAGAACACTACAAAACAACTAGACCTAACAGACATATATAGACCATTCCATCCAACAACTGCAGAATGCAGATGCTTCTCACAGGTACATGAAATATCCTCCAGGATAGACCATATGTTAGGCCACAAAACAAGTCTCCATAAATTTAAAAAAGTTGAAATCATACAAAAGATCTTCTCCAACCACAATGGAGTGATGCTAGAATTAATAACAGAAAACTGGAAAATTCACAAATATAGAAATTAAACAACATATTCTTTTTCCTTTTTATTTTTTTGAGACAGATTCTCACTCTGTCGTCCAGGCTGGAGTGCAGTGGCATGATCTCGGCTCACTGCAACCTCCTGCATTTAAGTGATTCTCCCACCTCAACCTCCCGAGTAGCTGGGACTACAGGTGCGTGCCACCATGCCCAAGTAATTTTTGTATTTTTAATAGCGACGAGGTTTCACCATGTTGGCCAGGCTGGTCTCAAACTCCTGACCTCAGGTGATCCACCTGCCTCGGCCTTCCAAAGTTCTGGGATTACAGGTGTGAGCTACCACGCCTGGCCTCCATTTTTATTTTTAATTTTTGTGGGTGAAACAACATAGTTTTTTTGTTGTTGTTCTTTTTTTTGAGACAGCGTCTCACTCTGTCACCCAGGCTGGAGTGCAGTGGTACGGTCATGGCTCACTGCAACCTCGACCTCCAGCTACTCACCCCCTGAGTAGCTGGACTACAGGCATACACCACCACAACCAGCTAATTTTTGCTTTTTTTTTGCTTTTTTTTTTTTTTTTTGTAGAGACAGAGTTTCACCATGTTGCCCAGGCTGAGCTCAAGAGATCTGCTGGCCTCGGTCTCCCAAAGTGCTAGGATTACAGGCATGAGCCACTGTGCCCAGCCAACAACATACTCTTAAATGACGAATGAGTCAAAGAAGAAATCACAAGGGAAATTAGATTATACTTTGAGATGAATGAAAATGAAAACATACCAGATGGTATGGGATGCAGCAAAATTAGTGCTCAGAGAGAACTTTATAGCTATAAATATTTAAATTTTTTTTTTTTTTTTTTTTTTTTTTGAGATGGAGTCTCGCT